CTTAGTCATTATGCAAGGTAGCCTATTTCCCCTTGTTTTTTCCTCTCCCCCCCCCCCCCCCCCCCCCCCCCGACGTTCTTGTTAAACCCTGGATTTGTGCTGGAAATGGCCCACCTTGATTATCATACACATTGTAAGGAGAGTGGTCACTTTAGATAAGCTATTACCAGCAGGAGAGTGGGGTGGGAGGAGGTATTTTTTCATGCTTTGTGTGTATATAATAAGATCTTCTACACTTTCCACAGTATGCAGCCGATGAAGTGAGCTGTAGCTCACGAAAGCTTATGCTCAAATAAATTGGTTAGTCTCTAAGGTGCCACAAGTACTCCTTTTCTTTTTGCGAATACAGACTAACACGGCTGTTACTCTGAAAGGAGGGTATGTTGATCACATTTCCAGGTGGGGGACAGCTGGATAACTTCCTGCAAGTAACCTGCACCTGTGTGATAAAGTAAGTGGTACTGCCCGAAGATTGCTAAGAAAAGTGGTACAATGTTTCTAAAAATCTGACTGTTTAAATATACTCTAATTACATACTCAGAATGTTGCTGCTGCAGAACTACCTTCTGTAACACTACCAACTTTTGTATTCTGTTGCACAGCTGCAGGTTACATTTTCCTGCATCTTAATTCACTTTGGTGCATGCAATAATCTGCCCAGGAAATAAAATTCAGTTGTTATAATGAAGAGCTCAACTATTAAAAAAAAATGCCATTCTAAAAACAGAGATTGATACTTGCATCACAGATTTTTCAGTATGTCCTCAAATAAAACTAGAAAAAAATAGCTAGACTAATGAACATACTCTAGTTATTTGTCCAGGTCCTGTAATTAAAATGTCTAATGTTTGTGACTACAGGTGTATCTGAGAGAACCCAGTAACTTTAATCAAGGTTCTCTTTTGCTTCCAGCTTTTTTGGCTGTTAACCTTGCTCTCAAAGATTCAATATTAAGTTTTGTTTTCTATGATTTGAGCCATTTTAACTTCAGAATAAGAATTGCTTGTGTCTTACTAGCTTGTCAGCAAGGACACTAGTGGATTTTGTAACTCATTCTAGAGATACATACATGGAATAGTTTTTATTTTTTTGGAGGATGTGGTGGGGTGTGAGGAGTGTAAGTTTTAAAAATGTATAGACTTAAATGAAATTCCAGGAGCCTGTTTTTCAAAATATCTGCATGCAAAGAAGTGACTTTTCCAAACTTTTAAAGATCTCTGCCGACACCTTATGGCAGTGGTGGGCAACCTGCAGCTCAGGGGCTGCACGACCACTGCCTTATGGGAAAAGATTGATCTTTATTTTTTGAGAGTTTCTCTTCTTGCTGCTAATTTCTTGCTTTCTCAGCCAAAATATCACGCACTTATGTCCCTCTCAGGCAAATGTGAGGTCACAGGAGATGAGTGTCTTGGTTTGGGGAATAAGCACAGGAGAGCTGGACATTATTTTCATTTTCTTTCCCTGTTTTTGTTATAGGGACATCAGCATGCAGACCCTCAGAAAATAACACAAATGGCATTGTCTGTAAATTAAAATATTTCTCAGATCTTTAAAAATATATTTATGATCCAGTTTTCATGGTTCAGCTGTGGTTGTGTAGGTCTGAAATCTTGATGCCTTCCTCCACACTTCAAATATCGAGTGGAAAGTTTTGTGTTATTAAATTGTAAATAGACTCAGTGTGCTCAAAAATAATCTTATTGATAATTGGCTTTCTGTCTTAGTTCTGGAGTGATTGCTATATATTTGCATAACTAGTAATTTTAGTATAGATAATATTTTAGCCCTTTTGGGAAGTGTTCTATCCAACAGCTTTAGAGTGACAAGTCAATGAGAGAATATTTATTGTCCTTATGCTTTGTTTATATTACAAATTTTATTCATGTTGTATTAAGAGATTCTTATCTTCCAACAAGTGGTTCCTACAAGCACTAAGGATCCCTTCTTTTAATTTTTAGCTTTCTCTCACAAAGGAATCCCCTAAAAATAAAGTGATTTTGTTTTTGCTGCCCAATCACTATATTCCCTCTAATTTGTTGAGCCTTTTCTAATATTGATATATCCAGAACAGAATACAGTATTCTTAGGTATAGTCTCCCCAGTGTAGGGAGAGTCTACAACCTCCTGCTCATGACATGAGATATGCAGTCCAAAATCACATAGTTATAAAATAATCAGCTTTATTTCTATTTGTGTGTTGAATAAGGATTCTCTAGCCATCTCTTCAATAACATGTCAGGTTGCAATGGATATTCTGGAATATTCTTTGTTTATAGATAAGAAATGGTTGACGAAAGAGCTGATCCTTTTTTATTTCCTCTTTCAGTTTGACATGTCAAGTTAATTTAAAAATAGCCCTTAAAATAAGAGAGTAAGGTATCTTATTGTTTTTGATAAATTAGACTTCCCCATTCTAATATGTGCTCACAGCAGTGTAGGTTCTGCTGCCTCAGAGGAATTTCATACCGATGCTATTATAAAATTTTGTATGTTCTGTGCCTCGTTTGTAACAGGAGATACTGTTTCAGTCAGGCAGAGTTCTGCAAGTGTTACCAATCCATCAGGCTTTGTTTACTATTTACTTCATCAGTTTAATTAAACACTGAAGATTGCATTTCTGTGTGTGGAAACAGGAGCTCAGCAGGAATGACGTACGACATATTTTCCATTTGAAAAATTGTCTGAGAAATAGAAGTATGAGTTGCATATAGATTTTTAGATAGCTATTTTGTCATGATAGATTTTAAAGAGGATGTTCAGTTGGGCTAAGGACCAGATGTAGTTTGCACCTGTAACTGTTGAATTACAGATTCAAGTTACGTGCCAAGGAGCCTGATCCAAAGCACATTGATATCTGTTCAATTCTTGTTATTAACTTAATTGGATTTTGGATCTGGGCCAGCCAGAATAATTGTACCTGTAGTCAGTCAGATGTATAGCTACTCACATTTCGGCTCAGAGTTTAATTATGGATGTAAATAGCATCCACAGAAGGAGAACCACCCTTCTTAAAACTTACTCCTCTGTGTGATAGCATCATAATATAAATGCTATAGTTTTGATAGAGGCTTAGAAAATAAATGCCATCTCAGTGTTCAGTATTTTTCCATACAACTACCTTTTGGGTTGAAATTTCATAGGCTCTTTCTTAGCCTAGGAGTGGCTTACTTGCATATAATAGATTTCCCCATGCTAATCTGTGTTCACAACAGTGTGGGTTCTGCTGCCTCAGAGATTTAGTAGTTATGGAATTAGATACAAAAATTGTATAATGCTTGTCTAACTTAATTCCCCTCTGCTACCTGTATTAGATTAGAGATATAGTCAAAGAACATATTTTTTCAGTTAAATATTCTAGTTTTATTTTATAACCAGAAGTCTACAACATATATAGTCTTTCTTCTAAAGAATCCCTTTATTCGTATCTTTCTTAGGTCTAGGTAACCAAAAATTAATCTCTTCCTAGGTGGCCAAAAATTAACAGAAATGAGCATTATCCTTGAATTCACAAAATTTCAATGCCAAATTGATCATTGTTTTCCTCTCTGGCTTTTACCACTACATAGTCCTCATTACACCTCTTGTGTTGCTTAAAGGTACTTGATGTTGCAGAAAGTAGTGCATCTTATTGTATAATGTGCTATATTTAACACTTTTCTTTTTGGTGGAGAGTATGTTAGTGTCTGTGTGACATGTAAGGAATTTTAATATATTAGGTAGGGTATTGATTTAACTAGCTTGTGCTATGAAGAGGCTATTATTTCAAAGCAGTGACTCAGATTGTCTACATGGTAGACGCGAAACTTGTTCATAAAATGCTGTTGTAGAATTGAAAGAAATACTTAACCGAACTTCATTTGCTTGATGGAATTATAGCATGAGAAGTATTTAGCATGTCTGTGGGTTTTATAATTTTTTTTTGCTGTTTTCAATTTGAATTTTTAAAGACTGATCTAAAGTGTGTAACATTGTACTTCCTGGGAAATTAACAAAATTAATATCTTGCCTCGTGACCAGTACCTGGGAGGCAATTATAGCAAAAATTCTTGCTTTACAGCAACATATGGTACTTTTTGTTTTATTTCTGAATTCTCTATCACAGAAGTTCTTTCTTTTTCTTTGTGAATTGTATTTTTATAGAGTGTTTTGGTATTTTGTGGACCACCTCCCCTAGTATTTCCAGTAATGACATCCTTAAGGCAACTATAGTAATTGCTTGCATGGAAAAAATAATTTAGAAAGTACTGAATGTATTTTTAGCTATCTTAAGGCAGTAGAGGCAGCTTGAAATAAGGAGAAATTGCCCCATGAGTGGTCATTTCTCTGCATTCCATTTAATAAATGCTCTGAGGATCACCAAACTCTGCTCTAGCAGGGAGGAAGCAGTGGAGACAGGGAAGAGTATGACATGGTTGAGGGATGGGTTTCATCTTTTCATTTAGTACCTGATTTAGGTAACTGTTGTATACAGGCTACAGTTTTCCTTCACTAGTTACTAAACTCCTAGCCAGTAACCTATTTTAATTTTAACCCTTGATAAGTAATAAGTGCTTTGTGACTTCATACACAGGAGTGAGGGTGTGTGTGCAGAGAGAAAGTAAGAATACAACCAGATTCCCTAATAATGTCAGAATAAAATCCCTGGTGGTAATACAATTACTTAACATAGTTCTTGTTACTTGTCCCTTCCTTGTATGTAGTGAATTCTCCTTTCAAGAAGGATTTAGTATGACTCAAGAGTCAACCCGAAGAGTTATTCCTAGCTGCAGTTGATGCATGCCAGAACTCACTGTTGTAATGAGTAGAACTGCTGACTCTTGCTGGTTTAAAAAAAACCCAAAAAACTAAAAACCTCTGACTTGTCATTGGATAACACTTGAGCTAATGAGTGAAAAATATATTTTAAAATAATAAACCCTAAATCTTAAAGTTGCAACATGTGATTGTGTGGGATTCCTTAATTGTTAGTGACATACCTTACTTTTTCGTTTTTGTTCTAGCTGCTCTTCTGCAACGGCTAGCAGAATTGGAAAAAGTCAATGCAGAATTTCTGCGTACAAAGCAGCAGCTTGAGCAAGAATTTAATCAAAAGAGGGCAAAATTTAAAGAGTTATACTTGGCTAAGGAAGGTAAGTTCTAGGTTCTCTGAATTCAATGTAAAGCGTATTTTTATGCTAAGCCTTGAATAGTCCCTGGTTAGAGAACAATCTTAGTAGTGCTAACTTTTTTTTTTTTTAAAGAAGTAGGGTTTAAAAAGCAAAGGTTTTCTTGCGTTGGCAGTCGGTTGGTGGGATATCCTGGTTGACAGGTGGTAAGACACTGTTAAAGTCTCTTATTAGCCAACAGAAAATGTGAGTTTTCCTGCCAAACTTTTTTAAAGGCCAATATAAAGAGGCAAAGAGAAAAACCCTAACAATTATCTGGTTCCATAATTAAAGTTTCAGAATGTATCAGCCACCTTTCTTTGTAATCTAATTTATGAAGATTTTGTTTTCTGTAATTATCACACAACTGTTCTCCTTTTATGTAGAAATCTTGAAACTGAGAGTGAACGTAAGGTGAAAAAGAAAGAAAGATGTAATTTGTTTGACTTTAAAGTATATACACAAACTGATAGGAGTCAGCAAATCCATCTTGAAATGCACATAAAATTCCACAGTATTCTGCTTTTTAAAATAATGTGTGGGTTCTCAAACTCACATAGCATAGACCACATTGTGATAGCATCTTCTGGACATCACCCCCTCCAATTCACAATTGTGTAATATCCTGGGGGCAATTACAGTAATTGCTTATATGGAAGGAATCCATAGGAACCAGTAATTGTTTGAATTGATTTTAAGCTTCTGCTGATGGCTCTGGTCGTTGCCACTGTTCTGCTTTTACAGCAATGACCACTAGTGGAGACAGGCTGGTTCCTTCTTCTTTCCAGCTATTTTTATAGGCATTTAGGCTCTTGACTACAGTAGAAGCAGTAGCTGGAAGCAGGAGGATGGTGCCTAGCACCATGTGACCTGCCAGCTTTCCAGTGACCACCATTAAATGCTTCACGGACCACAGTTTGCAAACCACTAAGTTAATACAAACCTACTGGAGAAAAAGTGTTTTCATCCTATTAGACTAGTAACTAACAGGAACTCTTAGAGAGACATTTTCCATGTGTTCTGTCAGTTGTGGTCAGCTTATTACATAGTACATAATTGTATTTTCAATCTTGAATGATTGATCGGTCTGATTAATTGTAATGTAAGCAGCCAAACTTACATAGCTTGAATTTGACAGCTAAAAGTATTTATTTTTCATAACACTCTTTAAGGAAAATGTGAACCCCACTAGCTCATGTACCTGCTGTAGAAGAATGGAGAAAAGCAGCTATCTTCTATTTAAGTGCACGGTTGATCTACTAACTCCTTTAATCCTAACAGCTTTCTTGTCCTAAAAATATAAAAGAAAGTAAAGCCAAGAAAAATTGCATTAAAACTACAACTTGCTTATTTTTCTGCTCTCATACGCATGTACAGCTGACATACTGAAGACCAGAGCACAGAGTGTTTTTCTAGCTGTTGGGACAAGGGAAATGAAAATTTAAAGACAAGATACTGCTGGACTGTGGTCAGCAACAGCAACCTCCCTCTCCAAACTAAAATAGTTAGAAATCACTTTTCCTCTTGGCATTTTCTTCACTTAGGTGATGGTGGCCTGTGATGTACAGGAGGTCAGACTAAATGATCTCATTGTCCCCGTCTGGCCTTAAACTCTATGAATGTGACTCGGTGTCCCTCTCTACACTGACTACAAAGCCATGTTTAACATCACATCACTTAACATGACTCCTTAAGGCTGTATTGTCATGTTCAGTGAACACAAGCCCAAAGTGTAAACTGATATTTAACTTGTTTTATTAGCTTATCATCATTGCAGTATCTCTTGAAGAAAATATTTTTGCAGCAGACTACAACGTTGTATACGTTACATTTAGGAATACAAAATGGGCACTTAAAAATATTTTTAGTGTGCTTTTTTTTATGTGAAATACACAGTTCCATAAGACATTTCCATAAAGCATGCAAGGTCAGGAATTTAGTAATTTAAAGAGTTTTTGTTTAAATAGAACAGGGGTTGAGACTAGAGTATTATGAGGTGTGAAAGAAAAAACAGAAGGATTGATTGAAGGCAGTAGAACTATAAACAAGTCTGATAAACTAAATATTGCTATAAAAGCTGGAAATAACTACACAAACGTTATTGGAGAAAGGAACTCATAATAGTAATAGTCAAGGTGCCTTGTACTTTGCAGAACACAGGAAGCATTTTGTGGCAAATTCCTTGGATGCTGTGGCAGTTTGGCATAGCAGGTTTCTGCAACAGCTTCCTTTAAATAAAATCTGAGGTTTTTATGAATTAAGTATGAAAACAAATAATGTCAGCAAGAAGTCCTCTGTGTCTGTTTTGCTTTTCAGCTCATTTTATACTTTTTTTTTTTTTAACATCTGCAGTTTTCAGTATGCCAGATTTTTTTTTGTACTGACAACACCTCAGCTGCATCATAGAAAGTATCAGGAGTGGGAAGGGGAAATGTCAGTTCTAGCAGTTGGGTACGGTGAGCCTTTTTGCACTGGAGAAGCACGGGAAGCAGTTTGGTATTGTGGGATCAGTACACTAGCTGCACGCTTCTGCTAAAATTATCATAGTGAAACAGTTAATGCTTGACATAAAAATTCTTATCTTTAGGATTCAGACTTAATCCTCCAATGAGATGAATGGTATAGCTTACATCTTGCAGAGTTATTGTTTCAGGTTGTCTGTCTGGAAGATGACACATAATTTGTTTATGCTCTGTTATAGTTGAAAGTTATATTTGTAACTATAAGGATGAGAAGCTTGTTTTTAATGTAAGCTTAGATTCTTAGCACATTTGTGATAAAGGGTCAATTTTTCTGTAGATTCCATGGTTGAAGCATAATTGGCGTCCAGGTAATAATACTTTGCAATTCTGTAGTGCCCATAATAAGAGGATCACAAAGTGCTATACAAAGTGTAAGCATCTCCTAAAGCTCCCATGAGGCAGTAAGGTAGTGTCCCTCTTTTACAGATAACTTCTGTATTTCAGTTTATGTAAGTGACATATCCAAGGTTACAAAGCAAGTTGGTAGCAGAACCAAGCAATCTTCCTGACTTCAGTCCTGTCCTCTGACTTCCAGATCATGCTCATTCCCAGTATGTATACTTCCCAGCAAGTATTCCCAGAATGTGAGTTACATGACAGTGAAGTAGTTAAAAGTCCAATTAGCTTAATTGGCATATTGATTGATAGGTGATGTCTGCTTTGTAGTAGTGTCTTCAGTCTCTACACTGCATGAATGAGAAACAAATAAAAAAGGAACTTGAGGAACAGAGAACTCTGGAATGTTACTGAAAGATTTTCTTTAGCTATCATGGGTAAAGTTTTAAACTTCAGATTCTCTTGTTTTCCATTACTAAAGCATCAATTTCTGTTGTAGCAGATAGAGCTGCACTTCAAACTGAATGTATTTACAAAATTAAATGGAAATAATACTTGATTTCAGAGGACCTGAAAAGGCAAAATGCAGTACTGCAAGCAGCACAAGATGATCTAGGACATCTACGGACACAACTATTGGAAGCCCAGGCTGAAATGGAGAACATCAAAGCCATAGCTACAGTTTCTGAGAATACGAAGCAGGAAGCTATTGATGAGGTGAAGAGGCAGTGGCAAGAAGAAGTCGCTTCACTCCAAGCAATTATGAAAGGTAAGGTCAGAGGAAGCTAGCTAACTACTGCAGTTACAGCAAGGTAAAGTACCATATTTAATAGGTGATGTTATTGTGCTTGATGCTGTACAGCAGTAGTTCTCAGCCAGGGGTACATGTACCCCTGGGGGTAGGCAGACATCTTCCAGGGTTTACTCAACTCATCTAGATGGGTGTTTCTCAACCTGGGGGTTGTGGGACAGATTTATGGGGGTTGCAAGCAGGGCAGTTGCCTGGGGCCACATGCCACAGGAGGCCCTTCGAAGCTAAGTTACTTGCTTCAGCCCTGAGCAGTAGGGCTTGGGCTTCAGACCAGGCTCACAAGCGAAACAGAGGCTCAAGTATCACACTGAAATGTAAGTACAGTATATTCCAATTGATTTATTTTATAATTTTATGGTAAAAATGAGAAATTAAGCATTTTTCAGTAATAGTGTGCTGTGATATTTTTATGTCTGATTTTTGTAAGTGAGTAGATTCTCTGCTTTGGCATGCAACTTTGATTTGTCTTGCGTGCCCAGAGTCCTGAAAGGAGAACAGTAGTCTGGAAAGGCCGAGAACCACTGCTGTACAGAATGTGCAGTTTGTGCCTTGGAAGTTACATTAAGCAGAATGGTGATTTCAGTTTTTAGCTGACCAATTCCAACATTGTCAAAGGCAGCTTGGTTCTTTTTTCACTTAATACTGCAATATGAACTCTTGCAATATGGACTGGGAAATTCGTAGCAGGTACGGACCATTCTTCAGGGACTGAGATTATAGCCATTCCTCCTTCACAAAGACAAGTAATGGTATATGTAACCTGGTTAGTCTGACAGCAGCTTCAGGATGACTTGTGTCTCTGCTTTGGCATGCGAAGTGACTTTGCCAAACATTTAAATGTCTCTCCATTGTCATCACATTGGCTCTTCCCATGTCTTGTGTCTAAATATGTCGTCATACTTTCTTTTTTCTCCTGCAACAATATAGAGTAGTTCATATAGATCACATTCTAGCATGCTGCACACTCACTGATTTACTCTTGATAGCAACTACCTGTAAGGAGGAATATACACACAGTAATTTAGGACATAACCGCTATTGTGATAACTATTTTTGCTAGGAGTACACAAAGTAATCACAGTAGTCTGAGTCTCACCTGTTGGTTATAGGTATTGCAGAAACCTGCCTCGTTACATATTTACTCTAGAGAATACAGCTTTTCATGTATTTTGGTGTGGCAGGTGCGGCTGCTCTGCAACACCGCCTCGTAGGATCAGTCTGGTGCAGTAGGCATTCACTACTTTAGTCTGAACGTTGTGGCTGCCTGCCTAGACCAGGGTACCCATGCAGTAGGCTTGGCATAATCTTTCAACAGTGAAATAACAAACAAAGGATTTGGCTGTCTGTGCCTTTAATTAAAGAAAGAAAACCTCACATGCAAGCACTTTGTTGTAGCTCTTGAAGGCAAGGCCCTGACCTCCTGGGTTAACACTGAGAAGCTTTTCCTCTCTTCCAGTCTTCCCCAGTTCTGCCACTGATGACAAGTAGGCAAGCCTTCTTAACTGGACTGCTGGCTCTTGATTGATCAGTATTTCCTGCAGGCCTGTGGAGGACTGTCTTGTTGGTAGCGTGGTCTGAGTGGACTTTCCCTGAGCAGAGAGTGTCAGGGCTCCGATGCCTGCTATAGGGAGCAGAGAGGATCGATACACCTTGTCACAGTTGGCAAGTAAACATAATTTGGCTTGTTAATACACAAATAACAGAACTAGACCAGTGGTTCTCAACCAGGGGTACAGTTACCCCTGAAAGTATGCAGAGATATTCCAGGGGTACCCATCTCATCTAGATGGGTATTTCTCAACCTGGGGGTTGCAGCGGGTTTAGGTGTGTTGCAAATGCAGGACCGGTGTTAGGGGGTAGCAAGCAGGGCAGTTGCCTCGGGCCCCACACCACAATGGGCCCTGAGAAGCTAAGTTACCTGCTTCAGCCTTGGGGAGTGGGGCTTGGGGTTTAGACAGGGCTCACAAGTGAAACACAGGCTCAAGTGTCAAACTGTATTTTTATGTTTGATTTTGTAAGCAAGTAGTTTTCAAGTGAGGTGAAACTTGAGGTACTCAAGACAAATCAGACTCTCGAAAGGGGCACAATAGTCTGGAAAGGTTGAGAACACTGAACTAGACTATTATAGAAGACCCTAGAATCCCAACCAAGATCAAGGCTCCATTGTGTTAGGTGCCATACATACAGATATTACCTGCTTTGAATAATTTACAGTCTAAATAGACAAGCAGAGTTACCTGAGAAGGTTTAGTCTTTTCTGTGTTTTGGGGATGTGGAAGTAATTTTTGTTGTTCCTTTTATTTAAGGGAATTTTGGTTATTTGCATAGTGTTTAGATTGCTGTGGGTAGATTTTGTAAATCAAAATAGAAATAGCATATTTGAGCAATGTGACTCTTGGCATGAATATAGGAGGCTATTTAAATTAGTGATGTTAATAGAGACTAAATTTTAGTTCCCTTGGATCTGTTGAGTTACTGGTAGCTTTCTTGGCAAGGTGCAGTTCATTGCAGTTGTGGTTAGTTCTTTGTTCAATGTGATCAACTAAAAGGTATGACTGGTCTCCAATGCAAACTACAGAAGCATATAGCATATCATAGGGCAAACTAAATACTACCGTTGCTGTCTTGGATTGCTTGTGCCCAGTTTAGAGGCCCTTAAATAGTTAGTTATTTTAAAATAGATATATCTTGTAAAATTTTTCTTTACGTGATAATTTTGTTTTAGAAGATCATTGTCGGACTTTTTTTTTTTCTCAGAATAGAGATCCTTTTAAAATATGGACAGTTTACTTATTTTATTTAAAAACAAAAACAAAAAGCCAAAAACAAAATCCTGAATCCTATATTAAATTTTAGGATGATAGGAAGTTGCCTGTAGACCTGTTTAAATAGTGGTAAAAATTCTGTAGTTTTACTGATTTTTTTTCTTTCACTAGCAGAATCCTGTATGATCTGCAAAGATTCAGAAGTTCTGTTGATTCATGTTTTTGTGTCCCTGTAAACATTTCCGGGAATGGAATCTAACACGCTTTGAGGACAAAGTCAAGTCTATAACGTGACATATCTCAAGATACATGTACAAGATGTAGCTTATTTCTAGATCTCCCTGCTCTTCATGAGGTTGCAATACTGCAAAGACAGTGTGCTCAGCTTCTGTGAGGGGGGAGAGAATCATTTGAATCACTCCATAGTGATGCTTTTGGCCAGTCCTGTAAGTGGAGTTTCAGAAGGTCCTCAGCCAGAAGGGCTGTATCTATAATACAGGTACTGGGGAACAGGGAGAAGACAAAAAATGAAAAAGATATAGCCTTGAATGTCACATAGAATTGAAAGGATTGCACAATGCAAACAGCAAGCTTTGCACAAACATTCTAAATTCTGAATGTAAGATAATGACTTTCTTAGAAACTGCATAATTTGTTGTCTTACACTTTATAACTTACACTGATAATGAAAGTTTCTGTAACATTGCTTCGTAGAAACTGTTCGTGACTATGAGCTCCAGTTTCATCACAGGCTGGAGCAAGAGCGAGCTCAGTGGGGCCAATACCGGGAAAACGTTGAAAGGGAAATAGCAGAGTTGAGAAGGAGGCTATCTGAAGGTCAAGAAGAGGAAAATCTAGAAAATGAAATGAAAAAGGTATGCTGAAATAAATCTCTAAATGTAAAGTGAGGTAGTAGACCGCTGTTAATGAAAATGTTTCTACTGTTTCAGAGTAATTAGATATACTTTAGAAAGAGCAGTAAGGCCTAGTCCTGCAAACACTTACTTATTTGTTCCCATTGAAGTCAATAAAACCTGATTCTGCAGTCGTTCATGCAAAGTATTACTATTTTATTCTCAGCCCTGAACTTGTAACTGGGACTACTGGAAATCTGCTTGCGGAATTTTAAGATATGGGGGAGTCCTTGCATTAGATTCTGTGGAAATCTTCACAAAAAACTGTAGTCCGATAAGTAAACTCAGAACTGTTTCGTTTTTTCAAATATATTGTTTCAGATAATAAATAGATTTAGTCTTTGTCATACATCAGTGATTTGGAATCTTAAAATATATTCTATAAACCTCTGCTGGGAATGACCAAAGGTGCCAGACTTCAAGGTGTCTCTTAAAGATTAGATTAATCTTGTTTTAAATAGCATTGCCTATCGTATTAGTTACTCTTTTCTAAATCAAATATAAGATAAGATTTGCATAACAGGAAATCTGCCACTTTATCCTTACTTTGAATGCCTGTGAGAGTCAGACGGTAATATTTTTCCTCCGTTGATAGCAGTTTTATGTTTAAAGCAAGCAGAGATGAGGAAAAATGGCATCACTGAGAGTGATCACTTTAGATAGGCTATTACCAGCAGGAGAGTGGGGTGGGGGAAGAGAAAACCTTCTGAAGTGATAAACACCCATTTTTTTCATGGTCTGTGTGTGTAAAAATATCCTCACTGCATTTTCCACTTTTATGCATCCGATGAAGTGAGCTGTAGCTCACGAAAGCTTATGCTCAAATAAATTGGTTAGTCTCTAAGGTGCCACAAGTACTCCTTTTCTTTTTGCGAATACAGACTAACACGGCTGCTACTCTGAAACCTGAAATATCATGGATTCAGGACAAACACAGACACATGGTACTAGGGAAGTCCGTCATTGGCCTGGGTGGAGGATGAATCAAGTACACAAGGTTTTATCTCAGAAGAATGTTAACAGAAGATGATTGCCCTAATATAAAACAAGTGGTATCTCTGAAAGAAAAATCTAAATCTTACTGGAGCCTTTTGGGAATTCTGATCTCCGACATAGGCATGCTTTAATGGTCTAGAGTATGTATTATCCAGTAATCCTGCGTATCGCCTTCCACACCTCATCCTCTTTCATTCGCTGTCAGAGAAGTAGCTCTGATGGTATATTTTCTGCTCCCACAGCTGGTTTGTTTTAGGGATTTTCCTAATTTAGTTCAGGGAATGGTGCCAGAAAAAGAGCATAGCGTCCACCAGCTGGAATGTAATGATTCATTTGGACCACTGCTTCTTCCCTGGATAGCAGACCTGTTCTGGTTGAGTCAATCAACATGTCTGATAAGATTTTCATAATAACTGAGTAGAACACAATCAGTCCTATCCCAGAGAGAAATCCTTTTTTCCTGTGTGGAGCAAAGTTTCCTCTCTCTGTATGAAGTGCCCACCAATGGGGAGATGAAGACCAAGACTTACATTGCAAAAGTCAGGTTAGTAATGTGGCTCCTACACCCAGAAATATCTCATTCCCTCACAAGTCAGTTTGGTAGGCTTATGATCAACCTCTTTTGTCTTCTGGAAACAGTAAATAAAATGTCCTGCAATGTCAGGACCTAGGATGTAAGGCAGTGAATGACACATATCAAAACTGGCAAAAGTCCCTGCTATGTGTGCCCACCTTTTTCACCGCTTCCCAGACAGTACAAAAGATAGGAATGAGCGAGCAGTGGTGATACTCTTTGCCTTTCTGGCCAAAGTGGTTATGGTACTCAGACTAGGTTAACCTAGAATTGGATCTTTTGATGTCTTTTTCTCACAGAGGTCTTCTATTGTGAGTCAAATCTTCAAACCAGGATCAGATAGGTTTTAAAATTAATTCTTGGATGAAGTTAATATTATTCTCATGAACCCCCAAAAAGCAGTCAAATGATAAACTTATTCAACTGTCTCGTGTAAAGTCCATAGTTTTAACTGCAACGTAAAACCAGTGAAACATAGCCTGGAGTTCTCCAGGAGGGCTTTGTTGTGGTCAAGTCTCTGTAATATAAATTCTCAGCATGTTCAAGAAACACAAATTTTGTACAGATCACATCATTAAACACTTCCATAGGGCATGAACCAAATTCCAACCATTTTCAGGCCCTAAAGCACAACCTGGGAATCTCATTCTGCTCCTTAGAGTGCTACACAGATTAAACTCTTGTGGGAAGTATTGTCATTCTTCCTATGCATTAGAACAGGCCTCCCAATAGCTACTATCTCCAATCAGTTAAGCTTTTTGTTTTGTTTTAATTTGAAGTTGTGAGCCCTCACTAATGGGCCCCAGTATTCTACTTTGAATTAAGACAGGTAGGCATTCATTCCCTACGTAAATTCAAGAAATATTCTGGTTAAATATTCAAGACCAGTCCTTAGGAGCTCTGAAAAATCTCATGGCAGAGTAGTCATGTCTCCCCTATTGAGATGTCTTGGATGGCCATAAGTTAACCAAATTCTGCCTATGGGTCATCTAAATTTATCCAGTACCACTTACTTTCTTTTGGCAGAGGGTCTTCTCCATGCCTTTGTGCCCAGGCAGGGATGGAGAAGATATTCTACTTCCTTTTGGATGTCCATATTTAAAGGATAATCCTGCTTCCCATGCTTGGGGCACACTACTATGAAAATCCTCTTGTAATGGTTCTGAAGACTTTAGCTCAAAGAAGAATGGGAAAAATTTGTGCTTACCTGAAAATTTTCCTTACTATAAATAATAGGATCCACGGATCCGGCTCACTTTGGAGATAAGCAGTCATCTAGAATAGAGATGGAAATTGACATCCAAGGAGTAGCATTTACCATGCTTTGCAGTAGAGGAAGTTGTTTTCTTCCCCACCCCTTCAAAGTATAGTTAACACAATCTGTAATGTAGAAACGTAAATATGTGTGAACTTTGCTGTGGAAGTTCTCAGCTGGAGGGAATTTCAGAAAGTGGGGCATTCCCCTGCTGCCAGTACCTGACAGGTCTTCTGCCCCAAGCTGTAAATAGGTTTAAGTGCCAATTGCAATGGATCTGTGGACTTCATTACTCTAAAGGAAATTTTCAGGTAAACACACACATATTTTCCTATTCCCTTTTGTTTGTGTGAGGTCTTTCAAACTTTTCCCTTTTTTAAAAAAAAGTAGTGATATCTGATGGGAAAACTTTTTTTTTGGGGGGGGGGGAGTATTAGAAATAATTCACACTGTCAGAAATTTGGAAGGGTTCATTATTTTTCTTCTCTTAAATAGATTTGCATAAAAAGCCTGGGGTGAAATTTTGGGACCATTTAAGTGAGTGGGAGATTTCACCACAGGGTCTTTTTTCCTAAGATTATCATCTCACCTTGCTTATTCAGCATCTGAAGTACAGTTGGTGTGATTCAAACTCGGCGTGTTGCAGATAAATTGAACGGATGTGGCAAAGAATGTGAAGAGAAGAAATTTTTCAGTTGCTTATATACCAGCACTAAGAGTCTGAGTAACAATCATGGGAATTCAAAAATTATCATGAAGAAATTTTGATGGAATTTACATTACCGAAACCTGCTGGGATAATGTGCATGATTAGAATGTTCAAAAGAGGAAGTTACTCACCTTATGTTGTCACGAGGATTCTTCTAGATGTGTGTCCCTTTGGGTGCTCCACTTCAGGTGTCGGTGTGTCCCTGCACCACAGATCGGAGATTTTCAGTAGCGGTGCTCAGTTGGGGGTCACTTGTTATAATGTGGGTAGGAAGGATAGAGTGGATTTAAAAAAAAAAAATTGAGGGCTTGGTACTCTACATTAGAGACACTGTTACCTGTTTCTGAGTCATTACTAACTCAGAACCATAGGATTATGAATGCATAGGGATCAAAGTGCTAACTAATAAAACCCCGTAGGGGACGCTGGTGGGGATCTGCTACAGACCACCGAATCAAACTGGAGAACAAGATGAGTTACTCCTTCAGAATTTGTCTGTAATGTGTGGAAAGAAAAATTTGTGGTGGTATGGGGGACTTCCGTTTTGGAGACATGCTGGAAGTCTCATACAGTTAGTAGTGAAACATAATTAGAGTTTCTAAAAAGTATACATTTTCTAACACACACACATTGCACCAACATGAGGTAACTCTGGTTTGGACCTCATTATGACAGATAAAGATGAATCCATCACTGAACTGTAAATTCATGGTTGCCTAAGTACCCGTGATCATGACTGTGGTTTATATTCAGTGTGGACAAAGAAAGGACCATTCCAACAAACTTCACTGGTATTAATTATATTCCACCCTTAATTTTTTTTAAATTAACTGAATCCCATATCAGCTTTTCCATTATTTTACATTATGTGTAAAATCAGTACTAGGCCCAACGTTTCATCAGTGATCTGGAAGTCAGTGTAAAATCATTGCTGGTAAAATAAATAAAGATAAAGATTGGTGGAATGATAATGATGAAGATGGAACAGTCATACAGAACAACATGGATCACTTGGTAAACTGGACCCATTCAAATAAAATGTGTTTATACAGCCACATGCAAAGTTAGTAATCAGGAACAAGGAATGTAGGCCTTACCTAGAGAGAATGGTAGACTGTATCCTGGAAAGCAGACACTCTGGAAAGAAATTGGGTGTCATGGCAACTGAACGTGAGATCCTAGTGCAATGCTGTGGCATATACCTATGTCTATGGCATTGATGAGACCAATATTGGAATACTGTATCCAGTTCTGATATCCACACTTTTTAAAAGATGTTGAAAAATTTGAGATGGTTGAGAAAAAAACCACAATGATTCAAGGGCTGGAAAGAATGCCTGGTAGTGGGAGACTTAAAGAGCTCAGTCTGTTCAGCTTACCAAAATGAAGATCGAGTGGTGGCTTGATTACAGTTTAAAAATACTCCTTTGGGGAGAAGATACCAGGTACTAATGGGTTCTTCAGTCTAGCGGAGAAAAGTATAATAAAAACCAGTGGTTGGAAGCTGAAGTGAAATTCACGTTAGAAATTAGGCACAAGTTTTTAACAAACTGTCAAGGGAAATGGTGGATTTTTCATGTCTCCATGTCCTCAAATCAAGACTGATTTGCTGTAGCAGCACAAGTTATTGGGCTCAATACAAAGATAGTTGGGTGAAATTTAATGACCTGTTTTGTACGGAAGGTCAGACTAGATGATCTAATGGTCCCTTCAGGCCTTAAATTCTGTGAAGTTCTACTTGTATGAGCCTTGCAAAGCATTCTTTCTTGTGGTGTCTAATAAATGCAGAAGAACAGAATGTAATCCCTGAGAGCAAACTTCTTCCACAGGTTAGGTACTGTATTTTTAATAAGAATTAAGTAGGACCTTCAACTTTCTCTAGAACACCCAGGATTAGGCTTTGCCTCCGTTTATAGTAGTTGCAGATGTGAGATTGACAAGAAGACCAATGACCAAGCAGGTTAGACGATCCTGGAATGCACAACTCAGTGTTAGTGTTGAACTGACCTTTATATGTATCTTACGCACACTTTAAATCTGAGCCTAAATGCTTGCTTCTAACCACAGAGAAGGGAAAAACTCTAGCAAAATCAATCCCATTGAAATTTACATATCACTTTCCATCTTTCCACTTGATTGCTGCTGAACAGTCCAGTTTTACCTTTGCTGACCTCCCTTTCTCTTCCACTGAACTCACCAGGTACATTAGCAGAGATTAAAATTGTCCTTTACTTTGTGTTCAGGACTCAGCCATGAGAAATTAAAACTTGTAATGAAAGGCTGTTGGAGATGCTAGTAGTATTTGGAAAAGAGATGTTAGAGAACTTATTAAAGTCCTGAAAAAATATAGATTGTCTCTTAATATAGGCCATAGTGAGCAGCTATGAGGGTTTCAGATCCACTGAACAGTACAATTGAGAGAAATGTTCAGCAACTTTATTCATTGAAACTTTGGAGTTTCAACTCCTGCTCCTGGTGTTTGAGGAACTTTATTGCTAGGCTGACTGGGTGCCGGTGAGGCATATCTGCTACACATTGCTAGTTTCTCCTTATAGGCAGTGAATTTACTATGTTTTTGTGGGGGTGGTTTCTCATTCTTGCAGGTTTTTGTTTTTGTTTTTTTTTTGGTTGTTTTAGACCGGCAGAAATGGCAGTGGCGAGGTGCATTAGAAATGAGTGAAGCCTGAAGAAATTGGAATTTTCTTTCAAAAGAGAACATGCCAAAACATATTTTAAAAAAATTAGGATATTTCATTCGCTATTTTTATAACTTGCAGTTGTGTTCAGAACAAGTGTTTGTCAACAAATGGACCAGAAAACAGGAATTTGGTCCATGGTAGTGCTGCCTTGGCATCTACTGCTACATAAAATGTTCTCTTTGAAGCTTTTCTTTTGAAGTGCAGTTTTCATTTTTCCTTATGCCAACCGCCTCCAACAGAAGCTAGAGGAAAAAATGAGGTTCCAACCCTCCAATCCATAAACAGAAACCCAAAATAAATGGTGCATCTAGATTTTTTTTCCCTTTTTTGTAGCTTAAACAATAACTCTATATTGTTACTTATGAATTTTTGAGTCTGAAGAATTCCATTGTATAATTGCTGCTGATTCTGCTGGAGCAGTCACTTTGTAACTTGGAAAAGCTCCAGTACGCACTTGAAAGAATGTCGGGGCACATAAGATGTTGGGATATCAAGGCCAGCTTCCAACCTACATACTTCTGAATTTGAGTACTTACTGCATTGTCCTATTTTAATTCTTACTATTTTTTTACCTGGCTCTTTTTCCTCCTCTTCCTGCTTTCTCATGAGTCTTTTCTCATCCTATCATCCAATTTTTTAACTCTTTCAGCACTAACTGAAAAAAAGCCATGTTTTTGACAGCTTTGTTTTGTACAATTTTGAAATACGTAGTGTGGTAACACTGAAAATTGCTTGATGCTTTATCAATAATTCTTGAAATCTAAAAGTAGCCTTCCCAAGCCCATGAAACAGTTATACGGTATTACTATATGTTACCTGCGCCTTTTGAACTTCAAGAGTCAGTAAACCAATAGTCAGTAACTAACTTTGTGTTGCAATTGCATGATCTCTGTCTCTTTCTCTCTGTATTCTACCTAGCATCATCTTGGTGAAAAGGCTATGCTTTTTAAATACAGAATAACTCTATGTACACGTTTTAAAACTTATGATCATTCTAGTTAGGCAGGGGAAAGATGTACTAGCTTTCTCCTGTAAAAGCAGACACATGGCCAAATTCATCCATGGATGTACAATTACATTGCTTTCAACAAATGGGATAAATTGTATTTTGTCCTAGAGAACACTTGGGACTAGCTAAATATATAGTTATATAACAAGTATTGTAAACAGAAGTGTGGTTTGATTTTTGGCGTATTGGTTTTGTTCATTTCTCTTGTGGAAGAAGACTGTTTTTGTTGCAAAGTAATATGTTGCATAACACATTACGAACTGATTTCAGGCCCAAGAGGATGCTGAGAAGCTTCGTTCAGTCGTGATGCCTATGGAGAAAGAGATTGCAGTTTTAAAGGAAAAACTAACAGAAGCTGAAGAAAAGATAAAAGAACTGGAGGCTTCAAAGGTGAGGTGAAATTTTACTCTATAGCTGCAGAGAGAATGTGCATCTTCCATTATGGCTGTTTTATTGATACACACAATTGATTGCAAACTTTGTGGCAGATACACAAATAAGGATGTAATGTGAAGTGGGAAATGCACAATACCCTTGTCTTGCAAATAAAATATTCTAGATTATACATATTAATTTGTGTTTCTATTCTGAGGATCTGATAACATGTAAAAAATATTCATGCTTAAACCTGAGCTCATGTAGTTTAGATTATCAGAAATATCAGTAATTAAGCTCCATACTGGTGGATATAGTCTGTCCTCTCAAGCAATTAGGTGTCACTACATTATAGGCCATTTAAAGCCACAAAGGAAGTTTTGTAATCGGTAGTGTTTTTAATCTTCTAGAACTAGGACTTCCCCTCCAGAGGTTGCTAGATTTACTTTCTTATCCTATATATAAAAGTAAGGCATTATCTGCAGAATTTTTTTACATCTTACATTGATCTCTTCGCAGCAACTCCTAGCATTTTTTCTATAAAGTTTTACGTATCCAGAATTTTTGCTCCATCCGTTAGGCTAGAAGACATGTTTAACCCAACTTCCTAAAAAAAAAAAAAAAAAAAAATCAATCAGAGGGAATAAAGAAATGAGCACTATATTGCCACAGATTAGCTGCATTTTGTCTACTGTTTATGGGGAGGGGAAAGTGGCAATTGAAGCATTTGTTTTTCCATCTTAGAAATCAAATATACTGAAATTCCCAAAAGATCCAGAGTATTCAGGAGCTACAAGAAAGGTAAGTAAAGTATTAGCCTGCCTTGCAAACTTACAGTATATATTCATTTAAAAGGATAATGGATGTCCCTCAAATACAGAACAATATACATCTTTTTTTTTCTTGAAGAGGGGGAAAAAGCACACCAGTCTGATTGGGAGACCATACTCATCAGTGATTTGTGTTTCACTTCCTCATGTTCCTCACGGATTCTTTCCAGTTTACAGGCTTCGTATCCAGAAAATGATTTTTTTTTTCATAGCCCAGATTTTGTCTGGGCATAAGATTCTGCTTTTTCCCTTAGAGCCTCACATTTGATTTGCATTGCTAGACTGAAGTCAGGGGAAATGTGAATCCATTCCTCTCCCTCTTATAAATTCTTGTTTTCCAAGATAGTCAGGACTTCCTTCATAAAGATTATGATAGTAGCATCTGGAGTTATTCTTTTCATCCTGTTCTCTTACAAGTATTCAGTAGCTTCTGTCTAAACACAATTGATCATCTACATTGTTCAGGATGAGCAATTTTGGTAGCAGCTTCATCAGTGTTACAGGAATCAGTGGGATACCCACAAAATAGGGGTACGAGCCTGAATTTTGTAAAACTTGTAACTGTTTTTTTTTTTTTATGATGGGCTTCATTTTGTAAAGTATTTCCCACCAAAAGAGGTGATAGTTGACACCATTAATGCCGACGTTCAGCTCCATCATTTTGTCTACCTTAAGTTCTCGTATTGGATGTTTCAGTCATCCTTCTTGCACCATCAGGAAGGATTGCAGTTTGTCTTGCCTAGCAGAGTAAGTCCTTGCCAGACATACTTCTCTGACTCTTTGATCCCTTGACTCCATTTACCTGCCTCACAAATATCTTGAAGTTTTAGTTTCAATTTCAACTATTTCTGTTGTTCATAAAGTGCAAAGTATTATTTAGGCTCTAGGTTGGCCTGAGCCTTGGCAGATGGTATATAACGAGTGATTGTTTGGTTTTGGTTTTTTGGCCTGTTGAAGGCCCTCAAATCTATCTGGGAGCTAACACAGCAGTTTTCCCAAATTTGAATGCTTTTCAAGCAGGGGTCAATCAGTGAGAGCAATCTCTGTCTCCTGTTTTTCTACCCCTCCCCATGTCAATCTTCCAGGGGTTCTATTTCCCACCCCACAGAATGAGTAACCCGTACCAAAGTCAGTGGGAGTTATTTGCATCCTATTGTGAGAGAATGTGGTCCCAACATTTATGGTATGTTGCAGCAAGAAGATGATCTTGGAACTGTACTTCTGGCCATCTGTCACAACTTCCATGTCATGTCATGATGTTACCTCTAATGTTGTGGACGGTAGGGGTAAGCTCCTGGGAGCCCCTCCAGAGTTGTCTGGTAGCTTTTGATTTCATGTTATGTTAGGATGCTATAGTTTTCATAAGAAATCAAAGAATTATGACTGCTTAGTTCATTGCCTGCCATTCTTAGGTACTTTTTACATATGGTCCCACCCTTGGTATCTGCTTGCCTTGCAAATCCTGAAGAATTTAAACTCCAGTTGTAATAATTTATTATTTTAATAGTGTATATGTCATGGTACTAAGCAAACTGTATACCAGACCCGGAACCTTGCTTAACACTGTTTAATGTTAAAAAATGACTGGGTTATATTAACACCTTTGACCCATATATTCCACCTATATTAATATAACACGTCCTGTGAGTTAGGGAAATACAAATTTTTCCCTATTTTGTAGGTTGTGGGATGGGTCTGGAGGCACAGACTAAGTGACCATGAGACCCTTCTCATCTGCCATAGCAGAGAACATAAGAACGGCAATACTAGGTCAGACCAAAGGTCCATCTAGCCCAGTACCCTGTCTTCCGACAGTGGCCAATGGCAAGTGCCCCAGAGGGAATGAACAGAACAGGTAATCATCAAGTGATCTATCCCCTGTCGCCCATTCCCAGCTTCTGATTTAATTGGGGATGGATCCTGCTTTTGAGCAGGGGGTTGGACTAGATGACCTCCTGAGGTCCCTTCCAACCCTGATATTCTATGATTCTGGTAAACAGAGGCATGGGGCATCATCTCTGCCCATCCTGGCTAATAGCCATTGATGGACCTATCTTCCATGAACTTATCTAGTTCTTTTTTGAACCCTGTTATAGTCTCGTCCTTCACAACATCCTCTGGCAAGGAGTTCCACAGGTTGACTGGGCGTTGTGTGAAAAAATACTTCCTTTTGTTTGTTTTAAACCTGCTGCCTGTTAATTTTTATTTGGTGACCCCTAGTTCTTGTGTTATGAGGAGGAGTAAATAACACTTCCTTATTTACTTTCTCCACACCAGTTATGATTTTATAGACCTCTGTCATATCTCCCTCCCTTAGTCATTTCTTTTCCAAGCCGAAAAGTCCCAGTCTTCTTAATCACTCCTTGTATGGAAGACATTCCATACCCCTAATAATTTTTGTTGCTCTTTTCTGAACCTTTTCCAATTCCAATTTTTTTGAGATGGGATGACCACATCTGCATGCAGTATTCAAGATGTGGGTGTACCATGGATTTATATAGAGGCAGTATGATATTTTCTGTCTTATTATCTATCCCTTTCTTAATGATTCCCAACATTCTGTTCTCTTTTATGACTGCTGCTGGACATTCATAGAATCATAGAATATCAGGGTTGGAAGGGACCTCAGGAGGTCATCTAGTCCAACCCCCTGCTCCAAGCAGGACCAATCTGCAATTAAATCATCCTAGCCAGGGCTTTGTCAAGCCTGACCTTAAAAACTTCTAAGGAAGGAGATTCCACCACCTCCCTAGGTAATGCATTCCAGTGTTTCACCACCCTCCTAGTGAAAAAGTTTTTCCTAATATCCAACCTAAACCTCCCCCACTGCAACTTGAGACCATTACTCCTTGTCCTGTCCTCTTCTACCACTGAGAATAGTCTAGAACCATCCTCTCTGGAACCACCCTCTCTGGAACCACCTCTCAGGTAGTTGAAAGCAGCTATCAAATCCCCCCTCATTCTTCTCTTCTGCAGACTAAACAATCCCAGTTCCCTCAGCCTCTCCTCATAAGTCATGTGTTCCAGACCTCTAATCATTTTTGTTGCCCTTCGCTGGACTCTCTCCAATTTATCCACATCCTTCTTGTAGTGTGGGGCCCAAAACTGGACACAGTACTCCAGATGAGGCCTCACCAATGTCGAATAGAGGGGGACGATCACGTCCCTCGATCTGCTCGCTATGCCCCTACTTATACATCCCAAAATGCCATTGGCCTTCTTGGCAACAAGGGCACACTGCTGACTCATATCCAGCTTCTCGTCCACTGTCACCCCTAGGTCCTTTTCCACAGAACTGCTGCCTAGCCATTCGGTCCCTAGTCTGTAGCGGTGCATTGGGTTCTTCCATCCTAAGTGCAGGACCCTGCACTTATCCTTATTGAACCTCATCAGGTTTCTTTTGGCCCAATCCTCCAATTTGTCTAGGTCCCTCTGTATCCTATCCCTGCCCTCCAGCGTATCTACCACTCTTCCCAGTTTAGTATCATCCACAAATTTGCTGAGAGTGCAATCCACACCGTCCTCCAGATCATTTATGAAGATATTGAACAAAACCGGCCCCAGGACCGACCCCTGGGGCACTCCACTTGACACCGGCTTCCAACTAGACATGGAGCCATTGATCACTACCCGTTGAGCCCAATAACCTAGCCAACTTTCTACCCACCTTATAGTGCATTCATCCAGCCCATACTTCTTTAACTTGCTGACAAGAATACTGTGGGAGACCGTGTCAAAAGCTTTGCTAAAGTCAAGAAACAATACATCCACTGCTTTCCCTTCATCCACAGAACCAGTAATCTCCTCATAGAAGGCGATTAGATTAGTCAGGCATGACCTTCCCTTGGTGAATCCATGCTGGCTGTTCCTGATCACTTTCCTCTCATGTAAGTGCTTCAGGATTGATTCTTTGAGGATCTGCTCCATGATTTTTCCGGGGACTGAGGTGAGGCTGACTGGCCTGTAGTTCCCAGGATCCTCCTCCTTCCCTTTTTTAAAGATTGGCACTACATTAGTCTTTTTCCAGTCATCTGGGACTTCCCCTGTTCGCCACGAGTTTTCAAAGATAATGGCCAATGGCTCTGCAATCACAGCCGCCAATTCCTTTAGCACTGTCGGATGCAACTCATCCGGCCCCATGGACTTGTGCACGTCCAGCTTTTCTAAATAGTCCCTAACCACCTCTTTCTCCACAGAGGGCTGGCCATCTATTCCCCATGTTGTGATGCCCAGCGCAGCAGTCTGGGAGCTGACCTTGTTCGTGAAGACAGAGGCAAAAAAAGCATTGAGTACATTAGCTTTTTCCACATCCTCTGTCACTAGGTTGCCTCCCTCCTTCATTAAGGGGCCCACACTTTCCTTGGCTTTCTTCTTGTTGCCAACATACCTGAAGAAACCCTTCTTGTTACTCTTGACATCTCTCGCTAGCTGCAGCTCCAGGTGCGATTTGGCCCTCCTGATTTCATTCCTACATGCCCGAGCAATATTTTTATACTCTTCCCTGGTCATATGTCCAACCTTCCACTTCTTGTAAGCTTCTTTTTTATGTTTAAGATCGGCTAGGATTTCACCGTTAAGCCAAGCTGGTCGCCTGCCATATTTACTATTCTTTCGACACATCGGGATGGTTTGTCCCTGTAACCTCAACAGGGATTCCTTGAAATACAGCCAGCTCTCCTGGACTCCTTTCCCCTTCATGTTAGTCCCCCCAGGGGATCCTACCCATCTGTTCCCTGAGGGAGTCGAAGTCTGCTTTCCTGAAGTCCAGGGTCCGTATCCTGCTGCTTACCTTTCTTCCCTGTGTCAGGATCCTGAACTCAACCAACTCATGGTCACTGCCTCCCAGATTCCCATCCACTTTTGCTTCCCCCACTAATTCTTCCCGGTTTGTGAGCAGCAGGTCAAGAAAAGCTCCCCCCCTAGTTGGCTCCTCTAGCACTTGCACCAGGAAATTGTCCCCTACGCTTTCCAAAAACTTCCTGGATTGTCTATGCACCGCTGTATTGCTCTCCCAGCAGATATCAGGAAAATTAAAGTCACCCATGAGAACCAGGGCGTGCGATCTAGTAGCTTCTGCGAGCTGCCGGAAGAAAGTCTCATCCACCTCATCCCCCTGGTCCGGTGGTCTATAGCAGACTCCCACCAGTACATCACTCTTGTTGCTCACACTTCTAAACTTAATCCAGAGACACTCAGGTTTTTCTGCAGTTTCGTACCGGAGCTCTGAGCAGTCATACTGCTCCCTTACATACAGTACTACTCCCCCACCTTTTCTGCCCTGCCTGTCCTTCCTGAACAGTTTATAACCATCCATGACAGTACTCCAGTCATGTGAGTTATCCCACCAAGTCTCTGTTATTCCAATCATGTCATAATTCCTTGACATCACCAGGACCTCCAGTTCTCCCTGCTTGTTTCCAAGGCTTTGTGCGTTCGTATATAAGCACTTGAGATAACCTGCTGATCTCCACTCAGTGCTGAGAATGGGGGGTGATGTTTTCAGAGAACTATCCACAATGACTCCAAGATCTTTCTTGAGTGGTAACAGCTAATTTAGACCCCATCATTCTATATGTATAGTTGGGATTATGTTTTCCAATGTGCATTCCTTTGCATTTATCAACATTGAATTTCATCTGCCATTTTGTTGCCCAGTCACCCAGTTTTGTGAGATCCTTTTGTAGCTCCTTACAGTCTGCTTGGGACTTGACTTAACTATCTTGAGTAGTTTTGTATCATCTGCAAATTTTGCCATTCACTGTTTACCCCTTTTTCCAGATCATTTATGAATATGTTTAATAGGACTGGGCCCCCAGTACAGACCCCTGGGGGACACCACTATTTATCTTTCTCCAAACTGGCCATTTATTCCTACCCTTTGTTTCCTATCTTTTAACCAGTTACCAGTCCATGAGAGGACCTTCCCTCTTATCCCATGACAATTTACTTTACTTAAGAGCCTTTGGTGAGGGACCTTGTCAAAGGCTTTCTGAAAATCTAAGTACACTATATTCACTGGATCCCCCTTGTCTGCATGCTTGTTGACCCCCTCAAAGAATTCTAGTAGATTGGTGAGTCATGATTTCCCTTTACAAAAACCATGTTGACTCTTCCCCAACAAATTATATTCATCTGTGTCTGACCATTTTATTCTTTACTCGAGAACCTTTTAGCTATTATTATTTTTATTTCAAAATACGTTCAGAGAACTTGTCCCCTTTTTTGAATTTCAGCTGTTCTGGAAGAATTATTGCCAGATGGTAACTTTGCCACTACAACTGTAGCTATGGACAATGCTTGGCCTTGGGACCGAATGCAAACTCCAATGAGAAACTGCTGAGCTTGAATTAATATGCAAACTAGATACCATTAACTTGGGTTTGGATAGAGACTGGGAGTGGCTGGGTCATTACACATATTGAATCTATTTCCCTATGTTAAGTATCCTCACACCTTCTTGTCAAACTGTCTAAATGGGCCATCTTGATTATCACTACAAAAGTTTTTTTTTCTCCTGCTGATAATAGCTCATCTTAATTAATTAGCCTCTTACAGTTTGTATGGCAACTTCCACCTTCTCTGTGTGTGTGTGTATATATATCTTACTATATGTTCCATTCTATGTAGCCGATGAAGTGGGCTGTAGTCCACGAAAGCTTATGTGCTAATAAATGTGTTAATCTCTAAGGTGCCACAAGTACTCCTGTTCTTTTTGCGGATACAGACTAACACAGCTGCTACTCTGAAACCTATATACTTATGTACTGTGAACATAAATGAGGAAATAATTTACATAATGATCTAAATATGTATTGTCCTTGCACAATAGATCATCAGTTATGTTATTTCTATAAATAAAGTTGAGCTCATCAGCTACACATAATCACAACAGTCAGTACAGTAATATATATATAACAAAAACGAAATCTGTATAATTGTAACCCTAAATTTGTATGGGTTCCCCCCTTTCACTTACCTTCCTCAGGTTAAAGAACTGAACCATTACCTGGAAGCTGAGAAGTCATGTCGGACAGATTTGGAGATGTATGTGGCTGTTCTGAATACTCAGAAATCAGTCTTGCAAGAAGATGCTGAGAAATTACGGAAAGAACTTCATGAAGGTAACTACATAACAGCAGTCAGTCTGACTTTTGCCTATGCTAAAGAATTGGAAGACAATGTAGACAAAACTTTTTCTCTTGGTTTAATTTGGCTTACTGACCAGATATTTTAAATACTAAGGCATTTGAAGTTTCTACCCAACAAATGATTCTAGTCCTGTTACATATATTTTCAGAGGGTGATCCACTTATTTTCACCAAAGAACGTGTTGAACTTGTACTAAGTTCTGATGGTATCACAGCCTTTGCTCTCATTGTAATCCTGATTTTTCTGGTATCCCTGGGTAGAATTATTAGTAATAGTAATATGTGTTTCTAGTAACACAGTATGCCAAGCGTTGTTGAAACACAGAAGGACATGATCCCATCTCTAATTAGCATACACTCTTATGTCAGAGTTTTATGAGTAATGGGAGAGGAGGATGTATGCCTACATGCACATTTGCATTGAAATAATGTGTCCTAGTTAAGAATATTATTGTCAGTAACTCATGCCTCTAACCCAGGGGTGGGCTAACTTTTTGGTCTGAGGGCCACATCAGGGTTCTGAAACTGTATGGAGGGCCGGGTAGAGAAGGCTGTGCCTTCCCAAACAGCCTGGCCCCCTCCCACTACTCACCCCCTAACTGCCCCCCTCAGAACCTCCGACCCATCCAACCCCCCTTGCTCCTTATCCCCTGACCACCCCCTCCCAGGATCCCCCTCCTCCTTACCATGCCGCTCAGAGCACCAGGACTGGCAGCTGTGCTGACCGGCTGACCAGAGCGCTGGCGGCACGGCGAGCTGAGGCTGCAGGGGAGGGGGGACAGCAGGGAAAGGACCAGGGGATAGCCTCCTCGGCCAGGAGCTCAAAGGCCAGGCAGGATGGTCCCGGGCCATAGTTTGCCCACCTCTGCTCTAACCCTATGAACTCTTGGGACTTAAGAAAACCTCATATGTTTCAATTATTAAACACAGATTAACTTTTTTTTTTTGCATAGAGTCCTTACAGTTACTTTAATTCATAAGACTGTTTAGAGAAAAAATAAAATGGTCTACCGTTACAATCCACTTAAGAATAACTCTTTTTGCTTCCGGAATAGTCTGCCATCTGTTAGACCAAGAGCGACAACAGCATAACCAGTTGAAACATACCTGGCAGAAGGCCAATGACCAGTTCTTGGAGTCTCAGCGTTTGTTGATGAGGGACATGCAACGGATGGAAATCGTTCTGACCTCTGAACAGCTCCGACAAGTTGAAGAACTGAAAAAGAAGGACCAGGTTTCTTGTGTTTTCACTTTGTTTATAGTGTGACATTGTTGAGCTAATATGGTATAATAGTTATTAAATGTACGATCTTTGGACAGGAGAACACATCATTTTGGCTCTTAATTTAGGCTATACTTTGTAAAATATATTAGTTATACCTTCTAAGAAATTATTAAAAGGTTCTGTTTAAGTTTCTGAAAAACTGATAGATAAATACTGACATACCAGTATACGGGTAAAGTTGTATGGCAGTGCCGCCAAGTTCATTACATGGAAATTTAAGAGTGGCTAGAGATTAAGCTTGGAAGTCACCTCCAGTATCCAAGGACTGTGTCAAGGAAATTGGAATGGCAAGTTTTGACTGCCTTTTATTTTTTCTAAACAGTGATTGGACCATGAATAAATTAAAAGAACTTTGTTGCAAGTGCAACTTGAAAGAAATGTTAAATTTTCTTATGCTAAGGATTTTGTGTGTGCTTCAAGGTCACAATTTAAAAAAAAAATGTCCTTGATGTTTGTCATCTTGTATGGTTTCTTTGCATTTTTCAGTGTTCCTAAGGCAGTTAATTTCATCTAGTTTTGTTCTGATTTCCATGCTTTTTTTAATGGAGTTGGTACCATTCAGTGTGTACAGGCATGTTGCTAGCAAGTTCCATAGGATAACCAGCTTAAACAGTTTTGGGTTTTTACCTTTTTCATGGTAGTTGACATACAAAGGGAAGTAAGTAAACAATTCCTTTTGGAACAAAGCTCACTATGGATCCATGAATCAGCCACCAATAGTGAGAGAGGTGCAACTCTCCCTGGGATAAAGTAGAAGCCTTCTCTTGTAAAAATTATACTTGTTTTTCTCCCATCAGTTCCCTCCCAGTTACCTTCCCTCTGCAGTTTGATTTATTAAGGGATTCATGTGATGACCACCAAGTCCAAATTCCTGTGGAATAAGCCAGAAATGAATCCTGTTTAAATGCTTTTTTGTTTACAACTTGCTTCTAGGAAGATGATGAACAGCAGCGACTTAGCAAAGGGAAGAAACAGAAACAACAAGATCCAGATGATGAAACAAAAGTAGTATGCTCTCTAACCCATGAAGAATCCCTTACACAGTTCCTTAATGAAGAGGTAAAACAAATGAGTAGTTCTAAACAACTTTGCGCAGTATGCGTTTCCTAGGGTGTTCAGTGAGCACCCTTGATAAGTATGTATTTGTTTAGCCTCTGCTGGCTATAATTCCTACTAAACGGTGACTATTTTTGAATAGCATTTGTTGGAATAAATACTGAACTACAACTCTTCCATGGATAAGCTTTTTAGAATTATAACTTTGTATTTTCAGTATAACAAAACTGTATTACATTATTAAAATTAGAAAGTGTACATCAGAACCTGTACTTTTGACCGCCTTCTGTCTCAGGCCTCCTGCATTAAAAACCAGCAAAATTATGACGTGAGATTTTCCTCTCTCTGCTATGCTAACTGGTACCTGGTGAATTTCATGCTAATTTTGTGTCAATCAAATTAGTCTTTGGCCTCAAACTAATCATTGGGACAGATCTTCAGCTGGTGTAAAATGTCGTGGCTCCATTAACTTCAGTTGAGCTACCACAATTTTCCCAAGTTGAGGATCTGTTCCCATATGTTTAGCAGCCAAAGGGAAGCTGCCACATCCAGTCCAGAAGCTAGGACTCTGCATTGAAGTTTTGTTGCATCTTCTTGAGCTGGGTATCCCAGTATTAAGTAGCCCCTGTTAGACCAGCCAAAGATGAGAAATACCATTCACAACAATCACCAATTTTTTGGTATATACTGTGTAAATTATACTATTACTGTATATTTTGTGTAGAGTGAAATTATAATATTTGAAATTGCCTCAACTTTTCATTTGTGAAAAGCAAGTAAAATTGAATATACAACCTGAAATTTAGAAACACTATAAAACTAGGCTAGTTGAAATGCATTTTTTTTCTTTAAGTGTTTCTTTAGTCTCTCTAATGATTCACTGACCATTCATCTTTTGGGTGTGCAGCTTAGTAGGGACAAATTTATGTTTAAAAAAACCTTCGTTCCATGCCATAAAAGCTTATATGTAAGCCCTGAAAAATGGATTTGGGACTTTGCATGGCCTTGCACATGCTTTGAGAGAATGTAGGCCAGAGAATGTTGAGAGAGTGACAGAGTTTTTAATATACCTTTACAGTGTTTAACAATCTGCTGTTTTGATTACCAGGTACAAAATGTAAAATACGCATCCCAAACTAGTCTAAAATGCAGACGGATGTTCCAGACCTTTCTGCCATGCAAAACACCCCGGGCTGTCATAATGAAGTCACAAAATCATGTTTCTTTTTTAAATTGTCAGTAGTATTTGATGATTTGCACTTTTTTTATCTCAGAAGTATTGCAATACACCAGCAATTCAGTAGCCCTTTTTGCTGTTAACAAACTTGTTTTTAAAATAATTAAAAATAAACTTATATAAAAATATACTTTAAAGAATTGACTTAAAACTACAGAATTTTCAAATTCACTTTGCCTTAAACCAAATTGTTATGAATAAACACTGCAGTGCACACATGGTTTGAGAGCATTACTGTTCTCAGATTACTTGTAAGGCCTAGGTTTGATGTGATGAGTTAAGGATAAAAAAATTTAAATTTGAATTTCCTTGTCTTGGTCTGTCTAAAATTGAATGCAGGTCCTTAATCTACTTTTCCCCCTTCTATGCTGTCTTGAATGCATTTCTCTACTGGATGGTACAAGGCATGGGTTCTAGAAGAGACTGCTTAGTAAGAAAAAGAGTCAGTGATTTTTTTCAGTTTCTTCAAATAGTGTAATGATGCCTTGGAAATTAGTTGAGAAATCAACTGTAACCTAATCATTGAGACTTAGCTTTATCCTACATCTTCCAATAAGAGTGCTAGCTTTCACAGTCTTTATTTTATACACTGTACAGCAGGCCATCAGCATTTGTGTGCCCAAATCAAGAATCTGGGAACCAGTGAAAAGAACATTCAGTTTATGAACACTTTCTTTTAATTTAATTCCCTGGGACACAATATTTGCTACTGCTTTTTTTTTTTTTTTTTTTAAATAAACAGATGCATTTATTTAGCATTAGCAATCATGCCTACTGGAATATCTTAAGTATTTTATGCTCTGAGTAGAGAATATGGTTTGCTTGGATATATATAGAAGGTAATGACTCCTACAAATCAGTCATGTCATTCACACAATTTGATATACTTCAGCTGTAAGCTCTCTTCTATGGAACATTTAATAGGCTTTACAAGTCATGGATCATTTGCTTGTGTGCACAAACTGTAGCATCAGCCTAATTACCTTCTCTGTATCTTTTTAAAATGACATGTAATCTACACAGAATTCCACCTCTTGGTTACAGCGTAAACTCTTTAGGCATGCTTTTAGGCATATCATCCTCCATCCATTTTAAGCATGTGTTGTGTTGCATTTCCTACAAAATGTAACATGTAAAAAAGGAAACTGCTATTTTTCAGGAAGTCTTAGACAAGCTTTAAATAATGAATCAATACATGCAAAAAAGCCAGCATTAGACATTTTTTTTTAAAACGTGTGAAACATAAATTGCATTGAAGGTTTTCTCTATTGCAAGGGTCCTTGCAGAAAAAAATACCTAAGGGTAAACAATAACGTCATTAGTCAGATTAAAGTGTTTTAGCTTTACTCTCTTCGATGATTATTCAAAATGGAATTTTTAAAAATGTTTAAAAGAAAGATATTCTTAAACATCGATCAGTTAAAAAAAAACCTTGGTTAGAAGTTCTCCAAAAACTTGAATATAGGGATGCAGTTTACTGTCAGACAGACTTTTCTCTTGAGCTTGTATGGCTACTGAAGAAAATGACGTGAAAAAAACCAGATGGAGCACAAGTCATTGATCAGAATTTGAGCCTTATACACAAGTGTTTTTTAGAAATTCTTTGTTTTAAAAATACATACCATAGTTGCATTACAACTTTAAGAATACTACTGATCAATTTTGTGTTTTAAAAATGTGGCGATAAAATGTTTTCCTCCAATAGTTGTAATAACATTACCCAAATTTACATCCTGTCCATTCCTGCCTAGTTTTATGTTAACAGCATGAGCAGAATACTTCATGCCTAACACATGGACTTGAGTCTCTACAACATAACTCATACTATGGCATATTTTATTCCATAATAGTAGTGCCTACTGTGCCCATCTTATTTAAGAAGCTATTTAGTTTCCATCAATAACTTCATTTCAAATTTGCATTCAAGCTAAAGCTTACATATTGCAAATTCTGTTCAGATACAGATTTTTTTAAAATCAGAATTTTGAATTAAATGACAGTGGTTAGTTCTGTTTATTTACACATTGCCTTATGTTCAGTTTTTCAAAATAGGAAAGAATGAGAGTCACTCCATGGACAATTCTGAAAAATTACTGCTCTGTATCCGCACACATGTACTTTTGCCTTAAGGGTTACTAAATAAAAACCTGATTTAGATAGGTACACTTTATACTGAGCCCTGAATGTTACCAAAAGTCAGACTTTTACAGACTGTTAGAAGGAACAAGTTCCTCCATTTAGACAGCCCACCTGGCAATCCTAGAAAGAGCTATTTCTGGAACAGATGCCAAGAACATCTAGAAGAATTTACACTGAATGATGAAAAAAAATAGTAAGACTCTGATTTTCTATGCTATTTGTTTTACATCTCTAAATTAAAAGCAGAAATCATCAAATTGTAATTCTTCTGGGTTTTGTGATTAAGAAAATACATTCACAGACTCCCAACTCTAAGGAGTAGATCAGAGAATAAAGCTAACGTGGTTTGTAGAGATGTTAGAATCCTCAGTGCATGCACACATTTAATTCCACCCTTATTCAGGTTTCCAGTTTATTTTATGCATGCATATATTTATATATGTTGCAGTAGTTTAAGAGGAGAAGCACGTTCTTTAATTAAAATCTCACAAAAATATTGAGCAAGGAGGACAAAGGGATATTTTGTATAAGACCATTTTTTACAAGCAAAGGAAAAAAAACACACCTGTTATTATACAGTTGACTTTAGTTAATAATCATTTCACAGTAATTGTTTTAATGTTAGTGATGTTGATATCAAGCCCAGTTTTGCTCTAGAAATAGATGTTTGTGCTAGCTGGCAGTGGAATTTTGCTTTCACTAATATACAGAATTTTGTAAATAACAAATATGGTACTATGTTGTGTAGCTTGTTTTTCATTGCTAAGTGAGCTGGCAGAGAGGTGCACTTCCTAGGGAAGTGGAGCTCTGTTAGCAAAACAATGCTGGGGAAACTCTGTTGCCACGTATACCATTTTGATTCTGAATCTTTATTTTTCACTCTTAATTTCAGATGTCACAAATGTTCTCCCCAAAGCTAATTTAAATCAGTAGCTATCGTGTCAGATGTTTGACACCCAGTATTCAATTTGTTTTGCTATAACTTCCAGTGCAAAGACAGGAATTTGGCTTACCTTCTCTTTTTTCAATTTCAGGTACATTTAAATAGCACCCATGGATCAGTCCATTCATTAGACACAGACTTGCTATTATCTTCTGGTGAATCTTTCAATAAATCAGACAATGATCTGTTTAAAGATGGACTTCGGAGAGCACAGTCTACAGACAGCCTGGGGACATCAGGATCTTTACAGTCCAAAACTTTAGGATACAACCACAAAGCAAAATCTGCTGGGAATCTGGATGAATCTGATTTTGGACCACTAGTTGGAGCAGATTCAGTGTCTGAGAACTTTGATACTGCCTCTCTTGGGTCTCTGCAAATGCCAAGTGGATTCATGTTAACCAAAGATCAGGAAAAAGCAATCAAAGCAATGACACCAGAGCAAGAAGAGACTGCTTCTCTTCTCTCCAGCGTTACACAGGTTGTAGAAAGTGCTTATGTGTCTCCTAGTGGTTACCGCTTAGTTAGTGAGACAGAATGGAATCTACTTCAGAAGGAGGTAAGTAGCCTGTTTTGTCTTTTCTCTTCCCTCTCCAGTATAGCTTCTGTGTTCAGTGCTTCTGAATCGCTCTGGAGTGGTAGTATTTAATCCAGCAGCTACCAAAGTCTTTACATGGGAAAGGAACTGGAGAAGGAAATTGACTAGCTTCAGAGGGGTTCTGATTTAGGAATCTGACTGTTGCTTCAAAGATGGTTTTGACCCTGAAAAAGTAAGGGAAAAGATACAGAGAAAAGATGAGAAATGAAAAGGAGAAAAGAAAATACAAAGCAACTGTGAGATGTGGGAGCCAAATGTGGTGCAGGACAGGATGAAGAAGCCTGATAGGAAACTGTGGTGGGCCTAACACTGATCCACTTATCCACCAAGGGTTATGCAGGAAACAAAGTTTAGAGGTGAGTGACCAAAATGGTTGTAGCCAGTTCGGCTACAATATAATCAACTGGAGACGTTTTTCAGGGACTTGCTCCTGTAAGGAACAGATTTCCCTGAACTCCATGCAGCAGATTGAAATTGACACATTACAGTTCTAGTTAATTTCACTGTGAGCTGACCAAGGCAAATACCACTTTGGGGAGTTCTATCTGTCTGTTCCTTTAATAACTGTATATGATGCCAAATTAAAAGCCCAGGTTTCTTCTCCTGTCGAGGAGTGCAGTTGTGTTCAGCAGCTATGCCCACCATCTCCACATAGACTAAAATGTAAAGGAAGAGGGGGCTAACAAGAAGCACTAAGAGAATAAACTGGAAGAAAGAAAGGTAAAAATGCAAGTACAAAAAGGGAAGAAGAAAAGGCAAGACGGAAGCAAACACAGGAGGAAGGATTGCCAGAAATGAAAAGATGAATGCTAAAAGGAGGACAGGAAGAAAGAAACAGGGCAGATGCAGTAGTGATTGTTACACTGGTGATCCTAGTATCGCCCTGTGAGAATTACTGGGACACTAGAAATCAGAAGGGCTATTAATAACATACGTAAGAGAACCGCTCTACACAGACAATAAAGCAATTATCTTTTCCTTTAGCACCTAATCTGTTTTGAGGTGAGGAGGGAGACCCTACATTATAATGATTTCATGGGTGAATCCAGTCCTCTATAGCCTTCTGAACATATTCTTGCTCCCTTGGCATTTGGATGACATTTTACTCCAACCCTTTCTTGGAATTCTGAGAGAAATTCTGTTTCCACTTAATTCTGGAGGCAGGAATACAGTCTACACAGGCAGCTATGAATGCAGCTCTGTGTGGGCCGTGAGGAGAGTGAGAAATACATATGAGATTCCAATTCACAGCACTGACTTATAGCTATTGCTTTAGTAAAACACTAGTCTGAATCCCTAATCAAACCATTAAAATGTAAAAATGTCAGCATAGGTCCATCTAGTTCAGTATCCTATCAGACATTGGGCAGTAACAGGTGCATCAGAGGAAGGTGACAAAAAACCCCTAATTAAAGCTGGTTGGTTGTCATAGCAAAAAGCGGGGAAAGTTATGAGGGGGGAAGGAAATGACAAATGTATAAGAAAAACGCCAAAAGTGTTTTATTCTTTTGGAAAAAATACTTATTTTATCATTTTTTAAGCCATTCAGACAATAGGACATTCTCCATACTTCACCTTGCTGAACATATATAGAGCCAAGCCTATTAAAAACATGAAGGAGCCTTGATTGATCGTGTATTGCTGAGAGTTACAATGTCCATATGTGGAATCTTGGCCCCACTGAAGTCAATGGCAAAGCTCCCCTGAACTTCTTCAGGGTCAGGAGGTTGTCTTGCTATGAATGCACCCTAAAAAACATGAGGCCAGATCCTCACCTGGTGTAAATTGGTGTCGCTCCATCAATGGTGCTATGCTAATTTATACCAGCTGGGAATCTGGCCTGTATTATTTTTTTATGAAAAACTTGGAATTATGGAATCTGTTCATAGGGGAAGTTTCTTCCTGACCACAGGCGTATGCCCAGAAGGATAAGTGTTTATACCTCTTGCAATTTTTGTAAAATAAAAAAAAAGGATATTATTCTTATCCATGTAAAAGTTTAATTTTTTTTAATCCTGCTAAGCTTTTGGCCTCAGTGCTACCTAGTGGAAGTGTGTTTCACAGGTTAACTATGCAAGTGGGGGTTTTTTTGGTTTGTTTTTTTTTAGTTGTCTCGTTTTTATTGACTACCTCGATGTTATGTAAGAGTAAATCATGTGTTCCTATTTCATTCTCTACCATTTATTATCAAGTATATCTCTTTCACATTCCCCCTTATTAGTCTCCTCTCCAAGCTTAACGGTGCCACTCTGTGCAATCTCCATGTTGAAGTCTTTCCATTTCTAACCATTTAGATCATTTGTCTTCGGGTCCCTTCTGTTTATATTGCTCTTTAGGCATAAAATAATTTTAATCCTGCTGCTCCATGACTTCTGCTATTGTCTCTTCCAGAAATTGTCCATACCCATAGCTCTTATCTGCAGCAACATTCTATGATTGCACAACATGAGTGAGTCTATATATCACTCCGACATTTCTTCTAAAGTCTTTATGGCAAGTAATAACTTTGTGTCCTCCAGGTGCAGAATGCAGGAAACAAGCTGGGTAGACGTTGTGATATGTGTTCGAATTATGAGAAGCAATTACAGGGAATCCAGATTCAGGAGGCTGAGACAAGAGATCAGGTCAGGGTTTTTTCTTGGGCCGTACAGAGATATCGCAGCTGTAGAAATGGCCAAGAATGTAGCCATTAACTATCTGCCATTTTATCATATTAACTTTTTTTCAGGGATTTAAGTTAACCTACTTCAAATTCTGGGAAACTCATTCCAATTTAGTGCTGTAATCCAATTTGCTGCAATTTCTGTATGAAATCATGCATGCTTGTATATGCATACTACTTAGATATTTGCCAAGTAGTACGCCACATTACATGGTAATGCTCTCTCATGCAATGAAAGACCTCGTGTTTTACCAAAAAGTAAGAATGCATTATGCAGTCATCCTGAATGAAATATCCTTGTAATGATTTTTTGGACTGATCTGAATAATTCTTTAAGTGCTTTTCACTTTATAAATTCTATTGTATTAACTGATACCATGAGAATTGCTGCAGCAAAGGCAAAAGTAGATGATATGTAATTTTTGTGCCAACAGCATAAAATAATTCTAAAGCATCTATGAGTCACCCCCTGCCTGTGCACTGAAGAATTTTTAAGACTTCAACACTTCCCTCTGACTTCATTCTGGGTCTGGGTCATTCAGTCTTCAGAATCATTAAAGGGTATCCTTTTCTTATCCTGAGTAGTAGAGATCCACTTGAATATAGTTTTATATATTTCATTATGGATCTAATCAATAAGGCATGCAGAAAAACAGCAAAGAAACTCTTGTGACTCTCAGTTGTAAATTCAGAATGTTTTTACACTCTCTGTGTTGGGGAAACAGATTTGCCCTTTAAAGAAAGGTTGCTTCCAATCTTTTGGTCTGCCCATGTAGGTGAAAAAGCTGCAGGTGATGCTGAGGCAGGCTAATGACCAGCTGGAAAAAACAATGAAAGATAAACAGGAGCTGGAAGATTACATGAAACAAAGCACTGAAGACTCTGCCACTCAGGTAAAAAAAAAAAAAAAAAAAGCTTCACTGTAGCAAAGAAGTGGATTCTTCAAAAGGAATGTGTTTGTATTCCAGTTCTTACTTTTCAGATAGTCTTCTTGATTGTTAGGATCTGCACACACTCCCTACTCTAGGAGCTACTGAAATGAAAATTTCCAGGATTGCTTGTACTACAGAGTACTGACCTTGTCAGGATGATCGTATAGAAGCATCTGGCATATATCTGTATCTCCTCTGTTGCCCATTTTAGATTTAATGTTGCTTCTGTGGGTCCATTTAGTTATTGCTGACTTCTTTCCATCATCCCCTTGTTCTTCAAGCATGTTGTTAGTCCTTCTAAAGCCATGTTAATTCAACATTCAGGTTAAATTTCACAAACCGGATGCCAAAAAGTCAGCTGTCACTTTAAGTCAACTTGCAAAATGAACTTGTTTTGTTAATCTATATTTTATGGTCCAAAATTTGATTTCTTTGTTCTTTCAGCAAAGACTTTTTAATGCATCAATAAGATGCATTTGTTACAAGCCTGTCAAATATTCTATTCAAGAGGGGGCTTGAGAGCCATTCCACTAGGGATGTGGCTGCTTCTTTGACGTAAGCTGTGTATATACCTATGTCAAGGTTCCTTCCCCACTCTGAACTCTAGGGTACAGATGTGGGGACCTGCATGAAAGATCCCCTAAGCTTATTCTTAAACGCTGCCACCACCAAAGTGTTACACAAAGAACAGGGGAAGTGCCCACTTGGAAACGTCTCTTCCCCCCCCCCCCCAATAACCCCCCAAGCACTACACCCCCTTTCCTGGGGAAGGCTTGATAAAAATCCTCACCAATTTGCATAGATGCACACAGACCCAAACCCTTGGATCTTAAGAACAATGAAAAAGCAATCAGGTTCTTAAAAGAGAATTTTACTTAAAGAAAAAGTAAAAGAATCACCTCTGTAAAATCAGGATGGTAAATACCTTACAGGTTAATCAGATTCAAAACATAGAGAATCCCTCTAGGCAAAACCTTAAGTTACAAAAAGACATAAAAACAGGAATATACATTCCATTCAGCACAACTTATTTTATCAGCCATTTAAACAAAACAGAATCTAACGCATATCTAACTAGATTGCTTACTAACTCCTTTACAGGAGTTCTGACCTGCATTCTGCTCTGGTCTCGGCAAAAACATCACACAGACAGAGAGAACCTTTGTTTCTCTCGCCCCTCCCCCAGCGTGGAAAGTATCTTGTCTCCTCATTGGTCATTTTGGTCAGGTGCCAGCGAGGTTATCTTAGCTTCTTAACCCTTTACAGGTGAAAGGGTTTTTCCTCTGGCCAGGAGGGATTTAAAGGTGTTTACCCTTCCCTTTATATTTATGAAAACCTATAATTCCCTTTGTACCTTTTAATAAGTGGTACTTTCTAGACTCTCTGGAGCATTTCCTAAGAGAACAGCCAACCTAGCATTGGTCACTTGCAAAAATTTATTTTAGACGTGATCCTCGACCCAATGCGCAGCATTTAAGTCTCTTAAGAGTAGAGAGTCGTAGCAGATCCAAAAAATAAGCATGTAAGGTTCTGTGCACCTAGCCTTTTCTAAATCTCTTTTGTGGATATACGCTTCCAGCTAGATTCACAGAGAAACTTAGTCATGGTGACACTGAGCATTGCCACATCTAACTTATACGTGCCTAGAGAATCAGTGGTATTCACAAAGCCTGAGTTTTGTGCCTGAGCTCCCTACATAATGAATGGGGGGAGATGGACACCTCAGAATGGGATTCACAAAAGCCAGCATGCTAGATAGCTCCTCACTTAAGCTAACCAATGGGAAATGCCAAGCCAACAGATGTCTGCTAAGCCCCACCTCTCTCTTGGAGATAAGCACCTAAGTTCGAGGTAGAAGAGGGATGCCTCCCGCTGTTTGGGATTCTCAGCTGCAAATCCTCTCTTAGCATTAGGTGCCTGTGCCATTTTTGCACAGAGGAGTACTCACGTGAGTACCCTAACCACTGGGCTGAAAGCAATGAAGCTTTCCCCCTCTTGGAAATTTTATGTAAGCTTATCTGTGGGGCTTGATCCTGTAGGCAAGCTCTGAGCATGCTTACTGTATCGGGCCCCATAGGTGAGTTGGGCAGATGAACACCTATCGTCCCCTAGTTTGTGCATCGCACTGGGCTTTGGTGTCCAGACAGCTCAGAGGCAGAAACATAGGTGCTTAGCACTTGCATTTTTGCAGTAAAAATTCCTGAGTGAGGTTAAGCACCTACCAGGCTTGGCAGCAGCTGAGCATGAGTTTTGTGAATCCCAGTGGGGCCTGAGTCTGGGTTTTAGGAGCGTAAGTCCTTTTGTGAATCTAGCCCATCATACCATTTAACCTTATCGGCACTTGACAGGTAGCTAATGCAATTGAGGAAACATCCATTTAATGCTTATTTGTTTGGGCAGGGAATGACTATAGTTGATCATAATACACAGCAGTCTTTTCTGATTCTTAAGATGAGAACCTGAATTGGGAAGTTTACAGACTGAAACTCCCCATTTATTATTTTTGCTCTATTTTCACAGCCCTACCATAAGCCTGGTATTTACAGGCTTTTTCAACTTTTTTCTGTGCCTGTAATGTAGAGTACTGTAAACTCAGGGCAACAGACAGGGCAATAATGGAGAAACAGTGTGTGCATAATTTTGGGTGCTACTTCCCTGGAACTAATCCGATTTTTTGTGTGTTTTATCCTACTAATTAAATGACAACCAGTGGACAAAGTCTTCTAGGCATGGAATTAAATGTAGATAGTAGTACTCTAGCTTTCAGTACAGTTCACTCTTTCTATATTTAAGGGAATATCAAATCTAAATAATGAGCACTTTTTTTTTCTTTACAAGCCATGGAATAAGATATAATTTTATTTTATAGTCAGAATTCTGAATCTCTTGTTTTATATTTCAAAAAGTACTGTATGTCCACTGAAAACCTTTTTTTTTTTTTTTTTTCAAGAAAGCATTATCTTTCTAACCTGGAAAAATAGATCTGTTTTTTTCTGCCTTAATTGGCTCTGAAGTGTCTACATTTGGGAATGATCAGAATTAACTACTATTTCCTTGTTAGTTTTCAGTAGAATTAATGTATTATTTGTAGAAAAGCACATCTTAATTCAGTCTGTATGAATTAGAGTATCTCTTTCAAATGATGAGCTTTTGATCCTTGAGCCAATGAAACAAAACCTGGTCTGAGTGAATATAAAGCTGTAATATGTGAAGGACATGTGAGGGGTGAAAAGGGGGAATGGATGGGTATTCAATACACTCTCAAAACCTGCTTAATCTGTTTCAGACACTTAACTATATCTTTGTTTTTTGGAAGATATCTTCACTTATTATTAGATCTCAGGAGTCTGAGACCTTACTCAGTGAATTACAACAGGCATTTTCCCAAGCAAAGAGAAGTGTTCAGGAGCAAATGGTAAAGAAATTTCACTTTTAAATACCTTTTCAAGAATATTGTGTGCTCAGTCTTGCTGATACACTATTTTTAAACATGTAAATGAAAATTAATGGGTTTGTTTATCTTGCTGTCTAACCATGTCAGGTGGGAGAAGACAACCATGCATTTAACATGTAGATATTTATGAACCCCTGTAATGCTAAACCTAAAGCAGTTTGTAATGTCACGGTCTGCACACTTCTCTCACCAAGGTCTCTTCCATACTTGCACAGACCATCCCCCAAACCCACTGGCACTTGTCTTCCCCACCATTGCAAAAAGCTGCTGTGGTAGAAGCTCTTCTGGGAGAAGTTCTGGCTCGGGAGTCCCTCATTCTCTGCTGCACAGGAAAGCCCAGGAATTTAGGTTTCTGATGTGGTGGAGCCAGGGGCCGCCTCATCATACTTGCCTTTTGGCTGATGAATGGATCTTGCTCCCTGTTGCTCTCAGCACTTGAAAGGAGGAAAGACCCACAACCCTGCAGCAGCATGGTGAAGCTTCTTTCCAGAAAGAGACCAAGTTTGGTCTTTAAATATAGCCACCTTATCTGTGTGTCTCAGACCTTTTTTCGTGTGTATATGCATGTTTACAAAAAAAAAATTTAAAGTTGCAAAGTCAAACACTCAGAAGTTAGGAAATGCCAGAATTCAGGTTGCATGTGCAACCTTAATTGGCCCCCTTATATGCACATTATGATAGTCTCTAATTACATGATCTCATACTACTTTTTCCACAGGACCCCAGCCTCCTTCAATGCACAGAATGGATGGTGCTCATTTTAAGCAGCTGTTTAATATTTTGTGCACTCTTTGTTGTTCTGTGTGTGGCACCAGGCCTTATTTACTGCACACTATTCACACCCTGCTCTGAAGGTAGAATTAATAATTTCCTCATGGGCTTTTGTATGACACTAATCATAGAATCATAGACTATCAGGGTTGGAAGGGACCTCAGGAGGTCATCTAGTCCAACCCACTGCTCAAAGCAGGACCAATCCCCAACTAAATCACATATAGGATCCAAGTGCTTCACAGACATTAAGGAATTTATTTTCACAGTGCTCCTGATGAAGGGGTATTAGCCCAATTTTACAGATGGGAAATTGCCACACAGAAATTAAGATCCAAAAATTCCACTAACTTTTGGTGCCCAATTTGAGATGCCTAAGGCCAGTTTTTTTTCCTTCAGAGCATAGCATTATATGACACTTTATATGTTCAAGCAAGCTGCCGTGACATCACAGTTACAGCTGTGAATGCTCAGCACTTGTGCAAATCAGACTCAAAGGTCTCAAGTCAGGCACCAAGAAACTGAAGAGCACATTTGTGTCCACCTGTGAAAACTTTGGCATAAGAGATGTGCGTGGCATCACATAGGAAGTCTGTGACAGAGGCAGGGATAGAACCCAATTCCACAGGGCATCATTCAACAGCCTTACCCACGAGACCATCCTTTCTCTTCATGCAGTCCCCTGCCTCAATCCTACCCAGCTTCCTCAGCAAATGAAGCAGAGGTCTTCCAGATGAGTCTCCTTTGCTAACAACCCTGATTTATCTCCAGAGCAATGAATGAGATAGATCCATTAAGAAAAAATTGTATATTATCCTGTAACTAGATGATATCATAATTTGGCCCACTTGTGTGTATGCACTGAGGTTGCACAGGCAACCGAAATTCTGACATTTCCTACCTTTTGGAGTGCTTGGGCTTTGCAACTTGATTTTTAAAAAATAGGAAGTTATATATTAGAAGAACAAAGCAAATGAAATAACAATTTCAATTGTGTGGCAGCATAGCAACACAAAATGGTTAACCAGCAGAACTTCAGGATCCACCTCAGACTTTTGAGTAGGAGGTGCTATGAAAGCCCACCTGTAAATATTCAAAGATGGAACTTGGTCTCTTTATTAATATAATTATTTAGGTAGACAGAAAAAAAAAAAACACATGTGTCCCACACACCACCTTGTCCACTGGCTATAAGAAAACTGCAAGATACATAATAGGGCTGTATGTATGGCCTGCTCTTTTACTTATGACTGACTGCTGTTAAGCTATTAAATTAAATGAAATGTATCTTTTATGTAGGTAATTGGTAAGTGTTAAATCTTTGTCGGTGTTTTGGTTTTACTTTTTACTAGTACTGGACTAACCAAGGCTAACCAGGGGGAGTTGATCCGTACTGCCATCCTCCTTCACAGAGAGTATAAATTTCCCTGGGTTCCACTAGCTTTGGAAGCACTGTGACAAATTGGCTGTGAATAGACCCGAGCATGATTTTAAGACTCTAATTTTGCATTTTCTCCTTACATTGGAGGCTGTCCTGATGCAGTCGAGGGAGCAGGTCTCAGAAGAGTTGGTGAGACTGCAAAAAGATAATGAAAGCCTTCAGGGAAAGCATAGCTTGCATGTGTCTTTACAGCAAGCTGAAGATTTCAGTCTGCCAGAATCAATGGAGGTAAAATATTTTGCAATGATTGATTAAAATATTTAAATGAACAAAATGTAACAGTAGAATTAAGTGGAAGAAGTTACGTACTGGTCTGGTAAAACTGAGAAACAACCGGATTCTAAATTTAAGGTCTTGACTCTGCAAGGCATTGTGTGGGGGTGGCAGAGGTGTGCACAGATTAGTTATGGTTCATCTGAAGTGTGAGAGGTGGCTTTGTGTAGGAGCAGTGAAGGTTAAGAACTGGCAGAATCTTTCATACTGAGCTATAATAAATCTCAACACCCCTACATGTCCACTCCCTTACACTCAAGCATAGCAGGTAAATAGTGGATTGGGGCATGAAGAGAATTAATGTGTGTGAAGAGAGAGATTTCTTAATTTACCTCGACCACGCAAATTTTGTTGTACTACTTTAAAATCTTTTTGGGGATGGGGCCTGAGATGCTGAGACAGAGCAAAAAAACCACTGGTAATTTGACTTTCTATCTGTGACTGGTATCAGGGTACATTGCTTTCTATGTATGTGAAAATGTTGTAACTGAAATTTCTTGCTAATCTTCAATTCAGGAACTCCGTGAGCTGGTATTAAAATATCGTGAAGACATTCTTAGTGTACGGACTGCAGCAGATCACCTTGAAGAAAAACTGAAGGCAGAAATTTTATTCTTAAAAGAACAGATTCAGGCTGAACAGTGTCTAAAGGAAAATTTAGAAGAAACTCTACAGCTGGAGATAGAAAATTGCAAAGAAGAAATAGGTGAGAAGGGGCAAAATAATCTAGAAAGAGATACCTGTGTGGGAAAATAGATTCTTGAGGACTTGTTTTGGGGTAACTTAAGTCAAATTTATCCATATTATCATCAGAAGAATTCAGTCCAGTGTCCCGTTTGGCATGCTTTTGGAAAATGCACAAAATAGTAGGGCAGTCAATTAATCACAGTTAACTCACGCGATTAACTAAAAAAAAATTAATCACGATTTAAAAAATTAATCGCGATTCATCGCCATTTTAATTGCACTGTTAATAGAATACCAATTGAAATTTATTAAATATTTTGAATGTTTTTCTACATTTTCAAATATATCCATTTCAGTTACAACGAAGAATACAAAGCGTACAGTGCTCACTTTATATTATTTTTATTACAGATATTTGCAGTGTAAAAATGATAAACAAAAGAAATAGTGTTTTTCAATTCCCCTCATACAAGTACCATAGTGAGGTTTTTATTTGATAGGGAATACTACTAGCATGGTGGTTTTTAGTGGGAGATGCTGGTTCTATCTCATTATTGCTGAAACCGCCTCTTTTACTTGCTCTGTTTTCTGAGGGTTATCAGCCCTCTGCTAGAGGGGAAGCAGAATCTTGCAGCTAGATGAGTAAAAATGAGAAGATGATTAAAAGAATAAAAGTTATGTTTAAGTTAGTAAGTGCATATTAAAAATGTGATTACAGAACAGGTAACTGATAGAAATAAACCAAAACACAGAAAAAGAGAGGTAATTGTTTATATTGATATAGCATCCAAAGTGTGTTCATTCAGGTCTCATTGCTGGAGCTTTTTTGATGCAAGTCAAAATGTAGGTACAGGGAAAAGGGTGCAACACAGTATTTTTGTTTGGAGTGAAATTAAATCTGTTTTGCCAGCCTTGCCTTCCATGCTGTTAGTTTTATTTACAAACAAGGAGAGGGGGTTAAAAGCTTCCCTAACGTGTAGCACATAAAAATGAAATGGTTTCTTTCTCCTCAAATGTTTAAAAAGTAAGGGGATCAAAAGACAGTTCTGTACCATACTAAAATTCAACTAAGACAAAAGGCAGCTGAGTAACCAGATGGGAAGTGGTATGTGCTACTCCAGGAGAGCAAGAAGTAACTTGGGCTCCCCGGGTTGGCAGAAGCTGGGAGAAAGAGGAGACACTTGGCCCTATTTTCAGGGCAGGTTGCCTTTTTCTAAGTGTTCTTCAAGTGGGCATGACTTTTTTTTTTTTTTTAAATGTTGCAATTCAGTTTTTCTCCTTAATCCATAGCTCCTGGGGGGAGGGTGTGTGTGTCAAGATTCCTTTCTTCTAACAACTAAAATTTAGCATTTGCTCTTAATCTCAGAAATCCTTCTCCTGGTGCTAACATGATAAAAATAATGAACTGTGCTTGATGCATATTAGAGATGCATGTAACCTGCACTGACTGGGTTACATCAGGTACATATTTAAGTCCCTCTCTTGACCCATTGTCACATTCAGTGTAACTCACACTTACAGTTCTATCCAGAACTCTGCATTATTAACATGTTTACTTATTTCAAGGCTGGACATTTAAAGTGTGTATAAGACACAGCATAGCAGACCAGCGTTACAAAACAAAGCTCTAAATCTTCTGAAAAAGCACACATTTTTGCAGTTTCACAATAAATTAATTTCATGATATTAATGGTACCTTAATAACAGCACTGCATTCTCTGGGAGACCAAAATTTAACCAGGGAGGGGATGTCACTCCCCAAACGTTTCTGTGTGTTCCAGACACAATAGTGATGGGTGTGGCACGAGAACATGGATAAAATAGGTCGGGTTGAGGAGAAGGCGATTGTCCCTGCCTCTCTCTGTTCATACGATAGGGCTATGTTGGCAGCCGCCTTAAAGGAGATCATTTACCTACCAGAGGAAGATTGCCATGGTCATAAGCTATTGAGAGTTATAAGGGGGAAAATGGTAACTCCCAGAATGAATGAAGAGAAATCTTCAGAACTCATCCTTGCTGGGATCAGTTGGATTACACATTAGCCTTGCAGAGAACACTGGCTGGGGGTAAACCATTCAATATAGTAAAAAGAGCTTTAGATACATTTACCATGATATAATATTTTGATTTTTTTTAATGGGTTGATGAAAGTGAGGTGTAAAATCTGGAGAAGCTAGTGCCTTGATGAAGTGAAAATTTTGTTTTTTCCTCTGCTTTGCAGCTTCCATTTCTAGCCTAAAAGCTGAATTGGAAAGAATAAAAGTGGAAAAGGAACAGGTAAGAGTTCAGTTTGAAGATCATTTAAGAATTTTGCAGACTTAAATGTGGAAAATTTAACCTGATAAAATGGGCAGGAAGGAGAATCCCAGCAAGGTGATTCATTCTTACTGTTCTAGAGTCTCTGTGTCAATATCAGTCCCTCTCATGTGAGAGAAAATAAGCTAACTTTCCTTGCTGGCTCTGCTTAGTTGTTACTAATCAAAATATGTATTTTGTAAAATGACTCTGAATGAGGATATTATCTGACAAGTCACTCATGTCTAGGGAGGTACAAGCAGGATAGTTGGGAATTATTGAACCACATTGAGGCCTTCATGTCCCTGTAGCTGTGAAATAGAAGAGAATTTACTTCCTTCCATAAAAAGGAAGGAGTGCTTATTCTGTGTAAGAGAGTTTTCTGACCACAGTGTACTTTGCCAGATTGTTGTAAGTTGAGAACTTGTATGCTTCTGGATTTTGAGGAGCAGCACTATCATTTAAAAGAAACAAATAAGTAGACGTTTGGAACTCTGAAGGACAGAATTATAATATGGGCAACAGTGTAAGTCTTTTGTAACCTTAACAGAGGCTCTCCTAATGCTTAAAATTGTATGTACTTTCTATACTAATCTTAATAGGTTAAATGTTGTTTGCTACAGGCATTTCCTTCCAGTTTCAGAAAAGAAAGGGGTGATGGCATGTTTACCTGGGAGTTTCTCTACAAAGGCAGTTACACTGACCTTTCTATGTAAGGTTTTGAATGCCAGACACCTGTGGAAAAAGAAAATTTTAGAGGCTTTCAGGTAATTGATTTTCTCTGATTTCACAGTTGGAGTGCACCTTGCAGGAAAAACAGCAGCAGCTGGAGAGTCTTCAGGAAATGAAAAACACTCTTGAAGAACAGCTAAAGAAGGAAACCACTGCAAAGGTAACTGTTATGTTGGTGGCTCTGTATGAAAGTAAGTTTTGAATTTGTACAGACACTTGTGTTTTGTCAAGCATAGTGTTCTGAAAGCTCACACTTCTGGTCAAAATGGGTATTGCTAACAGTAAAGGATGAAACAGAAAGGGGAAGAGTGGATCTCAGGAGATGTCCTGAGTGTGCAAGTCTCCCTAGGGAAGTTGTTGAAAGCTTCATTCCCAGTCATTTTAAAACTGGATTAACCAGTCTGGGTCCCCTGAGACTCTGAATATTTGACATTTCAGTGTTTACTGTAAGGAACAGTACTACACTGGCAGAGGAATGAATTAATTGTGGTCTGATTTCTATACCACCTTGATCAAAACCCCAACAGAAAACATAGTAATCTAGTTGTGAGAGAATCATGACCCTCCATCTACTGTCTGATTTCACCATCAGAAACTTGCAGATTTACTTGGAGACATGTGGAAATAAGGTGGTATGGAAGGGCTTTTTCCTACATTAATGAATTAATTGTCACCGTCCTCATACTCTTGGAAACTGGGTATTAAACCTTTTTTTCAGATAGGGAAACTGAGGCATGGAGAGGGTAAATGGTTGGTCCAACTTCAGGCAGAAAGACTGTGGAATATACCCAGATCACCTGATTCTCAGACCCATACTTAATCAGAAGGTCCATCCATGCCCCTTTTGTATATAGTTTAAGCACATCAATAACTTGTCTCTTTCCAGACTAACCTTGAACAGTTGATGTTTGAAGAAAAGAACAAAGCTCAGCGACTGCAGACTGAATTAGATGTCAGTGAGCAAGTACAGAGAGACTTTGTAAAGCTTTCTCAGACCCTTCAGGTAAGAGATGTGTAATCCATCTGTCCCAAGTGTTGCATTTGTTCATGCCCATATGTATTCTGTCACCCTTGTAGTTGAGGTGCAGAGCGACATAAAAACTGGGACTATAAACCAACTGATAGTATTGTGAGCAGTAAAGAATTATTAGTCTAAGCCAGGAATCCAGCTTGTTTTAGAGACTAGCTGAGCTCTTAGTTAGCCTGGATCTGACTGCCAAGATGTAGTGCCAATCTTTAAAAAAGGGAAGGAGGAGGATCCTGGGAACTACAGGCCAGTCAGCCTCACCTCAGTCCCTGGAAAAATCATGGAGCAGGTCCTCAAAGAATCAATCCTGAAGCACTTACATGAGAGGAAAGTGATCAGGAACAGCCAGCATGGATTCACCAAGGGAAGGTCATGCCTGACTAATCTAATCGCCTTCTGTGATGAGATTACTGGTTCTGTGGATGAAGGGAAAGCAGTGGATGTATTGTTTCTTGACTTTAGCAAAGCTTTTGACACGGTCTCCCACAGTATTCTTGTCAGCAAGTTAAAGAAGTATGGGCTGGATGAATGCACTATAAGGTGGGTAGAAAGTTGGCTAGATTGTTGGGCTCAACGGGTAGTGATCAATGGCTCCATGTCTAGTTGGCTGCTGGTGTCAAGTGGAGTGCCCCAGGGGTCGGTCCTGTTCAATATCTTCATAAATGATCTGGAGGACGGTGTGGATTGCACTCTCAGCAAATTTGCGGATGATACTAAACTGGGAGGAGTGGTAGATACGCTGGAGGGCAGGAATAGGATACAGAGGGACCTAGACAAATTGGAGGATTGGGCCAAAAGAAACCTGATGAGGTTCAATAAGGATAAGTGCAGGGTCCTGCACTTAGGACGGAAGAACCCAATGCACAGCTACAGACTAGGGACCGAATGGCTAGGCAGCAGTTCTGTGGAAAAGGACCTAGGGGTGACAGTGGACGAGAAGCTGGATATGAGTCAGCGGTGTGCTCTTGTTGCCAAGAAGGCCAATGGCATTTTGGGATGTATAAGTAGGGGCATAGCGAGCAGATCGAGGGACGTGATCGTCACCCTCTATTCGACATTGGTGAGGCCTCATCTGGAGTACTGTGTCCAGTTTTGGGCCCCACACTACAAGAAGGATGTGGATAAATTGGAGAGAGTCCAGCGAAGGACAACAAAAATGATTAGGGGTCTGGAACACGACTTATGAGGAGAGGCTGAGGGAACTGGGATTGTTTAGTCTGCAGAAGAGAAGAATGAGGGGGGGATTTGATAGCTGCTTTCAACTACCTGAGAGTGGTTCCAGAGAGGATGGTTCTAGACTATTCTCAGTGGTAGAAGAGGACAGGACAAGGAGTAATGGTCTCAAGTTGCAGTGGGGGAGGATTAGGTTGGATATTAGGAAAAACTTTTTCACTAGGAGGGTGGTGAAACACTGGAATGCGTTACCTAGGGAGGTGGTAGAATCTCCTTCCTTAGAAGTTTTTAAGGTCAGGCTTGACAAAGCCCTGGCTGGGATGATTTAATTGGGGATTGGTCCTGCTTTGAGCAGGGGGGTTGGACTAGATGACCTTCAGAGGTCATAGAATCATAGAATATCAGGGTTGGAAGGGACCTCTGGAGGTCATCTAGTCCAACCCCCTGCTCAAAGCAGGACCAATCCCCAACTAAATCATCCCAGCCAGGCCTTTGTCAAGCCTGACCTTAAAAACCTCTAAGGAAGGAGATTCCACCACTTCCCAGTAGCCAGTAGGGAGTTATTGCATTAAATGGAGTTGTACAGAACTACATAAATAATAGCTCCATGTTTCCCTAACATTGCAGAGACCACCTCATGATTTTCCCTCAGTGTATAATTTAGTCATAGTGATTCATCATGATGTAAATATTCAAGTACAATGTCAGGAATTTGCATAACCACTCCTGGGCTGTTTATTTGCTGCTTTTTAAGCTATAGCACATGATAGATTGTTATCCCTATCACTGAATCATGTGTTTGATCCTAAAAGGAAGAAGCTATAGTTGAGCTCAGGAAATCACAAGTTAGCGGAAGAAAGAGATTTTAATACTTACGGATTTTTGGGTAATCTTTCATGCAATGGAGCATGGTTCAGTTTGCATTGCAGTTTCTTATCCATCCAGCCAGATCTCTCATCAGGGGTATACTAAGGTTCAGTCCTTTATCCTTTAACTTCGTGTACCAACTGTTCCGTAAAGAGTCGCTTACAATTTATAAACTTTTATTTTTAAGTCACGTTTCCTAGTTTAGCTAGTAAACAAAATCAAGAATCTTTGAGCGCCCAATAAAAGAACTCAGCATGTTGCTTGCTGGAGGTGGTCCCCATGGATGGGCAGAGTGGGTTGTTAACACTTTCTCCTACTTGTTTCTGTAGGACTAGGCAGTACAAATAAGAGACAACTAAGCTAACATTCTCTGTAAAACTGCTTTTTACTTGCTGTCGTCCTTTTACAAATCCTTGCACTGCTTTGAAAATGCATCGGCTCAATTTCCATAGTGAAAATGTACACAGTTCTTGTTTCAAAATATTCATGTAGCTCCAAAGAGCTACAGTAAAAAGTAGTCACTGTTACTATGTCACTTGCCACTGTCTTCCTGATTCCAGCTTTGTTTGTATGGTTATGTTTGTCACAGGCTTCTGCCTGTGTTTCCTGTGGCTGGACTGTCCTTGTTATGTCACTCCAGTCCCACAGCTATTCGCCTCTTCTGTAGGAATGAGCGTGCCCACTCTGACATACTGAACGATTGGTAGAATAACTAGTCAGTGTTTTATGTGCTGGCTCCACTGTGTGTAATACAAGCCCTGCTGTATAATGTATGAGGATTTTAGTTTCTCCTTGATAGTTGGCAAGAGTTATTTCCTTTCCTCTCCTTGCCGCTGCGGGGTCTGGATGCACTTCTTTTTTCTGTGGACTGATGAGTTCGATACAAGCTCTGGAGAAAACAGGCCATGTCAGTGGTTGATTACTGTATATCTAAATCAACTAGCCACTAGTTGTTAGGAGTTCCTGATGCTAAGAACCATCATCCTGATGCTAAGTCCTCTTGATGCCAGGTAGCCCTGAATCCAAATTCCAGGGAGTAATTTGATACGCAGAAAACATATTAAATACTTACTACAGATTGTCAAGGCAGGGGTCTAATAGATGTCTTTACATATTTACATAAGTAAAACTAATTATTTAATAGCTCATTAGTTACACTAGCTTGGAATCACAAGGCCTAGTCTAAAGACAAGAAGAAACCTTATTCAATGAATGAACATGTTTATTGATTTAATTAATAAATAACAGGGGTTAGTTATCCACTTGCTTGCTTTACACTCAATTAGAAGGCTTACAGCTGCTGCCATAAATTAATTTCCCTCTTGTCGCTCTACATAAGAATGGCCATACGGGGTCAGACCAAAGGTCCATCTAGCCCAGTATCCTGTTATGCAAAAAGTTTTGTTTTGTTTTAAAGAATTAGGCAGGCACAGACAATACTGAAGGGGGTTTATTCATGGTACCGGGAAGACTGACAAGCAGCTTCAAAAATATGGTGCCATAGTGGCCAGTTATATACATTCTTTTATTAATTTATTAGTATTTATTTGTAGATACAAAAACAAACATTGTTACAAGTAAAAAAAAAAAAAAAAAAAACCCCTAAACAAAAATAAAACTAAAAACAGTACATATGTATAAAGGTCATCCTATTGCATTAAGCATCTGTGGCTACCTTCCGGGGGAAGGAGGCGGGGTGAGGGAGTAGGAATAAGTGCTTACAAATATCTAGTGGGCTGTGAAGGAAGAGTTAGCATTGTTCTAAAAGCTGAGTTACTGGTTGGGCATTAACCATATAAGCTAAGCTATCAAAAATGACGTCGTTGCTTTTTAGCAGTTTCTGTCTTTTTTGCTAGCTAAATTTTAACTCCTTCCTAACACTGTCTTCCGACAGTGGCCAATGCCAGGTGCCCCAGAGGGAATTGAACAGAACAGGTAATCATCAAGTGACCCATTCCCAGCTTCTGGCAAACAGAGACTAGGGACACCATCCCTGCCCATCCTGGCTAATAGGTTCATCAATGGCTATCTTGCATGAATTTATCTAGTTCTTTTTTGAATCCTGTTATAATCTTGCCTTCACAACATCCTCTGGCAAGGATTTCCACAGGTTGACTGTGCATTGTGTGAAAAAATACTTTTTTGTTTGTTTTAAACCTGCTGCCTATTAATGTCATTTGGGTGACCCCTAGTTCTTGTGTTACAGGGAGTAAATAACATTTATTTACTTTCTCTACCCTGGTCATGATTTTATAGACCTCTGTCATATCCCCTCTTAGTTGTCTTTTTTCCAAGCTGAAAAGTCCCAGTCTTATTTATCTCTCCTCATATGGAAGCCATTCCATACCCCTAATAATTTTTGTTGCCCTTTTATGAACCTTTTCTGATTCCAATATATCTTTTTTGAGATATGGTGACCACATCTGCGTGCAGTATTCAAGATGTGGGCGTACCATGGATTTATATAGAGGCAATGGGATATTTTCTGTCTTATTATCTATCCCTTTCTTAATGATTCCCAACATTCTGTTCACTTTTTTGACTGCACATTAAGTGGATGATTTCAGAGAACTATCCATAATGACTCCAAGATCTCTTTCTTGAGTGGTAACAGCTAATTTAGACCCCATCATTTTATATGTATAGTTGGGATTATGTTTTCCAGGGTGCATTACTTTGCATTTATCAACATTGAATTTCATCTGCCATTTTGTTGCCCAGTCACCCAGTTTTGAGAGATCCTTTTGTAGCTCTTTGCAGTCTGCCTGGGACTTAACTAACTTGAGTAGTTTTGTATCATCTGCAAATTTTGTCATTCACCGTTTACCTCTTTTTCCAGAGCTAAACTGGCATAACCTCGTAGCATAGACTCAAAGTACAACAGCAGAAGGGGTTTTTCCATTGCTTTAGGAACTTCTCCTCCCCAAGCAACAGTAGCTAGGTCAGAAACTTGGCTTTTCCACATGTCTAGCTCTTAGCAGAGTTCTCGTCTTTGATTTCCTACACCTAAATGGGCAATCTGTATTTTATTTTCCTGTGGGTTGACAGGATTTAAACAAGATTAGATCCCTACTGCCACTACTCAGTTTTTCCCCAGAAACATTTACCTTGTTTAAACACTGGAATTGTCAATCATTTTGTGAATTGCATCAAGATGTGTATCAAATATAGAACATGCTGATGTTCGGAGTAATTCTGTAAGTTCAATGTAGACGAGAGCTCCTTTGCCATGTTTTGATGTCCTGGGCATCTTTACCAGTCATTCAAAGTATTGCACTTGCATGGTTAACATTTAATGGGGGATGGTGGTATGTGAATCGGCTCAGTGAAGAAATAAAGTTCCACATGTAAGGAAACAGTTGAATGGTAAAGTAACTGTACATGCTTTTGCCCCTTTTTCACTTGATCTTGAATGAACATACTTGAACCCTCTCTTCAGGCATGCATGGCATAAGAAAGCACTACTGGGTAATACTGAATATCCTAAGGGAAGAACTCTAAAACCATGGCAGAAATGGGAGAGGAAACCATTTCAGATTCTCTGTAGGGGTTGGCATCAACTAATGCCATCACTGACTAGAGGCTTACAAACTAACTGGCATGGGCTTTCCAGAGATAGCAACCAAGTCCGTTACTGTTGACTGAATTAGACCCTTGACAGACCACAGAGAGGTGCACTGTTTCTCAGTGGAGAGTACAGTCCCATTGTTTCATGTGCAGAAGTGGGCAGTGTGGATATGCTGACATAGCATGTCGGAACAGATAGCGTCTACACTAATACCGAATCTTCCGGTTTGAGAAGTATTGCACGCATTTTACGAGCTCATTGCTTTTTGTAGGTGCAGTTGGAACGGATCCGGCAGGCAGATTCCTTGGAGAGAATCCGTGCAATCCTGAACGACACAAAACTGACAGACATTAATCAGCTTCCTGAAACATGACACCCTGATGGGCAGGGCTCCAAGGCTGCCTTCGGGGCTTTTAACTCCTCTTTATAGCAACATTAATTATTTAACTCTAACTGAAAGAGCAGATGATGACAGAGGGGAGCAATGACTGAGTTTGTTTCTAGAGGGGAGAAGGTTTTGCACAGGGCAGGAAGAGAGAACCAGGGAGCCTTGCAGTGTAGAAGAGCATTTTCTAATGGGAACACTAATGGGTGCAGTGGTGTTTTCCATGGTAAGTGGAAACAAGTCCTTCACATTCTGAAAAATATTTTTTTTTCCTTTTGGCCAACTTCTTAACCTAATATAGAGATCTGGAATATTCCCCCCAAATACTGTGATCAAAGTAGCTGCTGGAAATCCTGTTGTCCCTCAAAACACATTGAAGAGCAAAGTGATTGAAGTTTTTCTGTTTTGAATAGTCAGTAACAGTATTCAGCTAGCAGACAGCCTGAGGTGTAGTGTGCTGTATGAATATTTTATATTAAAATATGAATTTATTAGCAGGACACTGGATATTGATCTTCTTTCCTAACTCAGTGCTTTTTTTAAAACTTTTAGTTTTTGTTGAACAATCTGAATGCTGTTGAAATGTGATGGATATGAGTGAGCTGTGCGTCTCAGGAACGGATCAGTAAAGAAGGGACTGCAAAGTAAAATTCTGGGGTTAAAGAAATGCACTATTTAATACCTCTTCTTCACAGGTTTAATTTAAAAAATGGAACCATAACTGATCCTTTCTCAATTTTAGAACGGAGGTGTTGCTAGTCCCATATTTGTGTTAAGACTGTTAACAAAACTCTGTGTACCATTTAAGCAACATATAGGGCATTTGCACATCATCTCTGCTGGGATGAACGTCACTCTGTGTGAACTAGCTTTTACCCAGTGTAAATTGTAGTTGAAAAAGAAAGATGATTCTGAATTAAGGAAAAATTCAAAGTCTCTCACATGCCACACGCATCAGTCTGTATCGCATAGCACAAAAGCAGCCTGAACTGCGTGATGCTGCAGGTTTTGTTCAAGTGCAGTGCATCTCAAATATGGTGTCCAGATATTGCTTAAAACAGAGGCAAATAACTCAAATCCTACTCTGACCCTTAACTACACACTAAGGTAACACTATGCAACGAGACTGTGATGTTCTACACAGGTGCTAGGTTTGGGTTTCTTGTCATACAAAACAGTATTATAACATGACTTTAAAAAAAAAAAATAATTCCATGCAGGAGATCAGATGATGATGGCTTATCTGCCACTGTACTACTAAGTGTTGCAAATTCTGAATATTTGGACTGGCCTCTGCGATAACTGAACTAGCTCTAACCTTTGAGAGGAACGGAAGTTGTCAGTTGATCAGTGTTTCAGCCTTTACTAATGAAAAGGTTAGTAGGAATATACTTTCTGAATATTAACATTGAGCATCCACAATTCTTAAGTGGGCATATGTACTATATTGTGTGTACACACTTGAAACATTGGGCCTGTGTTTGGCAGCAGGAGTCACAGGAAAAGCAACAGTTTATATCCCCTTAAATTAGCTAACCTTCTACAATGCAGTGGTGGTGGTGTGGGTCCCAAGATAAAGGTGGGTGAGGTAATTTTCGTTTTATTGAACCAACGTCTGTGTGTTGGTGAGAGCTTGTTTCCACGAAAAGATATTACCTCACCCACCTTATGTTGCTAATGTTCTACTGGTACTTAAACCTGGTAGCAGTGCTTTAAGGAGGGCAGCTCTTTTATGTGAACTGGAATAAATAGAACATTAAATTCTTTGTAGCACCTAGTAGCCTGGCACAAAAATAATTAACTTTTGAGGTGAGGTTGCTAGGCTGCATATCCCAAACTGGAAGAAAGCAAGGAAATAATCATTCAACATCTTTTCTGCACTGAATCACTTCCTCTTCTCAGCCTCAACTCTGCTCATTGTTTTCACTGAAATGGCTTTCATGTACTGCATTTCATGTAGCTGTGATGCCTTGCTGCAGTCTTCAGGACAAGTGAGTGGGTGAGCGGTCATAAAACTAATATAGAAATTACAGAATGGAAACTTGCATGTTGGTGTACTAAATTTTTATAGCCTGGAAAGGTGGCTGCATGTAGAATTAGGATGAGAGTAGGGGTACACAGGCTCTGGAAGGGGAACTAAATGATTAATCTTTGCTTTTACAGATTGTATTGTGTGATTCAGTTCAGCAACCTCACTTCAGGTTTTTGTGTTTCACAGACAGCTATGAATACTGATGTATTATTTTCCAGTCTCACTTTGCTACTCCATGTTCCCTTTCCCTACCTTGATCTTCTTTCAAACTATTAGGTACCAGTGTTTAAAGGTAGAGTGTAGTATGGGCATGGGCTCCTTACTGCACACTCTGCCTATGTGCAGGATAGAGTGAGTCCAAAAACAAAAGGCTTCTAGCTTTTGTCGAATGGCAAAGATGAAGTGGTTGACTGCAGTTCCAACAACTAAGCTTAGAGAACTAGACTGTCAAAAAACAGAGCCCCTATAGCTGAGCTGCTGTTAGACTGTGGGGATAGTGCTGGTTTAGCCAGAAGAACCCAAAGGTGTGAGAAAAGTAAGACACTAAAATTTCTTCAGGAAAAGTCAAACACAGAAAACTCAGGTGCCCTCTGGAGAGCTGTCTGCCAAAGGTGGGGACTGAATTCACAATACAAACAAAGCATCATCATTTTGGCATGAGTACCACTGTATCAGGAAAATTATCCCTCTATTATAGAAGCTCCTGGAATCAATTTGATGTGAGGGTGGTTAGTTTTACTGTTCTAGCTAACATGCAACCTGGTACACAGCAAAAAAATGTAATTTAGAAAATGGACTGTTCAGTGTAGACTGTAAAATGAAAAATATTCAGTGAGTTTCATAAACTATTCCTAATACTTGTGTAGTTTTAATCTGTGCAACTAGAATGTTTTTTGCAGCATGTCTAGTACCCTCCTTTCCTTAAAGGCTTTATTTTGGCACTTCTGCATGTGCCCTTGTCAAGTAGTGCAGTACTACTTCTTAAACCTTAGCTTGACCATGTCACTTTTAGCGGAAGCAGGGTAGAAGTCAAGCATCCATAGTCAGTCCCTTGAAGTCTTCCTGAAGTAGACATACAACTGGCCTCTCCATTCTCTCTTTTGATAAAGGCAAACTGAGTGTTTGGAAGTGAATACTGCATTTCAGTGGTATCCTGTGCAATTGTGGATGTAGAATTCTGCTGTAACCATTTGTTAACTGTATTGAAGGTGTGTCCTTATGAAGAAAGTGTTCCAAATTAAACAAAAGCTGCTGAAGTGTGTGCGCTTTTCTGGTGTTTCTAATCTGCTTTCTGCCAGAGGGGGCCTTAGAGCTTTCCTTCCTGAAGTAAAAATCCCCTTCCTAAATCGTGCTTTTTTTCCCCTATCCTGATTCACACATTGGATAGCTGTAAGCTTAAACTGTTTAGTTCCCTTCTCCTTATGGAGACAAACTGAGCTTGTAAAAGGGTCTTTTCTTATCAAAAAAGTGTTTTATTCAATATTAAGCCTTTACAAAATATGAAATAAAAAGCATATTGTGCACCACAAACAGTTGTTACTGATAAATAGATGTGGATTGTGTATTCTTCCCCCTTAAAATATTCCTTGCTGCCAATGTCAAAAGCATTTCAGCCCTTCTAGTGTGGGGACTTAGAAGTTCACATGGCTTCTGATGTCATTGATCTGTTTTACCATTTCCCTTATGTGTTCTCCCCTGCAAGAAAGTAGACATGAATTGAATTGTACAATGCTGTAATTCTGAGGGGGTGGATGTGACAGGTCCTGCCTTGGTTGGAAGATACTAAAAGCCATTCTTTGCTGAAAGAGGGAGGTAGTATTAAAGGTAAGGCTTTCAAAGTGCTTTAAAAAGCTCATACTGAAGGTAATTCTTCTTGAACTATTTAGCTGGCTAGCATCTCATAAAAGCTGTTGGTTAAGTGTGAGGCCAGCCGTATCTCATACATCACTGTTTGGCTTCATAGGCTCCGTTTTATGCCCCTGATGACAACCGTAAAATTATCCAGTAGGGTTGCTGTGCAAGATGGAATAGAATCCAGCTTTACTAAGTCTTAGGTGCATGGGCTCCACAACTACACGTACATACTGAAATTGCCCAGGGAACACTATTCCTTGGTTTTGTAGGAGTTTAAGAAAACAAGTTTTCCAGAGTCTAAACTCTTTACAAGTGACCTAGTATGTTTAAATGACACAGCAGCAGTGCTCCAATAAAAATGCAACTTGATGGAAAGGTCAATGAAGACTTTCCAAGTTTCACCACTCAACGATGACATCACATCCATGAATTTGTCCATTACCTGCTCAGCTTTCTAAGCTGTACCAAGTCTTTAGATTTACCAGTAGTTAGTTGGCTAGCTGAGGGTCTCTCTCTACACCTCACTCAGACTGTGCCTGCAGCTCCTAGAGACAAACCTGAAGTACCCGCCCAGTGAAGCCACAACCGCATTGGCGCAGGCTAGCCACTTGAGTATGTACCCAGGCTCCAGAAAAGCTCATACAGCCCAAACTGTCACTGTTCAGGTATGTCTACCAAGCTGCAATCACACCCTGAGACTGCTGTAGTGACAAAATGACTTAGGGTAACTAAGGCTCCAGGATAGAAGTTTTCAGGGAAAGGGGGAAGCAGCTGAACCCTCAGGCTGGCATGAACTCTTCCCACATGCTCCAGTCTTTTTAGATAAATAGTGCTCTCTCTAAAGTAAGCTCAGACCCATCTACTTCTGGTCAAATCTTCAAGGTTTCTACAGAATAAAACAACATAAGTGAGCAGCTATTTGTAATAAAGCAGCTCCCAGCTTTGAAGATAAACCCTTAAATATCAGTATATCTACCCTAAAGGACTCTTAATGGCACTGTTTGGAGTTTAAACTTGTGATAGACCGCTTTCAATGATGGGGAGTTAAATACACTCACAAAATCAACCCAAAGCACAAGGAGCCCAGCTTGGAAAAAAGTTAACTTACTCTTCTTTCAGAACTGTCTGGATGCACTTGCTTTGGTAGGCACTGAGGGTTATGGTAGGTTTTCGTGGATTGATCCCCTTTTCCATCTTTCTCTGCTGATAATCCTTTTTCATTTTCACCTAAAAGTAGCATGAATAATGGACTCCTTAGAAACCTTATGAAACATTCAAGAGTTCTCTGTTTCATTGCATATGATAGAGAATAGGAATTGAGCAGCAGCAGACCAAATGTATCCTAAAAGCATGTAGAATACATTGACAGTTTGCCCATAACTGCAGAAAACATGATTCATCCTGTCCCTGCCTGCTTCCTTCCTGCCACATTTTCCTCTCCACTCTCTATCTTCAAGTTTCAGTGGCACTTCATGCTCACCTGTTTGATAGCATTTCCTAAGTGCTGCAGTTGATCATGTATTGCCTGTAATTCTTTCTTCATGTCTCTCTCGCTATCTGACAGAACTGGAAGCTGAGAGTGAAAACTGCGAAGCACTTTCTTCATCCTTTATACACAAAAAAAGAGTGAAAGGTAACTTTAAAACTTCTGTACATCACCATTTATGTACTAGGCTGTTTACTATTTGTAACTGCTGCCCCCCCCGCCCTTACTGTGAAGAATTCTTTTGGGATGTCCCCTATGTTTTGCATTTCTTAGATACTTAATATCCAGTTTCTCCTTCCTGCGAGAAGGATGTAATCTTTCTACAAGTCAGTTATTCTCTGCTGCTGGAGGCTTCTTCTGTGCCCCCTTGAACCATTAACATTGCTGAACTTCACCAGCAGAAGGTGTGGTCGTAACACTAAAAGGTTCATTACTGGATTTGAAACCCACAATACACAGCCAAATACATTGGGCCTCTTTTGGTTACATTGACTTTGCAGGTACTGTGGAAAAGCCAAACTGACAATTCTTTCCCCATCCCCCCCCACCCCCCGTGGCAGTGTTCTGCACCTCAGTAGCATCCAGCACTGATGAGGAAAAAGGCATCGGTCTCTGTGCTCACCTATTCATAATATCGTCTTGTTTTTCTTTAGCTTCCTCATACTTCTCAGCCAAGCGCTCGGCCATTTCCCGCAGGCTGTTCCTTTACACAAGTCAGAAACATTCAAAATTACGGGAAAAAAAACATTCCACGTACTTGTTTGAAAAGGGGCTAGTGAAGCTTTGAAGAGCTGGGCTGGATGTTAAACCTGTGACCCAGTCTAACTCTTCTGTGGGGTCTCTACAACAGTGCAGGTGTCTAAATGTGGTTAGTCCCACTAAAAACCTAATCAGCCAATTGGTTAAAACTTTTCTGAACCATTTAATTCCTATACACATGAAAGCAATTAACATTTCATGATTTAGTTAAAACTGACGGAGCCAATTAAACAGGTCCAACTCACCTTTCCTCTTGACAGTACTGAAGATCTTCCAGTTGTTTATTTTTCTGTGCCCTCAGCAATTTCACTCTAAAATGATAGTTGAGTCAGAGGCCAGTCCATTCACAAGGGAATGTAATGATTAATGGTCTCCAGAGACACGTAGAACAAAAAAGCCAACAAAACTTGGACACTCTGGAGAGTTGAAAGTAGGTTAGAAGAGAAGGGATGCCTCTAAAGAGGAAGAGAGTTCAAAGGGACAAGGAAGAGTTATTCATTGTAATTTCTCATTTTTAGTACTTGTGGCAAAGCTGTTACCATGGTAAAGGTCTCTGTAGATCCCCAGGCATGGAGGCAGGTTGATTCTGTACAACAACATCCATTTGGCTAGTAGGTTTCAAGTACTTAGAGCAGGGCTCCCCCCCTAATGCTTCCTTTCAATATTTCCTTGCACCTACCATCTTCTGTAAAAGTACAAGCATTATGCTGACATTTGTGTGGTACTCCTGTCCTGTAACTTGAATCTATCATTTCTGGAATACAAGCTTAAATGTGCCACATGTTTGTGAAGCCATGTTACCTTTGCTGGATCTCCTCTTTTGCCAGATCCTGTTTCAGAATATATTCTTCTCTGAACACTTGTGTGGCTCTGCTTAGGAGCTGAAGACATTCCTCTGGGGGAGGAGATGCATCTTTGTCAGCACACCTTAAAACACACAGAACAAGCTATTTGTGTACATGCAATCCCACTAACAAGTGTTTTTTAAAAGGTAGATTCTCTGCTAACCAGGGAAGTCCTCTCAGAAGTCTGTTTGGGGTGGGAGGCACTAGCAATAGCAAACTGAAGTCTATGGCAACCCTCCCCCCATATCAATGTCCCAAGACACAGATAAAAAGTTCTAGGGTGCACATTCCTTCTATAATGTAGTCTCCTCCCTCCTTTTGAGTCCCATAGAAAAAAGGCTCATACTTCAAAAGCAATGGGTTAGCAGAGCTGCGCTGCAGGATGCTTCGGATATGCTTCTCAAATGAATGCTGTGATTTAGCTAGGATACGGAGAGGTGAGACCGTAATTTCAGTGTCCTCTCTGGTACACAGGAGCGGAGGGGATGCCGGATGGACTGTCGTTCTGCCAAAACAACACACACATCTAAGTGATACCTAATGACACAGAACTTTGCTTACAGTATATTTTTCTTTAAAATATCAATGGAATTTAAAAATTCTTAAATGACATCAGTTTGAGACACATTAGGGAAAACCCTCTATCTACTGGGGTATTAACAGAACTGCTGTGAACCATGGCCTGTGCACCACTCATTAGCAGAGCACTAGATCCAAAGGGTCTGATGGGAACAGTCATGGAATTGTTTCAACTCTATGGCTATGGCAATTCCAATTGAAGTCAAACATGGCAGAGTGAAAACCTAAAATGGTACTTGTATCTACACAGGGCCAGAGACAGCAGGCTGCCAGACTGTCATTTAAATCACAGCCAGGATTATCTTTGATTGCTATACAGTACTTGGATATCCCAGTGAAAAACACTTTAGAAAAACGTAAATGAGAAAGTCCTCATGGAACTAGCTCTTCTTTTCAAAGCAGAATATTAGTTTGGTATTTGAACAAGATCTGGACACAAACTACCAAGCCAAAAAAAATATTCTCTAAGAATAATTTAGCTTGAGCCACTTTATTTTTCCCTTATGTTTAAAGAAACAATACCAAAATCCCCACACTTTGACAGTGATTTTGAGGACTTCTATTCTCTCCTTCATGCACACACAACCCCGGTAGACTTCACAAACCCAGTGGAGAGATTAAGCCCCTAAATGCAGTCTGACAATTGCATATACTGCCTCAAAGGTATTTAGTTCCGGGATGTTGCCGGCCCTAATGTTTGTAACGCACTTTGAAATCATCAGGTGGAAAGTGCAATGAAAAAGAATTATAGCAGTATTTCAAGAATCCTTTGCTAATGCTGCTTGGCCCAACACAAAGAGTGATTCTATGGTGTCCTAAGCATTGCAGGAGTTCTACGTTTATTACATTACTCCTCAAAATGCCCCATAAAACTTCATCGATTGGACCATTTCTGGATGAGCTGGCATTTTCTTACCATAAGAGTTATTTAAAAAGAAATAAGCTGTCAAGCTCAAATCTATTTTACAAGCACTGTCGTCACCTGGTAACAAGGTGGCACAGTTAAAATGTGCAGCTTTGGTCACTAAATAATTAATCCTGCAAAAAAAATGGAAAAGTGGATCCCCACCCAACATTGATGCCTGGTCCAGTGATAAGGCTGCCTTCACAGCTAACAAACCACTGGCATTCTGCAGAAGGGGAATGCCTGAAAAATTAAAAGCAATTTGGGCTGATTTTAGAGGTCTATGATTAATGCAGACCATGAAGACAGATATGTTGCTTCCCTTCCTTTCTGTCTATCCTAACCCCCCCTTACTTACTTTGTATATTATAACACTTGTACTTTGGTATATTTGTTGTATTTGGAACAAATTAAAAATAATAAATATGAAAAAGAAGAGCAGAAGTCAGAGTTAAACTGGCAAGAGGAACAGAAAACAAGTCTTGAGACACTGAAGCAGTAACTGATAAGCATTTGTAAGAATGCTTCCAGAACACAGGTTAACTAAAGACAAGGGAAAAGCACGAATTTTAAACCAATTAAGTAAGAAAACTACATACAGAAGAGGCCTCGTGATACATTCATAGGTGCTGGTGATGCAGATCATTGTGGGCCCTAAGATGTCAGAGACTATCCAAAATCCTCTAATTGGAGCAGGTTGCCTGGGGAAATAAATAGATAATTCAAAACACCTTTTGTCAGTGCAGTAAGAATATATCCAGAAAGTTGTATCCATCTACATCCATCAACTTGGAGGCCAAATGTTTCACTGAATTAGGACATCTTTCTTAAATAAGGTGCACAAAATACTTTTACAGCTAAAGCACACTTGCACTCTCTCAGATAAGCATCTTATAAGTAATCACCATTTTCTCATGGAAATTATATAAGATATTAGCCTTCCGCTGACTATGAAATAAAACCAGCTTGTGGACTCATCCAAATACATGACATCGCATAATTGGCTCTTTACCCAACAGGTAATATCTTGCACCAGATTAGGGATGCTTTGCTGGCTTGAAATTAGTTATTTTTATTGGCTGCGTCTGAGCTTTAACATTCCATAAAAATACTGTGATGGAGAGTCTAAAAGCAGTATGTGTTTTAGTGTTCAGGTATGATAGAAAGTCCCATTAAATCCCTAAGTCTTGCACTAGGGCAGCTAATGTTGGTGACAATCTCACAAATTTTGTTGGTTGGATGGGTGGGGTTCAGACACTACCAAACTGGGAATTTCAAGCTTAATTCTATCTTAGAATGCATTTGGGGTAAACACTCAACCCTAAGATACCAACTCTTGGTACTCGGAGTTTAATCATTTGTGATTATTTGGATTCTGTCAGCTCAGCCAACAAATTAGTTTATTCAGGAGGAATCTTGAGAGTTAATACACATAACAGAACATTTATTCACTCAAGGGAAATGGAGGACATTCGGTTCCTACCTGCATGGCAATGGCTTTGTACAAAGAATATGTTCCACAAAGCACTTCTGTTCTGCTCCAAGTTCTTGTAAACTGTCCTTGTCTTCCTCATCTACAAAGACAGGAGATTGTTTCAAATGCATTATGTTCAAGATTCTTGAAATTACAAACCACTTTTTCGGGGGAGGTCTACACATTCTCAGATACCAGTTACCTTCCACAGAAGGAAGTAGCCTGATAAACGAAAACACTTCCCCTCATGTGGAAGACCATTTCACTACTCACCTGACCCAAGGAATTTGTGAAGTTTGTGGAGCCACGTTAGTCCAACACTGTGCACACCAGCTTCGTGTATACAGTGATATCTAGAGGGACATTTAGGATCTGAAAATTAAGCCGTATATATGATTAGAACAAAAAAAAAAAACCACAAAATCATTCCTGTACGTCTATATTCAGCTAGTGCTGAAGGTTCAGCACTCGACTCAGATTGGCCCTTCATCTATTTTGTATTAATGCTTACACTGCAAGAGCTACCCAGTCCCCTTTTCCTGCACTCAGTCCAACCAGTTGAATCGGTGACCTTTTTTTTCGTAATTACAGTTTCATTTATAAACAGATCATAAAGGGATAATGAAATAATAGGTGTTCTAAGCATGTTACAGATATGCTTAGTAGAGGTTACAGGTAATTTTAAGACAAATATTGACCTATTGGACTTTATAACAATCATTGCTTAACCCTTTATAAACAACGTATGGAATCTTAGTGCAACCCGTGCCAGTTTACTCCTAACTTTATTAAACAAATAAAGCCTGGCTATACTTTATACCCACCCAATTTTCAAGTTCTCAGCTATATAACATAAGCCTTGCAGTTTGTCATTTGTCCTCACGCTTTAGCAGCACACACACTGCAAGTCTGCAGAAATGCATTTGCACCCTGTAGTTATATATTTAGTAGCAGAAGGCTTTAAACTCACACTCAGCACAACCTGCACTAAAGAGGAAGGAAACATGAGATAACTTCACCCCACCCTTTTTAATGGTAGTCATCAGAAGAACAACAACAAGTGCAAAGACGTCTTTGGTCCATCAATGGCTATTACCCAAGATGGTCAGGGACGCAATGCCATGCTGTGGGTATCCCTAAACATCGAACTGCCAGAAGCTGGGACTGGATGACAGGGGATAGATCACTCAAAATTGTCCTGTTCATTTCCTCTGAAGCATCTGGCACTGGCTACCAAAAGGATACTGGACTAGATGGGTCATTGGTCTGACCCAGTATGGCCTTTCTTATGTTCTTTTTAAGTCTAAAGAGCTGCAACTCCTACCTCTGGGGCTGTGTAGAGACAGCAGGTACTGAATGCTTAGACTCATTTAAAAAGCAATTTCAGCAGCATCATTGTGTTCTCATGAGACTTCCTTTTTAAAATTAGCAATAAAATTTTCTTTTAAAAAAGTTCTGAATCCTGTTAACAGATGAGGTAGCTTCAACAGACTCCAAGGAACTGTTTTCAAAACACTGCTCTGAGTACAGCGATAAGGTCTACATTACCTAATATATCAAATTTTGAAAAAGTGAATTAAAACAGCAATAGTATTGATTAATTGCACCCTTACCTCTGTACAATTTAATTGGGCAAGAGAAGTCAGATTCTAAAGGCTCTTCCTCTTCTCCTGATGCCAGTTTCAGTGCAAGTTCCAATTCAACACATTCAAACACATACAGAGAAGGGATGAGGTCAGATCTTGGGTCCCAAGACTTTTCTGACTGTAAAAAATATTTGAATGCATCTGTAAAACATCTTTCTAGCAAAAATACCATTATAATAGCAAGAAGAAGAAAATGTTACTTAGCATGGGAAGGGTCTTTCCAGCATTTAAATAAAACACATCCTTGTTTCCTGAATGGCAGCCCCTAGCAGTCACTTCTTACAGCCTGCAGGGAGGTGCTGAAGAGGCTTTCCAGAGCAGCTGCTCTTTTCATAAATCAAGCAGTGGGTGGTCCCTGCTTAATCCCCGTGAATTTATGATACTCTTCTATCTTTAGTGTCACCTATCATGCCTCTGCAGCTAGTGATGTCAGTTTCTCATCAGAGTTAATAATTTTAAAAGGAGATATTTTTAAAAGACACTCGCCACATTTCTGAGAAAACAAATAAGCATCAAGCTGTAGTTTGGTTTATTTAAACCGAAGATTCAGACTAAACATTCATGTTGGCCCCTTGCTAATCAGACCAACATTTAGGCTAAAATAATATCTAATGATTCTATTTTAACTTTAATGTTGGTCTGATTAGCAAGGGGCCGACATGAACATTTCTTTTGAATGTTTCCATCCAGGAAATGAGGATGTGGGACAGAAAGATGGACAGAGAACACCACAGGAACAAGTGACATGAGAGAGGTCCTAGGACACACCACCCTACCGTTTGCTCATCATCCTCTTCTCCCTCCAGTACCACACAGTGATAAAGCATTCCTGACTCGGTGGCAATCACCAAGATGTTGGGAACACAGGGCAGGCACAGAACAGCACAAGCATCATAGCCATAGTTATCTTCAGCTGTGGGGTGCATGGGCAATGGGCCCAACAGCTTGCCAAGTTTTCCAGTGCTGCAATGAAGAAATGAGGAAGTGCTTACTGGAAGACTAAGGCCCAAAGTTTCCAAAATTGTCTCCAGTAATCCCCTGCGAAAGAATGAAAGCCAAGGACAACAGCTAGGGGAACACATACGTTTACTAGTTTTTCTTGCTCAAGTTTGGCAACCTGAAATCCAATCTAATGAAAATTAAAGGTCCTGGGCTACATGCACTGCATGGTGCTCTCACACAAAGGAATGAATCTTAGTAATAGTCTTTTATTGTCTCAGACTAACAAACTTATCAGCCAAAGGAGTCAACAAACAGTGCCACACCCCTTTACGAAGGGCTGTACAACATGCTTAAAGAGACAAGCTTATTTTTTATGAACAAATGTCAATATCTAAGAATTTATTTTTCAGTGTTTCATTTTTTTATCGTACTGCTCTCAGGTTGGGCTATGAAAAGGACTAGGCAGCTTCACTTTTGTTTATAGGCAGTTTCTCGCCAATTTTACTTTATTTCTCACGCACTAGGAAGATGTGTGCTGCAGTGTTTGCAACCTAAATATAAGAAATATTTTTTAATTTTAATTGCATATCTAATTAAATCTAGATTGCAATTTTTAAGTGTCCTTTCTATTGGTCTTAAAGGTGCATATCCCTTTCATATAACCTAACTCAGCATCTCTCAACCTATCATTTGATTGGAATCCTATTCTAGCACCTTCCTAATGAGACCCAGGCTGCAAGTCCCTAAGATCTCAAAAGGGGTTTGGTTATTTGAAGCACAGCCTCACTCTGAGCTATGGGAGCTCCTGCTTGTCACACACGAGGAGCCAAAAACCTCAAGAGTCAATATGGTACCTTTAGAACAGCTGATTTTTAATAAAACTCTAGTTTTCCACCCAAATTTGATCGGAGAGCGTCCCTTTTAAGTACTGTGACACACAAGTGGGTTACCAGTAGTGGGGATTGAAGCCAGGACCTCTGGATCTAAAACAATGAGCCTCTACTACCTGAGCTCAAGCCAGGTCTATTAGCTTAAAGACTAAAGACTGAAAGCTCTATATGGTCCAACCATTAGAGTGGCACAAAGACTGGGTTATAATATAAAAAGATGGAATTCAATAAGCATCTGCTCCTGAATCCGGCACAAATCTTGATATAAAATATAGATCAATCTGCACAGAGATGAAACACACGCATATAAGTGCTACATGAATCATATTTTAAACAAAATTGGTCATTGTACTGTAAGTCCCTACCTTTGTAAGAGGCTAATATATGTGAGAAAGGTCTCCCCATTTTCATACAATATGTATAGTGGATATGCCAATACTTCCTCTCTCCCTCGCTGCCCAGCTATGTTCTTTGGAACAGATACCAGAGGCCCAAAATCAAATGCCACTGCAGTCTCTCCTAGTGATGCTGTGTACGCTCTCCTGGGGAAGGAAGAGAGACAGACCAAAAATTACAGTTAGTGATGACTGACTGCACACAATTATTGGCCTCATTTCAAGTAGCATTTACTGTTACTGTCAGGGTTCCTTCCCCACTCTGATCTCTGGGGTACAGATGTGGGGACCTGCATGCAAGACCCCCAAGCTTATTTTTACCAGCTTAGGTTAAAAACTTTCCCAAGACACAAATTCCACCTTGTCCTTGAACAGTACGCTGCCACCACCAAGTGATTTAGACAAAGAATGAGGGAAAGGACTACTTGGAGTTCCTGTTCCCCCAGAATATCCCCCCAAGCCATTACACCCCCTTTCCTGGGGTTGCTTGAGAATAATATCCTAACCAATTGGTTACAAAAAGTGAACACAGACCCAAACCCCTGGATCTTTGGACACCGAAAAAAAAAAATCAGTTCTCAAAAGAAGAATTTTATTTAAAAAAAAAGAAAAAGTAAAAATCCCCCCTGTAAAATCAGGTTGGAAGATAACGTTACAGGGTAACAAAAGATGCACAAAACACAGAGGAACCCCCTCTTGCCTTAGCATCAAAGTTACAACAAAACAGGGATAAACCTCCCTCCAGCAAAGGGAAAATTCACAAGTTGAGAAAACAAAGATAAACTAATACGCCTTGCTTGGCTGTACTTACAATTTCTGTAATATGAGAGACTGGTTCAGAATGGTTTGGAGGACATGGATTGATGTCCGGTCCCCCTTAGTCCCAAGAGCGAACGAACACAGAAACAAAGAACCCAAAACAAAGCCTCCCCCCCCCAGATTTGAAAGTATCTTTTGTCCCCATTGGTTCCTTTGGTCAGGTGCCAACCAGGTTATTTGAGCTTCTTAACCCCTTACTGGTAAAGAGGAATTTTAGGCTACCCTTATGGTTATGACTGTTACATTAGATAAATGTGATTAAGATTTTACAGTTATGGATCGGTCCTTTAGCCAACAGTATTTTCTGCAATAGAAATCTAAAGACGGGTACTGCCCCTCTCTTCAATTAAATGCATATGCTAGAGTCTCATTTCCGGGCTCCAGGGACTCTGACTCACGGGCTGTTTCAAAAGAACACTGCATATGGCATCTTACCTCCCACCTCCACTGAGCCTACTGATTTCTTACTCCATTTCTGAAACTCAGCTACCAGCCAGCCCAAATATGTGCCACTCAGAGAGGTGAGGATGTAGTGGTATTTTCAGTGCAATATATTAAGCCATGGCTTGGCTGTTGGAGAGCAACAAGTTTCTCCATTTCAACTAGGTCAGACACAAGATAGGAAGGTAAGCTCCACCTATTACATTCTCTTCCCAGAAGCCCCTTTTTAACCTTTAAGACATTATATTAACTTTAAAATATTTTGCTTTTGTTGCTCCCTCTAAAATGGTGAGGTGGGGAAAAAACAAGTTCAGCTACTTTGCTGGGAAGAGGAAATAAAAAACAAGCTATGGAAAAGAAGGAAATAAGATTCCCCCTGTGAATTTATCACAACACTTTATGCCATCTTTTCTCCAATCACTTTTCCATCTCTACAAAAACACATTTGGTACATCAGCAAGTTTATCCTGTTCAGAGCATTTCAAAATCTAAAAACTGCACAAACCCTTTATTGAGCATTAAACTCTCCTCCTCAGCATCTGAAAGAGCAATCACCTTCACAGGTGTCTGCGGCACCTTCAGACTGTAAATCCTAGAAGAACAATGAATACTTTCATTAAGTCATTAACTTCATACATGACGAGTCAGTACATCAGTAGTTACCATCCTGAACTTTTCTATACTATTTTTATGTTGTAATTCCACTAATAAGCATGCTTACACATAAGACAACATAGTAAACAACTAGTTCTTGTACTAGAAAAAACATTCAGAAGAACAAACAGAAATAGGTTTACCTTATAGTGTTATCTGAAGTCAACAGCACTACATGAGGTTCTAATGTCTCACTGGGATACCAGGCCACATGTTTTAGGGTCAGGGATGTCAAACTAGTGAAGAACCTTTCAGCAACAGGAATGGTACTACAAAAACAAATTTACCCCGTTATGAAAGGCACACCATCAAAACAAACTGCTTTTATCTTATAAGCATTTATAACCATCACCATAGACAGATGTTTTAATCCTGACTAAAATACGTGTTAGCATAAAGAATGGTTCTCTCCCTATCCATTCAAGTAACTAATGAGTGGACGAAACAAGTGTGTTAACCCTTGAAATCATCTATTAGATGTACTTGTCAGAGTGCTGCTTCTGTTCTAACAGATGTTTGGACCCATATATCTATCACACCTATTTATAAATCAGGAACAGAATAGTTTCATTGTATGATCACTTCCACAAGTGTTTGAAGGGATATGCAACAACTCAAAAATCCTAAATTATTGTGGTCATGTTACCATGGCCACAAAATGCAGGCATAAACAATGACATGTTTAACCCAAACAGATGAGAAGAATCAGCAGCCTGAAGCAACACAATGTGTCAAGTGTGTCAGCAGCAATGGTAGAGCTGGATCCCAGAGACTGAGCCTTTGTGGCCTGGGGTCAAAACATCCCACGTTGCATGACACTGCTTTTTACACTGTAAATACAAATACATGAAAGACTTATGATCCCCCTTTCAAACACAGTTTTCCCGTTGCTAATTTGGTACAAGTAAAAGGTGCTATTCTATTTCACTTATTCAGGTTGAAGTTCTCCATTTACACACAAAATAATTAACATGTGAAGCAGTAAGGCACGCTAACGTTCCTGAGCCAAAGGAAGCAGCATTAAGGAGGTCAAGTCTCCCTGTCTATTCAGTCCTTAGACTCTTCCAAGACTGCCAACAAAAGTGATGAGGATAGGATGATAGTTCAAGTGATAGAAATTCCAAGTCACAAAAAAAAAAAAAAAAAATTTTCCCCTGGGGCAGGTTATCCCATAACTACCTCCCCACAGGGTTTCTTGTGCCTCTCCTTAAAGGATCTATTATTGGACACTATCAGAGACAGGGCAGTAAACTAACTGGACCACTGCCTATATTCTCATGCAATGCGAATATTTTGACCATTAGGAATGAGGATGAGAAACCTATTCTATCACACCGTTTCTCCAGTATCCCAATTTGCCTGTGAGGCACACTGACGATTTGAAAATTGTGTCTTAGAAGGTCCTCTGTGACAATGCTCATTGAATTTGTGGAGGCTCTTAGCCCCATAATCCCAACTAGCTTTTGACTCAGCTGAGAGCACGTACTGTACCTCTCTCAGACCAAGGTCTCTTATCAGACCAAGGTACTCTGCTCCTTATATATGAAACTCTTCTTTCATATTTTCTGCTCTGTATCTTACACTCAGCACATATGTTATATCTTTTTGCACAATTTTATTTGATTGGAAAAGACCAGAGGCTCACACATGAAGAGTGTCAAAACAGAATGTGGTTAAACGTCTGACTGAAATATAACCTACCTACAATTAACTGTTGGTTTTCCACCTTCAAATTCTGAGTTCTTTCCCCAGCGCTTAGGCAATTCCAGTACCATCAGCCCTTTAATGCCTATGAGCGCCACATGATGCTGGGTGGGACTTAACAGGGTTTCATAGACCTCAAAAAGGGGTGGATTTATGCAGACCAGGGTCTGAAATTTAAAAAGTTTCAGTAAAACACTAATACTAATAAATAGGTTCTTAAAAAGTACTAAATAGTCATGACAGGTTTCAGAGTAGCAGCCGTGTTAGTCTGTATTTGCAAAAAGAAAAGGAGTACTTGTGGCACCTTAGAGACTAACCAATTTATTTGAGCATAAGCTTTCGTGAGCTACAGCTCACTTCACGAAAGCTTATGCTCAAATAAATTGGTTAGTCTCTAAGGTGCCACTAGTACTCCTTTTCTTTTTGTAAATAGTCATGAGTTAACATTATATTAATTATTTTGGAAACATTCACTGACTTGTAAACAGATGGGACGGGACAAGACAGGGAGGGGCCACCCCCCTCAGTTCCGGCCCAGCCCCCCTAGCTCCACACACCTCAGACACACATTTCCCACACCACCTGGTACTGGCCCAGCCCCCCAGGCTCCATGCCCCTCAGACACCCCACACCACCCGGTACCAACCCAGCCCCTGCACTCCTCAGACACCCCCCAAACACACTGCCTCCGCGGATCCTGCCCAACCCCCCTGGCTCCGCGCCCCTCAGACTCCCCAGTACCTGGTACCGGCCCAGCCCCCCTGGCTCCGCGCCCCTCAGACTCCCCAGTACCTGGTACCAGCCCAGCCCCCCTAGCTCCACGCCCCTCAGACCTCCTCCCCCCCCAGTACCTGGTACCGGACCAGCCCCCCTGGCTCTGCGCCCCTCAGACTCCCCAGTACCTGGTACCGGCCCAGCCCCCCGGCTCCGCACCCCTCAGACCCTCTCCCCCCCAGTACCTGGTACCAGCCCAGCCCCCCTAGCTCCACGCCCCTCAGACCCCCCTCCCCCCCAGTACCTGGTACCGGACCAGCCCCCCTGGCTCTGCGCCCCTCAGACCCCCTCCCCCAGTACCTGGTACCGGCCCAGCCCCCCGGCTCCGCACCCCTCAGACCCTCTCCCCCCAGTACCTGGTACCGGCCCAGCCCCCCTGGCTCCGCGCCCCTCAGACCCCCCCCCCCAGTACCTGGTACCGGCCCAGCCCCCGGCTCCGCACACTTCAGACCCCCCCCCCCAGTACCTGGTACCGGCCCAGCCCCCCGGCTCCGCGCCCCTCAGACCCCCTCCCCCCCAGTACCTGGTACCGGCCCAGCCCCCCGGCTCCGCGCCCCTCAGACCTCCTCCCCCCCAGTACCTGGTACCGGCCCAGCCCCTCGGGCTCCGCGCCGCTCAGGCCCCGCAGGCTCAGGGTGCAGAAGGCGCCGAGCTCCGCGTCCCACAGGAACAGGTCCGCGTCCAGCCCGAAGATCAGGCTGCGGGTCGGGCCGGGCGGGCTGGGTCTCTCCGCGCTCTGCTCCCGCAGCCGGCACAGCACGGCATGGTGCGGCAGCGCCGCCCGCCACTCGTCCGCCGGCTCCCCCTCGGCCGCCATCGCCGCCACCCCGGAACAGCGCCGCCCTCCGCCAGCCAATCGCCGGGCACGGGCCGGCTGGCTCCTCAGAACTACCGCTCCCAGCGTGCACCGGGCGGGGGCGCAGAGCGGGACTACAAGTCCCAGCGCGCACCACGCAGGGCCGCGGCTGCGCTGGGTTGTGCGGCCGGCATGGAGGCGCTCGGGCAGCGGCATCGCGCTCTTTACAAGGGGGCCGCAGCCCCGCCCTGGAAGGAGACCTACCGCCGGGTGAGGGAAGGGTGCCCCCCCCCCCGCCGGTAGAACGCGGGGGAGCCCAGCGTTCGCGCACTGGGTACATTGTAACGATTTCCCCATCCCGCGGCGGGCCGTTCTGCGCGCTGCCGGCCGACCCCCACCGGAGCCCCGCTCCTGGATCCCGGGCTGGCTGCAGCTGAAGGGCGGGGGGGCCGGGGTCCCTCCCCTGGGCCTGGCCCGGTGTTTTACTGGCCGAGGTTGGGAAGGATGCGAGATCCAGGTGGCAGGATTCCCATGCCCACAGGCTGGGAGCGGAGCAGCCCTGCCCGGGTGGGGAGACCTGTTAAGAGGAACAGTTACTTTACAGTACCATTGGCACCATCTTGCAGAGCGGGAAACTGAGGCACGGAGGGATTGCGTGCTCAAGTGTAGGGCTGGAACCCAGGGCTTCTGGCTCACCAGGCCAGCGTTTATGCGCTGGGCCGTGCTGTCTCCCTAACACCATTTTCGAGGCTAGGAGTATGGGCGTGTACCCGACACGGGTCACCCGTCCCTGATGCCTGTCCCTTATGTGGCGTGAGGGAGACCCTGGTGCCCGTTTACCTTAAGTGCACCAGGTTGCAGCTCTTTTCCGGCTCCTCCTGCACTTCTCCCCTGACCTTCTCATGCATGCACACCCTATATATGGCCCCACAAAATCACAGGACCTTCCTCTTCAACCTCCTCCGAGCGATGGCCAAAGTGGCCATCTACCACACCAGGGAGAGGGTTTTGGCTGAGGGGGTTCTCTGCAACCGTGGGGCCTATTTCCAATCCTCCTCCTGTTCACGCATCCAGGCAGAGCGCCTCTGGGTGGCTCCCTTGATACCTTCGAGGAGCAGTGGATGCTCTCTGCTCTGGTGTCCCCTTCAGGTTCCCTTTTTTTGACCCTTTGACCTTCACACCTGCCCTTGTTATTTTTTTCTGTTGTCCCCCATAATCATTTAGTCCTGGGCTCATTGGCTCCTCCCCCTAGGCTGGGGGAGGGCCCTTTAGCCATGGGTGGGCTTGCATCAGCCAACCTCCCCAGAACCCAATAGGACCCTTTTCAAACAGATATAAGTTGGCCACTGCTTTGCTTTCAATGGCACCCTGAAAGCGATCTAGAAGGAAGAGTTGAATGGTGATCTTGTGGGCTTAGTGGCAGTGGGGGGAGACAGGATCTGTTCTGATGGGCAGCTGGTGAGCCTGAAGCCCTGTAGGGCTCCAGAACAAGTTTCCTAGCTTCCTACTGCCAGTAGGACAACCTTGAGAAATAAATATGGTCAGGCTCTGATTTCAGGTCAATTCTCCTACTACCAACTTAACTTCTACCTTACCATCAACTCCAGATTATTCTTAAAAGAGAGAGAAGGGAATGGGGACAGCACATACAGCTGGCTGATAGCAGAACAAGTAATTTCTAGCCAGAAAAAGCCAAAGAATTGCCAGCCACGTATGTATCTGAGTTGAGGTCTGGCGACACACATAGGGGTTGTCATAGCAGCACCATAAAAATTTGTGTCCCTGTGTATTAGAGACTGGGCAGAAAATACAGCTGTTTCCCTTGACTTACTTTCAGAATGGAGAAGTGAGATCCCATCTGCCCAGCCAAACTGGATTAAACCTGAGCTCTTGGCCTCCTGTAGACCTATCTGCTAATGGTCTAGGAGCCTGACTGCTCTCTGGTTCTGCCTATCTGCTCCAGCTGGGACTTCTCAAAAACCATGTTACTATTCCAGTCCTGTAATTTCTCAGTTTTTTTTCAGTTACATCCCTGAGCTGTAAAATCAGTGTCTGGTTGCCCCGTTGTCCATCCAAAAGAAGAGGCATGACGCTAATGAATCCTGCATCCTCTATTTTGTCTTCTCTCAAAGCGCTGTGTGGAGAGACTTAAAAACAGTCGTGCCAAGCTGCTGGATAGATACCGCCAGGCTGGGGAGAATGTGCACTGCCATGCGCCAGGTGCTCTTCTCGTGCAGGAGGTGATGGAGGAGGAGTGGCAGGCCTTGCAGTCAGTGAACGTCAGCCTGCCCTCCCTCAGGAGAAAGGAGGCGCTGTCACAGGTCAGTGAGCTGGATTCTTGCGCATCATCTTGGAGACTCCCTATGCGTGGCTTCCCCATCGAACGACATTATAAACTGCATCTCCATCCTCAATCAGAGAAACATTTATTATTAACATTTATAACACTTCAGTCCCTCTAATGGGCCTGATCGTTCCTGTTATGTGCAGGCCCTTACACTTTCAAAAGCCCGTTTGCTTTAGGGCTCCTCTTTAAACTCTCTGGGCTTCTCTCTGCTAATCAGGTGCTACCCATCTCAAGATAATGTACATCTATTGTTATTTATATCTAGTACCCTTCTCCCCCACTACCCAAAAAGGTACGTAGCTGTAATGCCCTGCTTTAAGGATCTCATGCCTCTGGCTGGTCAGGATTTGCACAGCTCCAAAGTTGTGAGCTGCTTCAGCCATATGAGTGGAGGATCCAATATCAGGAGCTACTGCCACTCAGTCCCTTGTAGCTAGGAATGGGAAGTTCCCTTCAGCACCAATTGCATGTGAATCTTGTGATTCTGGGTGGTTGGTTGGTTTTTTTGCCTGGTTTTTAAAGATTAGTGTTATTTGTCTAATTTCTTAGAATGACACACCTACAAATGGATATAAAATGTTAAGGTTTGACGTTAAAGGGGATTGGAGCTGTATTTCCTTGAAACTTCTATCTAGCTTTAAAGGAGTCTGGAAACCTCTGCTTGCTAACTGTAAACAACCCATGGAAGTTGAGTCACTTGTTTGATTACACTGGATTGTTTTAATGCAGTACTGTCCTGCTGATGTTGTGAAATAATGCTTCCCCACTTGCCTTAAAGAGAGGAATACTGATCGATGTATGTTTCAGGTGTTGGAGGACCCCGATGAACTAGCAGTACTGGAGGAAATCCAACAAGAGTTGATCTCACAAGGTAGCTTTTCAAAAAACATATTCTTGATATTGACACATGCCAATACCCTACGTGAGTCATTTTTAACCTTCCTGAAATCCTAGTCATCCATTTATTTGAAGCTGAACTTTCTTCTTGGTTTGGAAATCACGTGATTTCCAAAGGACTCTTTTAAAAAGATCCATGATCTCAGATGCTTTGGGATCCTGGTAGGTGGTTGGATGTGATTGGTAGTTTTGCTTTGTTACAACTCCAAGAGTTGAGTTAAATCATGGGATGCGTGAGAGGCCAATGAAGAACATGAGCTTGGACTGTTAGCGAGAGCTTTAGTTCCCTTGTGAAGGGTTGGAAGATCCATTGCTGGATAAGTAAAAATGTCCCAATATTTCCATTAAGAATAGAAAACATGAAGGTTATCTGTGATACAGAACAAGTGTTCTGAAACCTGATAATATATAAAATATTTGATTTTTGCCTCTCACCCGAATTTGACTTTCCCGTGAGCAGTAAATGACCAAATGACAGTCGTAATGGCACACAACAGATCTCCTTTTGTATCCTCTGAAATAAGAGTAGTCTGAGCACAGAACCGGAATCCAGAAGCTTCAGGCTCTGACACATCACGATCTCTGTTTCCCTATCTATAAAATAGGAGGATGTGAGGTGCAGTTGATTAATGCTTGTAAAATTTGAGATCTTTGGATGGAATGTGTAGTAGGCAGTTAGATTAGGATCATCTAAAGGTTTTCAGTGGGCAACATGAGTAAAGATTTTAAGTCAGAATCCCCTAATACTTTTGCAGCTGATCCAAAGAAAGACAAGTTACAAATAGTGACTAACCCAGATTTCTCTCTGCCTAGCCATAGCAATTTCATATTGACATTTGCCTTAGGTCAGTAGCCAGTGACAATTGTGGGTGTTTTTTTTTTAAACAGAACAGTTGACAATAGAAGAATATGAACGGAGTCTGCAGTTCGACCAGGAGTGCCTCAATGCAATGCTTGACAGCTTGGACACAGGCAACAAGATTATCTGTCCTGTGTGTAAAAGGTGAGGTGTGTTCTGGTCATCAAATGCTATATGTTAACTAACTCACCAGCCAGTAGATCTTCTGAATTCACCCAAGTATGTGATGTTGTCAAAGCTTAAACATCTTTTTATGCATGCTTTGTAACAGCTGGTGATTGGCTGATGAAGTCTAGCTTCATTCATTCATTCTTGCTGTAATAAGTGAGAGATAAGTGAAGAGATCCAGTTATCACTGGAATGCAGTGAGCTGTGTAACTCAGTAGGCCTTTAACAGCAACATGCTGTAAGAAGTTACGGCCAGACCTCATATTTTGTGAGTAACATGACTTGAACACCTCAGCTTCATGCCTCTCTTCCATACCATTCATTGCATGAAGCATACTGTTGGGTATGCTGATGATCAAAATAGCCTTAAGTGGTACAGGGGATTCTGCAGTGAGTTGACAGTCATTCTCTGGCTGGAGATGCAGTTTGGCCTCTTGCATGGAGGAGAAAAAAAAAAAAGCAGACCTCTTTCTCTAGTAAGGGTTTGATTGTTACAGTTACTCAGAAGGCACAAATCCGGTGTGTGAGAGATGCTTCCAAAATCTAACTTCAGTCTTGCTGGAATTCAGTGTTTTCTCTTCTAGTTGTCAGTCAAGGTTATCACATTGTGTTCTATTTCTAGGAATAACCTGACTGTGATGAGTCATTTGGTTTTATGCCAGTGTGGATTATACATCAGCGCACAGGTAAACTATAATTTAAGTGTTGTAGCACCTCAGAGTTCTGGGCAAAGTTGCCTCTCTCGTGAATGCTGGTGACATAGAGCATTCGTGTTTTTGTGCCCCCCTGTCTTGGTCCTATTTTGCACCCATACAAGCTTGATGGGAAGATGGCTGTGCAGAGCTGTGGTTCTCAAACTGGCCTGTAGAGCCCATCCCAGAAGTCCATTGAATGGAATGATTGGAAAACCAAGCAGCAGGGGCCTGGGAGAAGATATGAGCCTATACATTCTCTCTCCTATTAAGCAGCATATCGAATAAAAAAAAAAAGGCAAAGAAACCCAGTGTAGTAGCAGTTTGCATCTGAAGTGAATTATCCAGCATGTGGCGCTGTGCAGTCAGAAATGCTAGTTCTGAGTTATGTAAACTTGCTGCAAAGTGAAAAGGAGGACTTGTGGCACCTTAGAGACTTTATTTGAGCATAAGCTTTCATGAGCTACAGCTCACTTCATCGGATGCATTCAGTGGAAAATACAGCAGGGAAATTAAAAGCACAAGATGAGTTTCTTAATCTATTTCTGTCTCAGGGTATGACAGAACAGAAGCTCCGGTCACTTCTAGAAGACAGTGTAACAGAACATGGTCATCAGTGTCTTCACAATCCTGAGTTCTCCATCACTAGTGGAATGGAGGGAGAAACCAATCTTCTCATGAGCTGTCCGGTGAGTCTAAATTGCCAGGGGAGTCTTGGGGAAGCTCCCAATTCACGTGTGCTTCTCCATGTAGTAGGCAAAAACAAATCAACCTATTCAACTTAAAGGTTGTGCTGCTCCCCCTTTGACACCCCCATCCCACAGACACCCCTTTCAGGAAGCTTCTGGGTTTGCAAAAACACGGCATTTTTGTGAGGAACATGACAGTATGGTTTCATTCCATTTTCTAATTTGGCTAGTTGTCCTTTACATGTATGATATGCAGTATGTGTTTCCCATGGCATGTAACACAAATGGAACTATTGGGTTAAGTAATTTATCTCCTGAATAAACAGGCTCTTTTACTAAAATCAAAGATGTCTTTATAAGAATATATTTTTTAAAATACAAGTTACTCTTCATCTTTGTTTCCTTTTTTCTAGTTGTCTCGCCTTAGACAACCTAAGTGATACGGACTCATCTGTGTTTTACTTTCTGGTTCTCCCGCACTAGCAGTGTGGCAGAGTTGGATTGCAAACACTGCAGGGAATACTTAAATTTAAATCCACAAGACTACTTTTCATTTCAGTAACAAGCTGTGAAACCATTTTGATGTCAGCGTACTGAAAGCTTGTTTGTAGAAGTCCCAAATGTTAGGCTGAAATCAACATAACCTTTAGACATAGCAGGGTCCCCTCTTGAATTTCTCCCTGTGCATAGACCAAACCAAGGCTTAGTCAGAGGTACCTCTTAGCATTAGTGCCCATGAGGCTTGACCTTGTTCTAGTGTTACAATTACTGTTGTATAGTCTATACCTGTAAGTGACTGGGCCCTTTCTTTTCTAAAGGTCTGTGACTCTTGGACAGTCCTCCTGTAACTACAACCCTGCTGGGGTTTCTCTATGGAAAGAATACACTAGTAAGATCCTTCCTTCAGCCTCTAAGCAACTTGGATGGCATCCTGCACATCTTTTTTTTTATATTTAACTGTATATAATTTTGTACTTTAATACTGGATATCAAGCAATATTGGCTTAATCTGCACTTTTGATAGCTGAATAAATATTTGAAATGAGATGTGGCTGTTCATATAAATGAGGCAAGCCTCCCCACAATCTTGAAGTCAGCACAAGCCTTCCCATAACTTACTGCTGCCTCTCTAGCTTTTCATTCATTTCCTGTTCTGCAGAAAGAACAGAAGGGGCTCTGCCTGTCTCAGCTTGTGTAGTTACATGTGACATACTTTAGAGCAGGAGGTGCCTGCTCCACAGTTGATGGAAAATTTCAGTTGTGAAATGTAAGTGAACATACACAAAGAACAAAGGTACCATTTTAGACAAACTGGCACTTACAAAAATTACACTAAAGTCTCCCCTCTCACTGGCTCTAATGTCCCCATCATTGCTACTACAGCTGAACCCCTGACCTTTCATAGGAAAGGCTTTAATACATACCAGGTCCAAACAGTAAAAGCGTATGTGCAAGTGAATAGAAAGTGTGATATAGCACATCTTTAACCTCAACCTTGAGCCAGACACAAGCTATGACTAGCATGCAGTGACAAATGTGAAATGACAAAAACTCAACCATCACTTCCTTTTGAGTGTATAGGGTAGTAGTTTAAAGTAACAGTTATGATACAGTAGTGCCCTCTTTATCAGAGTAGGGCAGTCACATCTTATGTTTTCAGAATCACTGATGTGACAGATCCATGCTCCTGGGGAATATGTCTGGTAGTTTTCAACAGGACTGTGATAAGGGTAAACAAAACAACCTAGATGCACTCTTGATCTCAAATGCTTCAGTTATAGCACATCAGCCCCAACCATTCTAAATAAAGATCACTGTAGTTTTGATTTGGTGTTGACTGAGTGAGCTAAACAGCTGGCATATAGAAGAACTCATGCAAGTACAGCTAATTGAGCTGCCAGCTGGGTTATGAAAAACCCAACCCAAGGATGGAGGGTTCCTATGTTTATTTAACTTGTATTAAACAATGTATTTGAAAGATTAGATACTAGAAATAGAATATTTTAACATGTCAAGGAAAACAAACATTGATAAAAAATGTTAAGTAACCAGATAAAGGGTAGTGCTCATCTGAAATACTACAGAGTCTGTGCATGCTTAACATTAACCAATATGAGCTGGGCCTTCCAAGTTGTCAGGAACTCAACCTAGTTCCTGTAATCAGAGTTTCCTTTCAACAGTGCAGTCAAATTAATCCAGTGAGCCTAGTTTTACTACATCATATTTAGAATCCACTGATGCCAACTATTTATCCAAAAATGAGGAATAGGGGCAAGGGAGAGGCATCTTCACAATGCACAAGTCTGCCTGCAAGATTTGTCACGCAGGTATCTAACCATTAGGAAGGGGCCTGAGAAACCAACTCCTATAAGATGAAAGTCAGTGTTGGCAGCTCTGTCATCAGTCTGGATAAGATCTGAACTATTCATCTAGAAACAATATGCTTCCCCTCCTGCCTTTAATCACCTTCTGTGTTAAGGCAAATTAGTTTAACAGTAATATTTTATAGACTACCATAAATAAAATGCAGTCTGTAAATTTTAAGAACTCAACTTCCCCGCGACCAGCAGAAAGGCATCTGTGACTTTAAGTATTTGCCTCTGACCAATTTACACCACTTCTTAACCAGCAACAGTAAAGCAGAAAGAAAGGTTTTTTTCTTGAGCGGATTTTATTCTTCATGTCATTATATCATGTTTCTTAATTGTACAAAAATACCCAAAAGGGTGTGAGAATGACATAAACTTAAAATCCAGGCTGCAACATAAATTAAATTTGAAATGCAATCATTGATAATCATTTTGTTTTCCATGATGTGTTTATCCCACTTCGAAGTTTTAAACTTACTGGTGGTATCAGCTGCGGGTAAGAGCACTGCTACAGGGTATCCATGGTTAAAGGCTTTGACTTTTAATTTCCCATTACTGACATTTGACAAAGCTTTTAAGGTCTTCAAGGAATCTAATGTACTCCTGGTGCTCCAGTGCAGTGCTGAGCTCAATTAACTCATCAGCAAATGTGTTGTCCACTCCTCGGTCAGCCAAGAAATCCATTAAGTGGTCATACAAAGCCTGCAAGAAATTATTAAACAAAGGATTATTATAGATAAGCATTGCTTTTAAATGCCCTTTTGTATTTCATTTTCCACTCAGAAGAAGTGAATGTCTTTTCCCAAAATGGATAAAACCCGTTCCCTTCCTCACAGCAGGCCTGAGCTAGGAGCAAGATTTAAAGGAGACCTCTAATGGATGGATCACATTTATTTTCTACTAAACTGCACCCAACTGTAATACTGAGATGGTGTGATGACAATGTAAGCTAGTAAATCAAGTCTGTTGAAGACCATCTGCATCACCAAAAAGCCTTTTATCCCATCCAAGATTCTCTTTGTAATGCTGTGTATTTAAAGTTCGGACACAAGTTATTTTCAATACTGTCTGGGCAGCATGGTCAGAAGACTGGTACCAGAGGTACAGACCTGTTCAATTAAGATTCAGTTCCTTTCCAAATTATACATTGCATTTTTTCATATTCATGTATTTTTAGAGTTGCAAGTAGACTTGTGTGATAATTCCCCCCCCCAAAGAACACATTTTGTACTAAGCAGTAAATGCAAACCAGGGATGTAGAAGACCTTCCCCTTTGCCAAATCTGATTGTGTATGTTTTAAAAAAACCCAAACCTAACCATCAGCATCTCAACCTCTGGCATTATCAGTAGGACTGTTCCAACCAGAGAGTCACACTTCTTGATACAGGCCTGAGCCTGCAAAAGGACTTGCACATACGAACCCTTCCTCCAACATGGATTTCCAGTTAAATCACTGGCATTTAGAGGGTATCAGCAGGTGCCTGGTGAGGTTTTTGGTAAATACACAAAAATATGCATAATAAAATGTGCCAGTAACACACAGACAGAAGAACATGCATGAGTGTCTGCTAACTTTACCTTAAATCATCTGTCAATTTTTCACACAACTGGGATAATTTCACTAACAGATACTCAGTCCATTCTACAGATGAGCCTGCAGACCTCTCACTGACTTCAATTTATCTTAGGTACATAAATGGCCCCCATCACAGTAGTATCTGAGCACCTCATAGATCTATATTCATCTTCACAGCATCCCTACAAGGGATAGCAGTGTTGTTATCCCCATTTTACAGATAGGGAACTGAGGTACATAATTGCCTAAAGTCACACAGGAAGCCTGGGGCAGAAGTAGGGAATAGCAAGGACCCTAACCACTGGACTCTCCTTCTCAAAGAGAGCTCCTCACCAAGAAGCAATCCCAGGACAGGGTTCCTGGTGACTATATCAACATCTAGAGAGAAAAATCAAGTGGGATGAGTTGAGCTAAGCTCTAATGCAGTCTAGCGTGCTACGCGGGTTTTAGCTGCACCTACCCAGTCAAGAGAGTCTGTGCTGAGAGTGTAGTTGGTGTCCTTCCAGTCTGATTCTCCAGTGGGCTGAAAGCTGACCTCCCGAATTGAGAAAATGTCACTCTCCTCCTCTTCCCCATGTCCAATCTGACACAAGAAATGAGATCTGTGAGGAAGAATTGCCCAAACTGGAGAGCACCTTCAGCCATTACGTTCTGGATCAGGAATGTTATTCAGCTGGTAAAAGCTATGGAGCCTAACACCATATGACTGACACATGGTAAAGCTGTGTACACTTGCAGTTTTTGCTTATTAACATACTCAGGAGTCCCTAGTTCGCCTCTTGCTGTGTACATGTGGTAAGGACACTTGCACAAAGACACACAAGTTGCCATAACGGATCAATCCACCATTATTTGTTGCCCATTATCCTGTCTCTGACCAGTGGCCAGTACCAGTTGCTTCAGAGGAAAATGTACAAAATCTTCTAATAGACAATTCTGGAATATCCCAAGAAGAAGATTCCTCCTAAATGTTGTCAACTAGAGTCTGGCTTATACTATGAAGCACTAAGATTTATATCCCTTCTAAGGATTTTATTAAGGTGTTTTTTTTTTTTGTTTTTTTTAAAGTCAAATGCAACTGCAATGTTCTCAGCAGAAAAAATGTCTAACTTATTTTGGAATTCTACTACTCTTGGTCTCAATGACACCTAGTGACAATGGATTCCACAAGTCAATTATGCATTGTGTAGAAATATATTTCCTTTTATAAGTTTTGAATTGCTGTCTTTCAAGTTACGGTACACTGCAAAAGATTGCTGCTCACTTCCTTCTGCCTACTTTGTTCAGCAGAAGCTATTAGAACAGAGGAAAGCAAGCAGCTATACTTAGGGAAGTGAGATCAGGATATACAGAGTGGAGTGGAACTTCCCGGCTCTGCAAACACTTAAAACCTTTTATTGTGTCGCACTGAACAAGATGGTAATAGGACTGTGTATAGATTATGGAAGATGATATATGTTGTACAGCAAAATCTTGCCTGATCAGACAAGAGGAATAAGATGATGGCAAAATCATGCCACAGTCAGGAGGATAATGTGTACAGAATCAGAGTGCATTGTCCCTCTCAACACATAATTACCAGTGGTTCACTTCCTCCAAATCATGATACCTACCTCATCCTCAGGATAGTGGCAGTCAAGCACAAGAGTCTGTTTGGGATCATCTTTTGTTACTTCTACAACAAAGTTAGGAGTCGATGTAAGTTCAGGCTATGAAAAGAAAGAAGAAGATCACGTTAGCATTGGACTCCACCTATGCTAGGTAACTACTTTCTGCACGAAGACCAGTGGGAAAAGCAGGTAGTGCATAAGCCAACTGCTACAAACCTCAAACTGGTTTGTTTTTAAGACACTACAGAGATTCCTTGAATATGTCTAATATCGGTGTTCACAGCAAAGCAAGTTTTTACCTCAAAACCATCACATCACTCACTTTAAAAGTGGTAAGTGATACTACTTACTAACTACTGTAATACCGGCTGATTAAATCCCACCATCACCATAAATATAGATGACTTTATAAAAGATCAAGGGGTGTGTGAATATATTTATGGATTGAGATTTTTTTTAACTGTACTTCATCACAGCAAGTTGCAAAGGTAGCCATAAGTTCAAACATCTGAGTCCCTTCATCTTAGCTACAAAGGATCCTCTTGTATGGGCACATTTTAGGCCTACCAGGTGTCTTTCTTCCTTTGATATTGCAATGAGAGGGTAGTTAAATGGTAGACCAGGCAAAAGCCTAATGTCCTGCTCTACTACAGTGTACTTATTGAAAGGGTACATAAAGGCTGTACATTTACCTCCTGTTCATCAGCTTTCTGTCCTTCTTGTGGCTCTTCATCAAATGTTGGTGGAATGCTGTTGTTAATGTTGAATGTAACTGTAATCCTTCAACACAACATAACAAGAGGATGAGATTAAATACCAGATAAAAGCCACACTAGTTGAACAACTGATACGGCTCTATTCCTGCTCACAAAGTTTCAGGTGCTTATTCTATCTGTGATGTCAATAACGGGGCCTGAAGTACATTATGTGCTTCACTGAATTTCCCCTGCACTTCGTATGGTGTGCTACTCTTAAGGATAAATTTTAAGATAAGACCACTGCACAAAGTTTAAACCCCATAAGTTCCCTGTATTTATGAACGAATGTATTCTCAGTTTACTAGGTTAAAATCTTGTTTCCTGTTCCCCCCTAGAGTGAAATGGTGCCATGAATCCTGAGAAGACACAGGGCAAGCTACAATGGCAGAGTATACCACATTGCTCTACAGGATGGAAAAATAAAGTGACTTCAAAGCTTTTGTAATCTCCACTTGGCCTGGATGACAGCACAAAGTGACACTGGGAAGCAGTACTAAGTTAATAGCTTTTCATTAACACAACATCTATCATGGACAAGACGTGCTTACCCTGCTTCACTGGAATTTAAACTAAGTCCTTATGTTCACTGACAAGATCAAATATCAGCTCTGCGAAAAAACCCATCTCACGCTTACCTCTCACCAGCTATTTTCCGCAACAATTTGGCTTCAGTGCCATGCACTTCTAGCTCCCACCCTCCAGACATCTTGGGCAGGGATTTATGTTTCTGGATCTTCTTCTCCTCTTTAATTTCATCTATCAGAAACTCTGCAAATGCTTTGTCCCCTGGGAGGAATAAAAAGAGATGAAGATATTAAAACACCTGGGTTAGAGAAATATTGTTCCCTACTGGCTAGAAGAGAAAACGAAGTTAGGCCTCCAGGATTCTATTTCTAGTTTAGTCACTGACTTGACCAAATAACGTCTGTGTACCTCAGTTTATCCTGGTATAAAATGGTGATGGTGGGGAGGTAATACCACATACCTTATACTAAGGTTACAAGGCCTACTAGTTCATAAAAGAGTTTATAATGTTCAGCTGAAAAGCACGATACCGAAGAGGGCAAAGAATTAAAGTGTGTGCAGAGTGATGACGTGTAAGAGCTCGTAATTTGCCAAAGGGGCTGAAGTTCTGTACAAAGAGTTAAATAACAAGTCTTTACTAAAATACATTAAAACCTGTTCTTTCAATACATACAAGTATTGATACAGGTACAATACACGAGGAAAAAAGCACCTAAATTATTAATGAAGTGAGCACAAGAACTTGGATGGAATCACTGGAGTCTTAAGCAGGGTTCCTAGTGACTACAATGGACCTCATGCATCAGAATCTGCCCTACAGGGCCTAAGTGTGAAGTCAGAGGGTAATAATCCCAATGTACCTCCATGACTGAGACTTGATTACAATACAGATAAATACCTGTTTTACCATCCATCCAAGGAGCTCACACTGCTTTGCAAACATTATGTTTCATAAACCCCTTCCATAAGGCAGGTGAATTATCCTTATTTCACCACTGGGTTTGCTGAAGTTAACGCGGGGGAAGGGGGTTGGGGAGGGAGAAGAGAGACAGGACTGACACATAACAGAAAAGTTAAGTTTCAGAGTAGCAGCCATGTTAGTCTGTATTCGCAAAAAGAAAAGGAGTACTTGTGGCACCTTAGAGACGAACCAATTTATTTGAGCATAAGCTTTCGTGAGCTACAGCTCACTTCATCGGATGCATTCAGTGGAAAATACAGTGGGGAGATTTATATACATAGAGAACATGAAAGAATGGGTGTTACCATACACACCGTAAGGAGAGTGATCACTTAAGGTGAGCTATTACCAGGAAGGGGGGGGAGCCTTTTGTAGTGATAATCAAGGTGGGCCATTTCCAGCAGTTGACAAGAACGTCTGAGGAACAGTTGGGGGGAGGGGGGGGTGTGGAATAAACATGGGGAAATAGTTTTACTTTGTGTAATGACCCATCCACTCCCAGTCTCTATTCAAGCCTAAGTTAATTGCATCGTTTGCAAATTAATTCCAATTCAGCAGTCTCTCCTTGGAGTCTGTTTTTGAGAAAAGTTTAGTGACTTGCCAAGGTCACACATTTTGCCAGTGACAAAGACAGGACCAGAATCCCACAGACCCAACTCCCAGTTCTGCTAGAGTGTACATAAATCTCCCCACTGTATTTTCCACTCAATGCGTCCGATGAAGTGAGCTGCAGCTCCCGAAAGCTCATGCTCTAATAAATTGGTTCGTCTCTAAGGTGCCCCAAGTCCTCCTGTTCTTTCTGCTAGAGTCAGACATCTGCCACCCAGCCCCACCCCGCACCTGGATGCCCAGGAGACTCTGGGCCTAGGGACTGCTGGGATGCGGAGGACACAGGAGCCCCGGGACACGGTCGCGCCCCGAGGGCACATACCGGCTTTCAGCTGCGCAGTGCGGCCGAGCGAGAGCCCAGGAGGAAAGCGCAGGCCGCCGCCGCCAGGCAGGGAACATCCTGGACACACACAGGGGCCGCTCACGGCGGCGGATCTTCCGAAGGAGGGAGCCCGGGCCCTCCACCGCCCCGGCCCGGCGGCCAGCCCCGGGCCGCAGCTCGGAAGCGGAGCGTCCGCCGGGGCGTGTGACCTGCGCACTGACCGCCCAGGCCAGGCAGGACCCGGCGGGACGGGCCCGCCCCGGGCCTAGGAAACCCCGCTCTTCTCCCAGGCCCCCCCCCGCGGCGCGGCCCGCCCTTACCCTCGGTGTGGAGGCCGCCGCAGCCGCAGGACACGCCGGCGGGCGAGGCCCGCGGGGGCCGCAGGAGGCCGGGCCGCTGGGTCCCGGCGGCGCCCCCGCGGAGCAGCCAGAGGCTGCGGGTGAAGGGGCGGGCGTCGCAGAGCAGGGCCGCGGGCCGCCGCAGCAGCGGGGCGGGCGGGAGGCGCGGCGGCAGCGGGCGGAGGGCGGCGGCGGCGCGGAGGGCCCGGGCCAGCAGCATCCTGCCGGGAGCGCGAGGCCGAGTGAGGCGGCACGTGCGGGAGCAGAGGACAAGCGCCGGCCCCTCCCCCGGAAGGGCAAGACGTCATCACCCGGAAGCGTTTCTCCCCCCTTGGGGGGGGGTAGGCCTCGGCCTCGGCGCCGCGTGGGCACGGCCTGGGGGCGGGTCCCGGGGCGGCAGCAGCCGCCGCCGCCCCCAACCCCTCGGCCTGGGTGGGGCTGGAGCGCCCCTGAGCCCCGCGTGCGAGGCGCTGTACAAATGGAGCCAAGAGTCCCCGCCCCGCGGCTCCATTTAAGAGCGTCTGGCCGGCTGGAGTGGGCCCACGCGCTACCTATGGCGAACCTCTGCCTTAAAGGCTTCCGGCAGCCGCTCGCTCAGCTGCGCCCTGGGGTTCCCAACTTTGGCTGGGCCTGTTCCTGGAGGTTTCATCACATGACATAATCTTCCGTAAACGATTAACCCTACAGCGTCCATGGAGAGCCAGAGGCCCAGGAAAGCAGTGGACGCATCATAATCCCATCCCCTTGTCTCCATTTCGGCCTTTGCTCACACAGGTAGCCGCTGAGCTTGGTTCCCACCGCCGATGTACCGTAGGGGTGTGAAGGCTGAGCCACAGGAATTCTTTCTTCCCGCAAAAAGCCAACACCCGATTTCAGCACAAAGCAAGTGTAGGCTGCAGGAGAGAGTAACCTTAGCCACAGTTTTCAAAAGTGACTAGTGATTGTGGATGCCAATTTGAGATACCTTCAAGTATAGGCAAAAAGAAGAGGAGGATTTGTGGCACCTTAGAGACTAACAAATTTATCTGAGCATAAGCTTCCGTGAGCTACAGCTGACTCACTGAGCTGTAGCTCACAAAGCTTATGCTCAAATAAATTTTAGTCTCTAAGGTGCCACAAGTCCTCCTTTTTGCGGATACAAACTAACATGGCTGCTACTCTGAAACCTTCAAATATAGATGGTCAAGGTCCACATTTCTTGGTCAAAGTCCAGACTCCAGAGAAAATAATGAAGATAAATAAAAAGATGTAAGGGTCCACTTAAAAGCATCTGGCAGGCTGGATTTGGCCCCACGGTCTACCTATTGAGTATCTCTGCCTTAAAGGCTTCAGGCAGTTGAACAGCCACTGAAAATTACAACCCTTTAATGCACTTCAAGCTGGTCACCTACAATCATGCCTCTTCAACTTTTCATTCATTTTTGCAAGTCCCCTTAAATTTATTTGAAAATAGAAATAAGTCAAAAAAATAACCTAGTTCTAATATACTAATATTAATTTTAAAAGAAGGACTGACCAGGGGACATACACCCTGGCACAACACGCTGACTTTTTGTATGTTAGTGATGTTACCCTCTCACTCTCAAAAAAAAAAAAAAAAAAAAAAAAAAAAGCTCCAGGAAAACACATTTACAAAAGGACTTTAGGTCACGACAGCAAAGCGATGCTTAGAATAAATCATCATGTTACAAGAATCCAAAGTACAAAAAAAAGAAAATCACTATAGAAAATTATAATTTGTACCTAAACATACCATGAGGTACTTTTAATAGCCACTTAGCTCAGGCTTTGAAGTGAGGAAGCTATGTATAGAACATAAGACAACAGCTTCTTGAACTTGGAGTTTAGCCATCTCTTTATTATGGGAAAGTCAAATGTACAAATTAGTTATTTCTGAATGGATCTCCCATCCCCCACCCAATCCCCAAACATATTGTTAATAGGCTGTCCAAATAAAGTGTGCTTTTATTCCACTTTCCCCTACAGATGCAGAGTTTCTGTATAAACACAGGAATAATTATATACAGTGCTTGATAATTCCCTGCGGTTTGTACGAGTTACAACAACTGAAGTAGCAGCATACTGTTGAGATGCCATCCAGAATTGCAGCTGGTCATACATAGAAAGGTGGCAACTTTGCCCCCAGCCCCTCAGCATGTTTCTTACCAGCAAGGATACAGTGAGAGGCACAACCAAGGGATACATTTATACATTTTCTCTAGACCCCTGTAAAAATTCAGTATCACCCTGTCTGGAAATAGATTGATACACTTCACTATTCCTGGAAGCAGAGGGGAAGATATTCTAGGCATACTGTGTAAATGGAGTGCACCTATTTACAGTAATGCTGCTCTTAGGAACCAGTGATTTGCAGATACTTCGGAGTGTAATTCAGGTTTTAAAGAGAGGTATTTGTCATAGATTTCACTGGTGAGGACCAAGGTAGTCAGAATAATAGTAGCCTGGCGAGAAGGCATATTGCAACATACTGTGTAATTGTGAAGAATTTAACCAGAAAAAAAAAGTTCAAGATAGAAAGCATAACTTCTCCCTGTAGATCACACAGTGAAGTCAACAGCTTATCTGTTCACAAGTTTAATGGGTTTTCCAATATGATTCTATCCCTGAGCAGCACCATTGAAACTTTTAAAATAAAAAGTAAAATTGATGTTTGAAAAATACAAGAGTAGACTACACCATTTTAGTCAAACTGGGATATCCCAGAGCAGCTCATGTTAACTAATCACATTCATTAATAAAAGTTTCCCATCTTCCCCTTTTAGAAATCTAATCTGTTTTAATTCATCTCATCCTAAAACTGAACAACTCAAACTGTGCAAAGAGATTTCTGCTGAAACTAGAAGTTGCTCTCCCAGAGAAGTTATTTTAGAAGTACTCATAAGGATATAATTTAAAAAATTCTTACAACTTTTCTAAGTCCCCATTCAGTCATAATAGAACAGTCCATTCCACTCATTCAAGACATTACTGGGCAAGTAATATTTGGACAATCAAGTAATTAGACTGGCTGAACCTGCCTTAGTCCCTGTATAAAACACAGGATTAAAAAATAAGATTGGTTCTTATTGCCATTTTCCTTCCGTGTAGAATCTGGCCACTAGATGCTATGATGCTGGATGAAGCCCAAAATACCGAAGACAGATGTAGCATCCTAATCAATGTTGACATGCTACAAATGTCTAATGAAGGACAAAAATAATCAAGAAAAGCAGAAAAATACTGGTGTAAAACTGTAATGGGGGAAATAAATATCTGATGATTAAAGAGCTTTTGAAGGAAGTCTGACTGCAAATAACATCTTCATATTTTTTTTCTGGAAAGTTTGCCACAAAATAACCAGATGAGCTATTGCGAAGGATAAGACTTATTGTGATCTGCTATCTCCAAGCAGCGAACTTGGAAGTTTTAACGTGGCCAAGGAAGGAAGGATGAACAAAAGGTGTGTGGGGACAGGCATGGTGGAGGGCAATTTCTCTGCTGCCAGAGTTCTGGGTTCAGTCTGGAACAAAGTCTTTGTTTCTGCTTTGAAATCTTTGGCTGCCATAACAAAGAAAATCTCTTCAGGCAAAGACTGGCACAAAAATTTCAGATGGCAATATACAGAAGTTAACAGTCCAAATTCAACCCCCCACACTCACGCACATACTGAGGAATAATAATGTCTCAATAGCAAAGCAGAGGAAAACACTGTACTCAGAAGACAGCTGGTTATAAAGTCAAGTGGCATTTGGAGAGAGGAGATGCATAATAGACCATTGCCAAACTCAACATCAGTTAACAGTCTGATTGGCTTCCTAAGTAAGAAGCAAAGATTTCTTTAAAGATCTGTGCTTTGTGGGAATGCTGAAAAGCAAGTATGGAAGATATTGATGATTCGTTAGACCGTCCGCCATGTAAAGAGCCTGGGATCTTTATACTTCTTTCACCATCTCAGTTGTAAATATCTGTTTTACCATGTGCGGTTTTATGACTCTTCTATGGATTACACAGTTATAAATTGCTAGAAAAATATAACTAGTCATGCCTGCCCAAGCAAGACTTAGATTTCACGATAGCTCGTTGCCAAGTAGCAGAAACATCCAACTCATAGGGGAAATGTTACCCAACTTCTTTAACAATACATACTACCTATAAGAGCTCTGCAGTGGCTGATCCTCTCCTTAGATTTAACTGTTGGCACTTTGGTGTGGCCATATGGGGGCAGCCGCAGAAGTGTTTTACTTGCATGGCACCCAGTTCGTTACATAGCTACATGAAAACGAACTGGATGATGGAGACTAATTTTGTTTAAAAAGACACAGCTAGGCTGGTGATGCAGCAATGAGAAACTAACAAAGCATTTGAAAGACATGCCGGCAGTTTCTCTGCTAGCAGACCATATGGGTTACTGATCATCCTCTCTTAGTGGCACTTCACCTCTATCAGCCCCGCAAGGTTTGTCTAACAAACAGGCACAGGTGATGAAGAGCTGTCTATTCAGATAACTCTGTACTGGCTTTCAGATGGGTCAAACAAGGTGGTGAAAGTGACATCAGGCAGAAAGATGTCCGATGAGGTAAAATACATTAGCACCTCCCTCCGAAAAATGTACATTTAAAAAAGGTATTTTTGTCCTGTTAATATAATTATACATAGAGATTTAAAACTTTCTGACGCTAAAACCTGCGAAGGATACAAGGGCAATTGTCAAAAAATCCCAGGTCTGCTCAGAAGAGTCCCCTTGGGGCTCTCATTGCTTCATACACAACCCCATTATACCTCTGTTTTAAAAATTGGAATCCAAGACCATCACCCCCACCCCCAAATATACACATATATATATTCACAAACATACTATATACATGTATAATGTTCCCCTTTTATCTATTAACTGTCGTAAAAGATGATTGTTCTAAGCCAGTGCAGCAACAGTGCATGAGGTATGGCTCTTGCAGAGAAGCCATGTCCTGTACAGTCCTACCGGATTGGCGAGGCAAAGCTCTACTGTTCCTGTACATTCGTTACAAAAATCTGATCCCGTGACCCTAGGAATCCCCCACAGTTAGCTCCGTGGCACCAAGGGTGGGTCAGTTCTTGGCTGCTCTTAGCTTCCTGCGGAAGTAGTCGGGTGCGGCATCACACAGCCAATCTGCATCCACCACGCACAAGTCCCTCATGTAGCACTTGTTGGTGTGAAGCAGCTCGTTGTACGTTACGCAGGCTGGCTTGCAGTGGAAGAGGACTGAGGAGGGATGGATTGCCACCAGCTGGTGGGAGTCTACGGTGGCATAGGTGCCATCCGGCTGCAACTCTGCAGTGTTCATGAAGAGGCTGTGAGCCAGGCAGCGGCGGATATTCCCCGTGTCCGATCGGGAGGACTCCATCGGTAATGATAGCTGGTTAGTAACGAGAGAGAGAGCGAGAGAGATGGCAATCCCTTGTGTGTTGTGCCCTGCAGCTCAGGATCAGATACCCTACTAACCTCACACTTGGTAAGGCAATTCACATCTTTTCATGTATTTATACCAGCTCCTGTATTTTCCACTCCATGCATCTGATGAAGTGGGTTCTAGCCCACAAAACCTTATGCCCAAAGAAATTTGTTAGTCTCTAAGGTGCCACAAAGACTCCTCGTTGTTCCTACTAACATTAAATCTCATAAAACAAGCCTGGAAGAGTCTCACGGTGGGAGTGAGACTGGAATCAGGTGGCTTCTAGCGCAACACAAAAGCCCACATCACCTATCGCTTTCTGGCATCCGTTCCGATAACTGTGCATGCACACGTTTGAAAAGCAAATATGGTACGACCAAAAGCTCAAAAGGAATGGGAATTCCAATTCAAGCTTGGACAGCTGCCGTTGTGAGTTTGCAGGACGCTGCCCAGAGATGGGTCCAAGCTGCCCGTTAGAGGAGTTCGTTTCAGTCCTACCATATTCAAACCGGGAACTGAAGGCACAGTGTTTCCCTCTGCTAGGATCTGGTAAAAGGAAGCCATTCGGGGGTAGAGGGGAGTAAAACAGTGACAAGACAACTGAAGAATTTTACAGCAACTAGTTACCTTTAGGCAAATGTCCCTGAGCTGAGCTCTGACGTCTGACACCAGCGTCATGTTCCTGTTGTTCACAAAGTTCTCTTTGCACCATTCCTGCAGGAGAGCAAGTGGAAGCTAGAACAATTCACTTCTTTATCGAGGATGTTAGGGACATTGTTTTTGGATAAGATGTAAAACAGGATCCCTAAATCACATACCCATTCAAAAGAGCGCTGCTACCCTTCTGGCCTGATTCACAATATGGATAGTAACACTTGACCTAACTACAATTCCCTCCTACAGTTCCAATTAGACACAGCATTCCTCACCCACTGTCCTAAATTGTTCTGTGGGTTTGCCACGTGCCATGAAACAGCTTCTGCGCTTCTTCCCCAGAGATGGTGAAAGTGATTCCTAGAAGCATCCAGTTTGTAAATCACACTGGGAGCCCTGAGGAGGAAAGGCACACTACTACGCTGCTACTCTACGTATTTAGATATCAGACTGGAGAGTTTGATTTGTGGATTAAATCCAAATCCCACTTACAAAACTTGCAGAAAGGCCCGATCTCTTTGTCATGAGTTCTGAAATGCTGAAGAGCATTGCCAGGCATTTCCTGGTGATAGGCTGAAACACAATCCTACCCAACTGGAACAATACAAGGAGGAAAGATGACCTCGAGGTTAAGGTGCTAGCTTGGGACTCGAAGGATGGGTTCAGTTCCCAGCTCTGCTACAGAGTTCCTGTGTGACCTTCATGAAGTCACTTATTCAGCCTGTAAAAGGAGGTTAGCCCTTTCCCATCTCACAGAAGCATAGTGAGAATAAATACATTGATTAGGAGGCACTCAGATGCAAAGCGAAATGCAGATACATGGAGAGAGGTCAGATCCCAACGGACGAATTATTGTACCATCTCCAGAAGCTGGTGTGCCGCAAGCCCCACCTACCTTATTGCCGCTGACATTTTTAAAGGCTCTGTATACGTTGAGCAGGGTGAGGTGATCCCCCTCACTGGAAATGAACTTTTTGCGGACAGACTGCACTTCATCCCGCCGGGATGGGGGGTTGTAGAGGATGCTGTCCACCGAGAGCAGGGACACAATGGTCAGGATCTCCTCCGTGCAGTGGAACTTGGGGGACATGAGGATAGTCTGCAAAGCACAGAGAAAGAGATGCTTTCAAGGGTTTCACCAGCTAGAAAGCTGGCAGATTTCAACAGCACAGTAATCTTGGTGAGTAATGTAAACTTTAGAAGATACCTTCTCTGTGTTAAACTAACTCCTGGCTCAATGGGATCAGACATAAAAGACAGGGGAACTCTGGTTTATTCTTAAAATCACAGAAGACAGAGGGAAGAGACACACTAGGGGACATAGCTTGTCCATCCTCATGCCAATGCAGTATCATGGAGGCACTGGTAATAGTGATCATTAAGGATTATTCTTTAAGTCGTCCTCATCTGAATGAGCTAAACTACTCACAAACCTTGAATCACACACTTCTGCTATTTAGGCACACAGATATACACATACATGCACACTACTGGGGACAGCTGATTATTTTAAGGAAGTTTCAACATAACGTGCTCATCCATACGAAATCTGTAAGCAAGACAAAGGCAGCTCTTTTGGAAACTTTGGTTTCAACTCTAACTTGCCTCATTAAAATCAACTAGTGCTAGAGGAAAGGAGGGGAACAAATGTCATACCTATCAACAAGAGGCACTAAAGGTGAACTCCAAACCAGTGAGCCTCACTTCAGTACCAGAGGAAATGGCTGAAGTAAACAGGATTATAAAGCATCCACTAGATGAGCAGAATATGACAGGGACAAACGAGTACAGTTTCTCTAAAGGAAAACTGTGCCTCTCTAGTCTACTAGGACTTTCAGCGCATGCAAGGCTGCAGCTACTCAGGGCCAAGTTCCACATCTACCGCATAGCAGCAGCGCTCACGGACATTAATAGGAGCTGCTGGTCAGCAAAAACTGCAGAATCAGTGCCCCCATCAGGCACTCATTCTCCTCACATGTTACTCCTGAGGGGCATTCTGCGCCAAATAATTACAAATTCTGCAAAATTCTGAAAAGTGTATTTGTCAAAAAAATGTGGAAGCTCCAGCATGGAAGCAGAGGCCGCTGGCTGCACAGAGGTGGGAGATCGCTGTGCAGCTCCCCCACAGGGCACAGACTCAGCAGTGAGGCTGCACCCAACCCCAGAAACACCCCAGGGCCCTGTCCCTCCATGCCAGGTGCGAGCAAGCAGGCTCAGCAAGGCAGGATCCACGTGTGGAGGGGCTTAGTGTGGGGGGTCCAGGTGTGGGTTGAGAGGGCTCTGTATGGGGCAATCTGGGTACGAGCGGCTCAGAGAGGGATCCAGGTGTGGGGTGGAGCTTGATGCACAGGGGCTTGTTGTGGGGTTCTGGATGCAGTTCTGGGGTCCAGGTGAAGGTGGTTGGGACTCAGCAGGGCGGGTCTGGGTATGGGGTGGATAGAGCTTGGCAGTGGGGTCTGTGTGTGGGAAGCTCAGTGGGGGGGAGGGGTCCAGATGCTGGGGATCCAGGTGCAGGTGGCTCGTTGGGGTGATCTAGGTAAAGGGGGAGTGGGGCTCGTCGGGCGGGGTTTGGGTGCGGGGGGGGGGGTGAGGCTCAGCAGGAGGGTCTGGGAATGAGGAGGTTTGGATGCACGTGAGTTGGGCAGATGGGGGAGTAGCTCCCTGTACAGGGATCCCGCCCCCTGCAGCTGAGGAGCGATGGGTGCAAGAAGCGCAAGTGGGGGGCAGGGGGGAGCAGTTACACAGCTTCCTACAGGCAGGGGAAGAGAAAGTCCTGTCCTCCGCAGCCCAGCCGGGACTAGCAACTGAGCCCGGCACAGGGTAGGAGCCACCAGCCGGTTCTTCCCCAGGCCCACCCTCCGCCCCACAGTGATTTACTTTGCCGCCGGCTGCCTTGGGCACCCAAAACATGCTGCTGGGGAGAATCACATGACCACTCTTGTGGCTTCCCTTTGCTTTCCCGTCAGAAAGTCATTTTTCTGCGGAGAAGCAAAGAAATTTGCAGGGGACATAAATTCTGCGCATTGGCAGTAGCACAGAATTCCCCCAGGAGTAACGTGTATTGTTAGGGATGTATCATGGTAACAGCACCTGTATGTACTTTGTCATTCCACCTCATGTGGAAATCCTACATGGAATCAGGAGGTAAATGTGGGATATTCAGTCAAAACAAACCTCTTAACTCATTATCAAATCCAAAGAAAGTCGTTTAAGGAGCTTGAGAATAAGAGACTGATAACTATGGAAAAATATATCCAGATAAAAATAAAAAGCTTATTGCCTATCATTTGTACTTTAGAGAATTTGGGCTCCAGAGGAAATGCTGCCATCTTCCTTCCCAGTGGAGTCAGAGTAACCTGATCCTCCTTCCGGTCCACAGCCCCCAGCAGATCCAGTTGCTCAATGGCTGCCTGAATGGCATCTATCAAGACAGAATGGTACAGCCAGTTGGCTTCATTGTTGGCAATATCAGCAGAGGTGAGGAGGACTCAGAGGCAGTGTCTCCGGGTCAGAGTGAAGGACAACGCTGTGCCTGTTATGATTAAACTGCTCGAACCTCCGGGGCTGTCCACCAGGCACATTCCAGTGACATAACACTCACAAATTATATTTTAAATAGAAGCAAAGCCAAGGTTGCCATGCCAAGCCCCTGCAGGCTACTCTCCTTCTCTAGAAGCCTCCCCCCAAGATTTCTTCAGATTCTTTGCACCTCCAGCCTACTTTTATCCCATGCTGCTCCTCACTCTGTTGAGAAGTTGAATTCCCCAGCTCCTGCCACCAGTACACCTGCTTTCACAGCCACGGAATCCGGTCCACCCAGATGGCAGAAGATTTCGATTAGTTCACTTGTCAGCTAGCCCCATCGGGGGAGGTTGCAACAATACAGGAAGTGTTACGCTCCTTATGGTACAGACTCCCCCCCACTCTCCATTATCGGTTCAGCCAAAAATTTTATTTTCAGACAAATTCTCAGTGACCTGTTACCCATTCCTTCCAATGCTGCCTTCACACCCACTTACCTGGGGAGGGTTTGGACATAAAATCGAAGGTGAGAACGTTGGGAATTCTCAGAGCCAGGAGCTGTAGCATCACACTGGCCAGGTTACACCTGCAAAGGGAGAGAAAAAAAAATAAGAACAACCTCAATCACCTGCCTCCGTTGAGGCGAGTCAGGCAGACCTGCCCGACTAACACCTCTGAAATCCTGCACACTGAGGAAGACCAGCCCAAGAGTGGCCTCCACTCTCCCCTGGCCTCAGCACTCCTGCAGAGTGGCTACTTCTTCCAGCAGCACCTCCAGTCACACAGCAGAGATGAGGAACGAGCAGCAACAGCAGCAGAGGGACCTTTACACACTCATTTTTGTCAGGAATGGGGAGAAGCATAATAAGGGAAAGGAGTATAATACAAAGGGTGGAGATCAAAGAGCAATGACCAAGGTGGAAGCTGGATGCTCCCCAGAACCTCACCCTCAGCTGATGGTATTTGGCACAGAACTTCTTGGATTCTGAGATCCCGCTGGAGCCCCCTCTCTGAGGGCTGGGCAAGGACACAACGGGTAAACCCGTCGCTTCAGCTATCCCTTGTAGCCTCATTAGCCTGCTGCCAGTTATGTCACGTGAGATGGGAGAGTACAAACTTAAAAGGGATGGGGAAAAAAAGCTATGAGTCCAGACTGATGGAGGAGGGGGAATAAAATACCCTGTTCTTCTTGTTTCTGACACTTTCCTCCTGGTAATGGGGCTGCTGGTGGAGATAGAGCAAAAGCCTGAGCTCTGACAGCTCCAGGCCCCTTTCCCCCCCGGGGCCCCAAAACACACCCAAGCTGTGAAAACGGAATTAACCACAACAGGAAGCCAGGAGAGACACAGTTCTGTCCCAGGCTCTGAATGCCCTTCCTCAGCCAAGGCTGTTCATGGGGCTCCATATCCATTCACAGTGCTCACAGGCCTGCCATCAGAGTCACAGATTCCGGCTATGTAACAAGGTCTGGCTAAGGGAGGGCAAGGCTGTGTGTTAGGGGAAGTGGATTCTGTTCTCACCTCTGTATCTCAGGTATCGTCATTTTATCAAACTTCTGAAACTCATCCTCTGTGTAGAGCCGGTAACAGATTCCACTATCCTCTCGTCCCGCTCGCCCTGTTCGCTGCCATGCCTGGGCCTTTGACACCCGTTGCACAGCCAACACCTCCAGTCCACTCTCTGGGAAAGGAAAAGAGTCCACATTAGTGAATATTCACACATGCGGGGCTTTGGAAATGCAGCTAGTGCAAATTCACACAGTGGCTGAGTACTGATCCTGGGGGAAGAAAGAGAGCACCATCGACTGAAACAATACCACTTAAAGGCAGTCTCTCATCAAAACACTAACCAGGCCTATTCTTGCTTAGCATACAAGACCTGAAGACAGCTACATGGTGCTGCATCCACTTGGTGACATTTCACAGCTGCAGGGGTATGTTTACACTGCACATAAACACCCACCGCTGGCCCATACCAACTGACTCGGGCTAAGAGGCTATTTAGGGTGTAGATGTTCTGGCTCAGGCTGCAGCCTGAACTCTGGGACCCTTCCACGTTACCCAGACATTTACACTGCAATAAACAGCCCAGCAGCCCGAGTCAGCTGGCAGGGACCAGCCACCGGTTTTTAACTGTGGTGTAGACATACCCCGGGAGGCCCGGTAGAATTCCACACTTAGCTGACTCTCCCCACAAATCGATAGCCCTGTATACACCTTATCCCAGGATCAGATGAGCACTGGGGAAGAAAGCACATTCAGCTGACGGGAAGAACACAAACACACACACACAAAAAACGCCTGAAATTCGATGTGTTAGAGACTGGGGCAGAGGGGTATTTTAAATCAGCTGCTGCCAGGGTTTAGTGCCTCAACGTACTTATCAAGAATTAAAAATTATTTCCATGTCACTCATCTCAACTCCTCACCAGGGCTGAACTTCTTTGCTTTAACCATGCCTGTGTCCACAACGTATTTTATTCCTGCAATGGTGATGGAGGTTTCCGCAATGTTGGTTGAAAGGATCACTTTGCGATAGCCCTAGGAGGAAGAGCAAACAAAAGAATACCATCTAGCTCTTATCTAATGCTTTGCAGCAGTACATCTCAAAGAGCTTTACAAAGGAGGTCAGTATCATTATCCCCATTTTACAGATGGGGAAACTGAGGCAGCGGTGACTTTGCCCAAGGTCACCCAGCAGGCCAGTGACAGAGTCAGGAATAGAACTCAGGATCTCCCAAGTGCCAGTCCAGGGCTGTATCCAGTAGGGCACACTTGCAGGAGACCCAGCTCCCACTTTCCCACCTCAGTGTCCCAAGATTCACACATCCATATTGATGTGCTTTGACTTGGTTACACGTTAGAGTACTGTGTCAGTATGACCAGCTTGTATGGTGAAATTAAAACTCTAGCTACTGGGCAGATTTCTAAAAGAAAGGAACGTTGCAATCAAAAACAATTAGTCAAATCAAATACAAGACCCCCAAAAGGCTGTTTGCAGTGTAGCCTTTAAACCTTTTTAGTTTTGCTTCTGGTGCAAGGCATGAGATTAGGATCCCTGACGACCTGAGTTCCTATTTATCCACTGACTAGGAACACCACAGGCTGAAGCAATGTAAGTTCCTCTGTGCACATACACGCAGCGCTGCCAAGTCTGCTACGCCCTCGAGATTAATCTTCTTGGAATTTCAGTATGACCTGGAGACTGCCCAGTGAGGCTGGCCACCTGGAATGGTGCTTTCTGTGACGAGGCTCTTAGTCCACAAGGATCCTTACAGAGCACATTCCAAAAGCTCTGCATCTCATTACCAAGCCTTTGGGCCCTCATTCCGCTACCTTTTCTGTATCCAGGGCAATTATTCCTCTACTGGTGCTAATGTTGAGGAGAGACTCATAGAGGTGACACCCCACATATCGCACTGAAAACATGTACCCTCCTGTCTCCAGGCAGTAGTCAGCCATGGTTATAAATGAGGATTGCTTTTAACCCACGAGACGTGCAGCCCTTCCTGGGCACCTGTGCAGGGAAACAGACAGTGATGTGGATGCATCAGCTCCCCCAGGTGTCCCCCAGCCTGGTTTACCTTTGGTGCGGCCTGAAAGACTCGGAGCTGCTGCGAGTATGGCAGCGAAGCATAGAGGGGCATCACCACCATCTGGGGGCAGCCATCGGGAAGGTGCTTGGCGATGTCTCGGCAAGTTTTGGTCATCGCTTCTATCTCTTCCTGACCAGTTAGAAACACTAGGATGTCCTGAGAAGAAGGTGCTTCCTTGGGGGTTGGGGAATTAGAAACGAGTGTAAGCTAGTGGGGGGAAGAAGACTCAAGCAGAAATAAAACAGCAGTTATCAGTGGCAGCAAATCTTCTGAGCTCTCCTAGCAACAGCAGAAGAGATGGAGCAGCTGGGGAGCAAAGCTGAATGTGTGCATATGGAGCAAGGTGCTGACCACCCCCAGCTCCCACTGGATTCACTGAGCAGGAAGGGGGCTCAGCACTTTGTAGGACTCAGTTTGTCACCAAGATGGGGAAAAAAAAAAAACCCTAGAGAAACAGATGTTTCTACTTTGTTCAGCAACTTTCCAGTACAGCTGGCCAGAAATCACATGAAAACCCGAAGAAGAATAGTTAGGAAAGCGAGGCTGCATATTTTCCTTAGCAGTCTCCTTTCATCTCCAGACTAGAGTTCAATTCCTACAAACACAGCAACAATAAGTATTTTCATAGCGGCAGAGCCAGGACATTACTGGTTTATTTAACAGCTTTCCACCAATCACTCTCCTTAAAAGCCATTGAATACATACAGCTCCAAAAGCACCGTGTCACTGTGTGCTCCAATGCAGAGGAGACACACTGGATATATTTCCAAAGACGGGCACCACAGGCACCTCCTTCAAAAACTCAGGACTAACCATTTGGCAGTTTCTCGTTGAAACACTTAGTGCTAGTCATAAAGTATTGATGAGCTTTTAATTCATTAGATTTCCATTTTCTCTATAGTTTATCTTAGCAACTACATTAGGGAGGCGATCTTAATGGTAATCGAAGATTGGCATTTTTTCATTTTGGTGCTCTTTGTGGATTCCACAATTCTGTAAGTAATGGGGTGCAAATAAATTATTCCCTAGAGTGCAATATTTTCAGTAATGGGAGCCCTCATCTAACTCAGTCACACCATCAGCATCATCTACCCGAGAAGCAGATTTTAAGAATATAGGGCCAGCTGGCCCACAGTGAAGTATGAAAGCTAGAGATGAGAATGCAACAGCATACAGAACAATCTCAGAGTTTTACTAACTATACAAGCTGCAATTTCAGGCCATGGGATATTTGAGATCATGAATCTAGCCAAAGTCTTACATTAATATAGCTCATTCAGACTTCAGGGGTGACACTAAAAGAATCCTCAATGCTTGTAGCATGACAGGGAAACTAGCACTTGGATCTGAACAGGCAGAACGGTAACAGATGAAATATCCATCGCATCGCAGGAGCAATGCTTGCTCCCAACACACCCATGGTACCTGATGGATTTGGAAGACCGACACCAGAGCTGCTTGGAGGTAATCACTCTGAGGCTGTTTGGTGTAAAAGATCTGGATTGGATGTTGCCGACCTTCTAGATAGAGGACTGGGGCTCCGTTGAAGTACTGAGAGAACTGGTCTACATCCATAGTAGCTGACATGATCACCACCTACAAAATGGGAGCAAGGCAGGTGCTATCAATGGGACTCAAGTGTGAGACGTTTGCCAACAGGCCTACAAAACCCAGCCTCCTTAGACTGCTAGGATGAACACCCAAACCAGCAAAAGGTTAGAAAGGCATTTAGTGCAGAAGAGAGCTACGTTTTTTTCTTCCGGGCCTTCATGTCTACAGCCATCCACTCCCACTATGTGACACCCCAACATGTGTTATACACGTATCGCCCCATACGCTACAGAGTGAGTGGAGAAGTGAGCTTAAAGGTTTCCAGACATTTACTAAAAACAACTATGCCTGGTTAGAACATTCAGACTTAAGAGATGGCTTTCAAGAAAGGGAATGTGTTCAAGCTAGAAAAGTCAAACATGCCGAGGACCCCACCCTTAGGGTGGGTCTTCATAGCACAGTTAGCTTGTGTGTTACTCCAAACTCAACTCCTGTCCACACACAAAAAAATCTCTAGCTCGCATTAAGTGATGCTTTAAACTAGCTGGTGGGGGTGGGCTGACACTCGAGTGCTGTTGAAGCTGCAGCTAGTAATGCAGCGGGGATGCAGCAGCTGGAAGCAGAACACATCAGCAGCAAATCCAATTACTCTGTTGCTAACCAAATCACTCTGCGTCACTCCAGTGTTCTTCTGAAGTTACTGGAGCTAGGCCCTCTCTAGTGCACTAACTGGAGTGTATCTAACTGAAGCTAACCATTTCAGTGTAGAACTGCCCTTAGAGGCGTGGAAGAACCCCCACTCTCCACCAACATATTGCATTCTGCTTGGGGGCCAGGTGGAGAATCTGCACTCACTTTGAGGGGGAATTTGCCCAAATCCTTCCGTTTCTTTAGCGCTGCTTTCACCACCCCAAAGAGCACATCTGTGTGTATTGTCCTCTCGTGAGCTTCGTCTAGAAGGACGACACTGTATTTGCGCAGCAGGGGATCGCCAATGGCTTCGCGGAGAAGCATCCCATCCGTTAGGAACTTGATTCGCGTCTCTTCTGAGGTGAAATCTTCAAAGCGCACTGTGTAGCCGACCTAAGGAAACAGTCATGCAGGACAAGGCACAGACACCAAATCACGTATATTTATAACAGCTGTGATTCACACTAAAGGATCCCAAAGCATCCAGACTATCCTTACAGGCATCCCTTCACCCATATCCAGTTAGAACTGCAAGTGCAATTTAAGGAGGCTGCATGTATTTACATTCTGTGGGTCACAGGCCCCAAGATTCTAACCTACCCCAAAGAGAGCTGCCAAAATCTTAGCATAATCACTATTTTCTGGCACTGACGGAGGAAGTTCACCCTGAAAAAAACCTGAGGAATTCACTGTAAAATTTAATAAACACACAAGATATAACCCCCTTTCCCAGAAGCCAGTGAACTGGATCACAAGAAATTAAAGTCAAGTGAAGGTCATACACTGCCCACAATTTACATGCACAACTCCCATCAACATCAACTCCAGTTTCACCATGGATTAAGTGCTGGATGTGGCCATTTGTACATATCACAGGTGTCATGAGCCTAACCCAAACTAAAACCAGTTCTAGAGGACACAGCAGATGCAGCTGATGCAGAGGCTCTGGCAGACACCATGCACAATGATTTTCCTGTCCAGGAACACCTCATCCAAAGGGCTACATGTAGATTATTATAAACGGCTACTCTCAAATTAACAGTGAATTAGCAGTTTGGAGCCCTCATACCCAAAGGCAGGAGAGCATATTGCAGAGGTGCCTAGTCCTAGGAAGGGTAAAGGCTGCCAGGTTTGTGCAGGGCTTCTCTGTCACCCATGCAAAAAGCAAAGGGTCACATGCTCCCTAACAAGATGGGTTGTAACTGGAAAAAGGCAGCAGCAACAAAAGCCAAGCTGTGCTTTAAAACAAAGTTGTGGAGAGGGTGGGAGGAGAGAGGAATAATCCATTTAGATGCAGACTTAATTTTTAAAATACCGAACAAGATGATACACTCCAACCCTAAGTGCATCCTATGAGAGAAACCAAAAGGATTTGATCAGTTCTAAAAAGCCACCCAAAACCCCAACATTTGGCCCTCAGAATACCGAAAAGGCCGTGAATACACTTCTGTGCATGTTTAAACGTTCAGTAAACAAAAGACACTACCATCCTTGCTGGAAGCCACTGCCTATTCCTGAAACACTTCGTTAAAGGGCCGATCTTGTATATATATTTTTCCATTCTCCCTCATAGCAACTGCAGCAAGTTCCCAAGAGTCACAGCTCTGCGCATGCCCTAGCTTGTTGCTATCACCTATAATCAGTGCTGGAACAGGGGGGATATGGCAAGCTGATTTTTTATTCATTAGCCAGCATCTTTTTAAATAAAAGCAACATAGCTGGCCCCTACCTGGCGAGAGAAAAGCCACGCAATGGCTCAGCCACTTGGCTGGATACAGGAGACAGTGTTTTTATTATTGTATCCTATTAAATGTAGACAGCACTTTATCCCTTGTGGTTCTAGGATCCATGCAACTGCTCTGACCACCTGCTGTCCTCACCTACCCAACACGACCATGCATCTCAACCGCTTTATTTGAGGCCACCTTACGTACCAGTTTCCCCAGCTCTGTTTTCTTCTCATCCGAAACTCTAGTAGCTAAGGATATAGCAGCTACTCTACGAGGCTGGGTCACCGCAATGATGCCTTGGCGGCCGATTCCTGCTTCATAGAGGTATTGTGGGATCTGAGTCGTCTTCCCTGAGCCTGTTTCCCCTATAGAGCAACAAATGGAACAGACATTTGCATCTCTAATGAGAGGCTCTCAAGCCATTTTGCAAACATTTGTTAATTAAGTCTCATCCCTCCGTGAGGCAGGTGTTGTTCCCATTTTGCCAATGGGAAAGCTGAGGAAGAAAGAATTAGGGTGATTTAGCCTATGGGAACAGAACCCAAGTACCCCCGCTCTAACCACTAGATACACCACTTCACTTGATAACGCTCATCTCATTCCCCATGGTTGGTCCCTGGTACAGAATTTTAAAGGCAAACCACAAGTAAATAGAAGCAGAGTTCTGTACGCTACAGAAGAGCTCCCAAGAACACTCAGCACAGCACAAAGCCTACGATTATTCCTTTTTAGGTTCCCCCAGCATCACACCGCACTCAGACCCCTAGATGGATCACACCTTCCTAGGAAGCCCCTGCCGGAGCATGGAGCTGGCTCGTGAGGCTCAGATAAGTAGTTTCTTTTCAGTATATATGGCACTAGTATGTGGCCTGCATTTCAAAGCTTTTGAAGTTATGCTCCCATAAAATCCTGGGAGCAAGAGACTGAAGAGACCCATTCAGTCATCCAGTCCACCTCCCTGCCACTGCAGGACTGGCTCCTACAATAGGCTTCTTAGTGTTTTGTGCAGTTTAGTCTTAAAAATTCCAGGTAACAGAGCTTCCACAATCTGCCAGGGGTGACTATTCGAGCTGGAAATGTCAGTTTTCTCTGATATTCAGCCTAGGAATTTCCTGTCTTAATTTCTTCCCACTATTTCTAGTTATATGTCCACCTACCACACCAAATAATTCCTCTCCATTGGCTTATGCCCCAACTTAATCGTTGCTGGGCAAATACTTCTGAAGTAGATGGATTTTTGTTTTGCTTGCAATTCATATTTAGCAAACAAGAACACTGGGCCAAGAAACTGAGACACACAGACAGGAGCTGTTCTTTCAGCACCACACAGAGGGCTACCCAAAAATGCCATCCCTTTAACCCACCCACGCTCCCAATTCTGCCACTACACAGTCAGCTGTAATGAAAGTGGCAACCATCGCTTACTACATAGGGCACAATCAGTCTTATGAACCAGAAACATAGAACAGTGATAAAAACAGGGCTTTGTACTAGCACTGAGTTACTGGATCTGCTTGTACCTATTACAGCACCGACGACAAAATGCTTTCATTGCTTGGGACAGATACAAGTTGGAACCAGGCACAATGCTTCAGAGAACATGAATTTGGAACTATTTCAAGTCTCAGGAGCAACAAAGAGCAGGAAACTAACATTAATGCCAATTTCATTCCCCTGCAATTTTATTGGTTCTTATGAGTCTGTTTTTAGTACCTTTATTTGGGGAAAAATACTTTTAAATTCAAACAAAGAACAATAAGGTAATTCGTAGCGCTTCAGCTTTCTAGTGGCCACCAACAGGGATTCCTCCTCACAAAGGACTCTGAACATGTTACAGGTGCATGGGGGGGGGAAAGGGCGTATTCTTCTTGACTCTTGTAAAACACTGACAGTAGAGAATAGGACACCTTTCACAAGAACCAAGTAGCTTCCAATACACCAGGGCCTGAACCAAATATATCCCTTCTTTAGGGAGCGGAAAAAACTGGAGGAGACACCCCCAGCTCTGCAGCCTCCTCACCTATTAGGTCTTGGCCGCTGTTGAGTCTGGTATGGTTTCAACCAGCACACAGTGCTAGTTTGTGCTGTACCCCTATGTTCACCCCTTTTACAAGACTATGATAAATTTCGTATAAAAATATGTCTTGTGAGATGTCATTTGAAAACTGATAATTTACTGATCATTATTGTCCTGATAAAATATGTGTGGCAACATTGTATGTAAAGTTACAAGATTCTACTGTATGATGTTACTGGGGCTTTGTCTACACTGCCAATTGAACAATAGTGCTTAAGAAAGCCTCCGCCTCCCCCCCCCCGAAAGACAAAAGTTTTGCAGCAGCAAGTTGCAGTGTAAATGGCTCGTTATCAGCAGGAGCGCTCTCCTGTCAACAATGCAAACTCCGCTGTAGTGGGTGGAAGTATTTTGTTGGCAAAAGTGCCAACAAACAGCGTTTACACTGCCCAACTTTTAGCAACACGGCTGTGTCACTAAAAGCTGTGTAGTGGACAAAGCCTAAGAGAGATTCAACACCTGGAGAGCAGTCAAACTAGTTCTCCAGAAACAAAAGACTAGCCAATACCTCAGCCAGGTGTCAACAAGGTCACATAAGCCATCACCTGGTTAAGTGGTCATTCCTTGGCATGAAAGAGGGCGTGGGGAAAAATAATCTACATCCTGACAAAGATATATCTTGGGGTTTCTTTCCATCCACACAGACTTTCTGTCTCCTGAACCTTAGCTGGAGATGACTCACAAAGAAGAGAAGAACTGCAAGAAAGTAGAGTAGATGTCCCATGTTCTCTCTTCTTTCTCTCTATCCACATCACCTCAAGAACAAAGGAAGAAACATTGGACTTGGGGAGAGACCCTGACTGAAAGAAATTCAGCCAATAAGACTGTGGTGAGAAAGACCTTTGTTTTGAATTCACTTAGCTTATTAAGTTAGGCATTAGTTGTGTTTTACTTTTACTTTTTTTTTTTCTTGTAACCAGTTCTGACATTTAGTTTTCTGTAGTTAATAAACTTGTTTCACAGACTATGTATAAGCTTGTATCACCTGGTGAGATAAGAGAGTAGACTGTGTCTATGCTGTGTAAATTTTTGTGATGATTTTGCAAGGACATCTATCTAAGATGACAGAACCACCAAAACGGCTTTTTAAAAACAAATTTTCAAATATTTACTACTTGCCCCTGACATTCTGATTATTATTTGTATTGCAGTAGCACCAGGAGCCCCAGTCATGGTCCAGGATCCCACTGTGCTAGGCACTGTACAAACACACACTGAACAGAGATGGTCCTTGCCCCAAAGAACTTCCAACTAACTAATGACTTCCACCTCCTGCCCCTTTCCCAAGATACTCACGGAGGAGGATACTCTCACTTCAATCAAAGTCACCATTAAGAGATCATTTTTGTTCAGCCATGCTACTGCAGCAGTATTACTATCCTAAGGAAGGCTGGTTGACATGAAAAGCCCACATCCACTAACTATGTAATTAGTGGCCATAAAGAATATGATGCCGCGCTGCCAGAGAAAACTCTTTTGCAATGTAATTCTTCATGAAGAGCGGTGACTAGAAATGCACATATTGAGGGGCTCGCATCATGTGTATTCTGCACTAAAACCACATTTCTGCAGAGATATATCCTCTATTTTCTTTTTCATGGTTACACTTTGACACATGCAACAGGGCTCAGAAGTCAGCAGGGTGAGGGCAATGTGGGAGCGGAGGAAAGGAAGAAGGAATCAGAAGAATGACAAGAAGTTCAGAAGTAACATGATTGTGTGATACGATTGTGATTCCTAGACGGATGGGAAGTAGAAAGCCAAATGTAAACTGCCCAGCTACAGACTGGGGCAGAGGGAGCAACTATTTACCACACTCCTCAGCTGCAGAACCTTCAAGTGGCATATTGTAATACATATTTAGGAAGTGATAATGCAAACCATACAACTACTGAAGGGAAATGAGAAAAGTACTGTGCATTCCTTGACTAGAAAATTATTGTGGTCAACACTTTTTTGAAGTGTTCGCTGATTGCATGTGTGAAATTTGAGGCACTTCATGCCTAATTTTAACAAGTGCTGAGCCCCCATATTTCCAGCTGGAGTCAATGGGATCTGCGACTCTTCAGCTCTTAAAAGTCACACATAAGGTGTCTCAAGCTGGGCTTATAAAAACAGAGGAATCATTAGTGAACACTTCTGAAAATTCAACTAAGAAGGTGCTTTTACCTAGGGAACAGATGGTTTTTACATTTTTGGATTTTTTTGGCCGGGGTGGGATGGGGTGGAACGATAGGATCATAGAAATGCAGGACTGGAAGGAAGCTCATGAAGCCACCTAGGTCAGTTCCCTGCACTGAGGTAGGATTAAGTATTATCTAGACCATCCTGACAGGTGTTTGTTTAACCCATTCTTAAAAACCTCCAGTGACAGAGATTCCACAGCCTCCCTAGGTAATCTGTTCCAGTATTTAACTACCTTTACAGTTACGAAGTTTTCCCTAATGTCTAATTAAAGATCTACTTGGCTGCAATTTAAACCTATTACTTCTTGTCCAGTCCTCAGTGGTTAAGGAGAACAATTTATTATGCTCTTCTGTATAACAACCCTTTACATACTTGAAGGCTTATTAGGTCCCCTCTCAGTCTTCTCTTCTCCAGACTAAACAAACCCAATTTTTTCAATCTTTCCTCACAGGTCATGTTTTCTAGACCTTTAATCATTTTTGTTACTCCCCTCTGGACTTTCTCCAGTTTGTCCACATCTTTCCCTAAGTATGGTGCCCAGAACTGGACACACTTCTCCAGTTGAGATCTTATCAGTGCGGAGTAGAATAGAAGAACTGCTTCTTATCAACATTCCTGCTAATACAGAGGTGGGCAAACTACAGCCCGCAGGCCTGTCCTGCCCAGCCTTTCAGCAACTCCCAGGGGAGGCTACCCCCAGCCCCTCCTCCGCTGTCTCCCCTCCTCTGCAGCCACGAGGGCAGCGCTCTGGGCGGCGGGGTTGCGCACTCCTGCAGGACAGCGCGGCAGCTTGTCTGGCTCTGGCCAGACATGCTGCTCTGAGCAGCATGGTAAGGGGGCTGGGGGGCTGGATAAGGGGCAGGGGGTTCCGGGGGGCAGTCAGGGGACTGGGAGCAAGGGGCGGTTGGATGGGGCAGAGGTTTGGGGGGGGGGGCGGTCAGGGGACGTGGAACGGCCAGGGGGTTGGATAAGCGTGGGAGTCCCGGGGGCCTGTCAGGGGGCGGGGGTGTGGATAGGGGACTGGGAGCAGGGGGGCTGGATAAGCATGGGAGTCCCTGGGAGCCTGTCAGGGGCGGGAGTGTGGATAGGGGACAAGGAGTAGGGGATGGGGCCCTGGGGGGCAGTTAGAGGCGGAGAGTGCCGGGAGGGGGCAGTCAGGGGACAAGGAGCAGGGGGGGTTGGATGGGTCAGGGGTTCTGAGGAGGGCAGCTAGGCGGCAGGAAGTGGGAGGGGTCAGATAGGGGGCGGGGGCCAGGCTGTTTGGGGAGGCACAGCCTTCCCTACCCGGCCCTCCATACAGTTTTGCAACCCCAATGTGGCCTTTAGGCCAAAAAGTTTGCCCACCCCTTTGCTAATACATCCCAGAATGATGTTTGCTTTTGTTTTTGCAACAGTATTACATTGTTGATTCATATTTAGTGTGTGACCCACTATAGCTCCCACACCCTTTTTCTGCAGTATTCCTTCCCAGGCAGTCATTTCCCATTGTGTATTTGTGCAGCTGATTATTCCTACGTGTAGTACTTTGCATTTCTCCTTATTGAAATTTCATCCTGTTTATTTTAGACTATTTCTCCAGTTTGTTAACATCATTTTAAATTCTAATCCTGTGGTCCAAAGCACTTGCAACCCCTTCCAGCTTGGTACTGTCCGCAAACTTTTTAAGTGTCATCTCTATGCCACTGTCCAAATCATTTATGAAGATACTGAATAGAACCAGACCTAGGACAGATCCCTGTCCACCCAATATGCCCTTCCAGCTTGACTGTGAACCATTATAACTACTCTTTGAGTAGTACGAAAGGGATTAAGGGAGGGATAGAAAGCAGCAATAAAATTCCTGGCTTTCCCCATACAATTAAGTCACTGCAAGTCTTAACTGAGAATCTTGGGTGCTTGGCTGTTCCAAGCCTCATGAAAAGTAGGGAGAACTGCCCTGGACTTGTTAGTGCTGTGCCTTTCCTGGGGTTTGTGTCCAGCATTCATGCTGGCGGCTACAGCATCAGATCTGGCTCACAACTGCCTATGCCCTGGCCTCCAATATCAGTTTATTTCAATGGTAAATATATCTTCACTTCAATTAAAAAAAAAAAACACTCAAAGTCAGACACCATATATTATGAACAAACAATCTGTTTGAACAAACTACTAAGGGCACATTGTACCTAATTACTAACAACACTTTAGATTAAAGCTTTTCACTATATGTCATACATTCATGTGGTTCTCCATCTGAAAAATGAATAAGACTGTAAACTCTCTGGGAAAAGGACTGTCTTTTACTCTGTCCATTACAATGGGGCTTCATATCTAGTGGGGCCTCTGGGCATTCCCATGACACAATCAGCTTCACTTCCCAGCACAGAAAGTTTGGGTTATGAACACCGTAGGGAAATGTTTGTTTGGACACAGCAGTTTCTTTTGGAATTGAAGAAAGAATCCACATAGACTTTGTAAATACTTAATTATATCTTTCTAAAGTACTAATATGACCCACATCACCACAGTATCTGAACATCTCACAATCTCCAGTGTGTTTATCCTTCAAGCATTCCCGTGATGCTGGGCATTGCTATTTACTCCATTTTTACATGGGGGAAACTGAGGCACGGAGGAAGTAAGCGATTAGCCCCAGGTCACATAGGAAACAGAGCTGGGAAATTGAACCCAGAACTCTCAAGTCCTAGGCTAGTGCCCTCACTACTGTCCTGCTCTGCTACACAAAGCTAAACTATGGGCCAATCTCGAGTCCCCCACACCCCTTTTCACTCACCCAATGTCTCAGCGATAGCTGTGGGACCAGACTCCCCGGCGGAGGAGGAATAAGTTACTTATCTGTCCAGGGAGGAAGAGAACTGTCTGCCCCTGTCTGCGTGTGGCGGTGGTGTGGTGGGAGAGCGAGCGATAGGGCTACTCCATGGGGCTCGCTGGCCCACGAGCGTTCCTGGCAGGCGAGGGTGGCACGAAGGGCTCCTCCTGCCAGCGGAATGGGATGCTGAGTGCGCCCTGGGAGACAGCCGGGGGGTAGGGAAAGCCCAGCGGAGGAGGAAGTAGGCAGAACCCCCTGGTCGAGTGGGGACTGCGGGGGGCTCCACGGTGGAGCGGAGAACGGGGCACTCCCAGCCCCGGGCCGGGGGGGGGGGTCTCTCCCCGCCCGTGGGACGCAGGGGGCAGCGGGTCTCGCCCAGTCCTGCCCCCAGGGAAGAGGTCGCTCCCGGCCCGCGCTCACCGATGAGGATGGCGCTCTCCAGGCTCCGGAGCTGGCTGAGCAGCGGCCCCCGTGCCTGGAAGATGGGGAGGCTCCTGCGCTGCGTCTCCCCGGCGCTGGGAGCCAGCGGCGGGCGCTTGGCTCCGGGCGGCGCCAGCAGCATGGCTCTGCGGGGAGGGGGCGCCAGCTTCACTCTCTTGGCCGGGGGCAGCTCGCCGCCCTGAGGCATCGCCCCCGGGCCGCGGCCGGGCCGGGATCAGCTCGCCCCGGAGGACATGCGGCCGCCCCGCCCCTCGCCCACGTGCTACCGCTGCAGGCCGCGCACAGGGATTACCGCCCGGCTCCGCGACACCCCCCCCCCGGGACTACAACTCCCAGCCTGCCCCGCTCCCGCGGCCTGCGCCCCACTAGCCCAGAGCGGGGCAGGCTGGGAGCTGTAGTCCCCACAGCCCACAGGTGGAGCATGCTGTACGGTGGGCCTGGCCCGGGGACCTTACCCTGGCTCCGCTGGTTAGGGGCTGTCCATACGCTACATAAGGTATTAGGGGGTGGATCCTTAATTGTGGTAGTTGTGTCACTCTTACAAGGAGTGGGTAGGTCTTGAAAAAAATCACCGAAAATGTAATTTATGGACAACCCCTTACTCTACCCTCTCTTCCCACCAGGCTGCCAGCTACTTGTTAATAAAAGTGTGAGAATGTGTGTGTAGAACACACAGACACAGGTAAAGATTCACCTGTGTGCACCGCACCTTTGCTATCTCAACTTTATACTGATAAAAGCCTATGCCTATGGATGGTTTTAAGGCTTCTAACATAACCCATAATAGGACATCCACTTACCCAGCCTGTTGCCACATCCACAGGCATATTCAGGTGGTGTTCAGCATCTTGTCTTCAACCACCTGAGGAGTGCAAGAAGGAAAAGTGCATGGAGACCGAGCACTGGGGAGTGTGCGCTCAAGCCTTCAACCATACAAGGGATGATGGAAAAGGGGACAATAGGGGGCACTGGGGAAATCAGAGCTTTCCAGCACAAAAGAAAGAGGGTGGGGTAGGTTGAAAGAGGACAGAGATCTAAGCTTAGGAGTCAAAATGAAGACGATCTGAAATCTTGGATTAGAAAAGATATACAGATATACAGATAGACAGATGAAAAATGTGCCAAGCAGTTCCAAATGGCTCCCAGGCCTAGAGTTTCTGCTGGTGTCCCTCCACAGAGGGCATTTGACAGTCCATGGTCACCACATTCAAAAATACACTGAAAAGTGGATCAAACACACAAACATTTACCAAAGAAATAGGCTTTAAATGTCCCTTTTAAATACTGTTTCTGCCTTTTTATGCTACCCACTGTTATGCTGACAGATACTGGTAGCAATCACAAACCTCTTTGAAACTGGGTATGAATGTACCCTGCAATAAACGTAATAGTCAGGATGAGTTGATCAACACCCCCAGCATCCCCTCTCCCCAAGACAAAGGAAGGGTTATGAACCCACACAAGGGTTTTGGATTGTGTGGGTGAAGGGTTTTTTTTGGCTATTATTTGTTTTTTCTCAGAGGGTGGGGTAGAACAGAACAGAGAGGCAGAGGCAAAAAGCGAGGAAGCCAAGCAGTAGCTTGTGAGCACAATGAGACCATGGAAAAAGCTAGAGAGAGCTTTTGGGTCTGGTGCTGGCTAAAGAGGCTCCAAGCTGTAAGAAATTGCCCCTTTTTGGTTTTGATTGCTCCTGCATTTGGAGCAGCAGGACTTTGTACCTTTCCTGATAAATAAACAAGACTGCAAAGAAAATGGCAGACTCTTATCAATTTCTGCTTCCAACTGGAACATCCCCAGGGCCCTGAAATTTGACTTGCCGCTTTTCAAACTCAGTGGCTACAGTACCATTCTTTGGGAACATTTCTATCAGAAGTCCTCATGGGAGACCAGGCCCAGGGCTAACACTTCTTTTCTCTGTTCTGATGGAAGGTCCAACTGAAATGTGGAAATTTCTATCTCCTTTCTCCAGAGAGGGAAGAAGGCAAAAGACAGTGAATTTAACGGCGAGGACAGAGTCACCTAGCCTAATGGAAATAACGTCGCTCTGTTAAATATCTCAATACTAGCAGTATCATCTTCTGCAGTTCACTTCCCCTTCGAATTGACTAATTACTTTCTTAAAGAATAGTGTCACACGGCATGGGGGAATGGGCAGTTTATTTTTATTTTTAAAAGTGTACAAGCAGCAGCTAAAGCATAAGAATTCTGGAGTCCTATTTCTGAGTTTTAGGCCCAAATATAACATGACATATGGGCAAATTACGTGTCCCCTCTCTCCATTATTTCACCAGTATTGGGCAGTCACCATAGAATTACAGCACTGGAAGGGAATTCGAGAAGTCTTCTAATCCAGTCCCCTGCACTCAAGGTAGGACTAAGTGTTATTTAGACCATCCCTGACAGGTGTTTGTCTCACCCGCTCTTAAAAATCTACAGTGACAGAGAATCCACAACGTCCCTAGGCAATTTATTCCAGTGCTTAACTACCCTAATAGGTAGGAAGCTTTTCCTAATGCCCACCCTAAACCACCCTTCCTGCAATTTGAGTCCATTGCTTCTTGGCCTAGCCTGAGAGATTAATGAGAACAATTTTTCTCTCTCTTCCTTGCAAAAACCTTTTACGTACTTATGTTATCATGTCCCCCCAAAGTCTTCTCTCCTCCAGACTAAACAAACTCAGTTTTTTCAATCTTCCCTCATAGGTCATGTTTTCTAACCTTCGAATCAGTCCACAGAAGAGCAAAACAAATTTCTCCAATTTGTCCACATCTTTCCTGAAATGTGGCACCCAGAACTGAACACAATACTCCAGTTGAGGCCTAATCAGCGTGGCGTAGAACAGAAGAATTACTTCCTGTGTCTTGCTTACTTGCTTGCTACCATGCTTTCCAACAAACCGCAGCGAATAAGCTTACCTAGCTGCACTGAAAGAATACAAAAATAACAAGCTGTTTTAGAAAAATACTCCAACTTCAGTTTGGGATAATGCTGACTTTGGAATCTGAAGGTGGGAGAGTCTCAACCAAAGCTACCATTTTAGAATCACAAATGAAACACCTGAAAATAACTATGGCTGGTTCCGTATCAGTAGCCACCACACCATCTCCTACACCATTTGTGTAATGAATATTTACTTCAATAAAGTGTGAGTGCCTGAGGTTTCAAAGAGATGAAGCTTAAGAGAGTTTAAGAGACAGCTTTCCAAACTAAAGTATAATACAAAGGCTCTGATGTGGAACAATCACTATCATGCATTGGGAATCTAATTTGGCTAAGCAAGTGTTTTCTGTAGTGGTTCTTGCTACTATTAAATATTTTATGCATGCAATTTATGAAGTACAATAATTTTCTTCATTTAAACTTTGACAAGAGGTTCAGAGGATGAGCAGCTTTGTTTTTAGACTATGACCAAAATTCTTCACACATTTGTTAAACACTTAACCGGCCTATAAAATGTCTTAGGAATATGCAATCTGTCTCGTCACCTGTAGCCACCCACCCTCCTTGAATGATCTTCAAGGAAAGAAGAATGCTGTAGAAAATGCTGTTGGCCATTTGACACACAGCACTCTCACCAATAGTACAGGATGGTGTTTGGGGAAGCAGTGTTCACTTACAGTCATTAAAGACCGCTTGGCATTTTCCTACAAGAGTAAGGTTATTATATGTTTGGCTAACTGCATTCCACCTTCATAAAATTTTACTGCCTCTGAAAGTGGTTGTATGTCCTGTCATAAACTGTTGTTTACAGTTTCTCATCACTATTATTAGCGGCTAGAACCGATGGAAGTGATAGAGGTAGTTCAGCCTTTGGTGAAATTTAAAAGACTAGCAGTCGTTTCAAGCCATGTACGTACCTAAGACAGACACAAAAAAGGGGGCTTCTTCCTATTTTTAGTTCAACACATGATTTGTCTCTCTCTAAAGTATATGGTTATTATATGACTACAACGGGGAACACTGACCATTTGAAGCCAGAGAGGGAAGTTTGGGAAGCCAGGCTACCCTGTTCCAGGAGTCCCAGAGCAGACAAAGGCCGAGGGAACAGCAGAGGCAGAGGCTGGAAGAAACAGGTGGTCCCAGAATAATAGTGTCGGGAAGAAACCAGGACCAGGAGCCTTGTAGTGTAGAGTGGGATGGGGCATGGCTTCCTTACCCCCCCACCCATCCAGGACAAATTCTGGGAAGGAGAGCAGCATATAATCTATGTCTTCCCTCACATGGATGTAAAAAAGCTTAAAGAGATTTAAAAGAAATGCCAGAAAAGAGAGCAACAAGTAAACAGAGCTAGGAAGCAACAGGCAATGAAAAGCCATTTTATACTATAATAAGCCAGCAGCTGTCTCTCTAGCCGCATAACTCAGGCAAGCAGTCTCCTCCTATACTTCCTATTTCTTTATGATAGGCACATCTCAATATACCCCAAGCAGATTTACTTCAACATCTTCTTTAATGGAGCAGTAGGCCCATCAGCCACTGATCTGGCCTGCAGCTTGCTGGTACTTAGCCTGACAAGCCTGCCTCCCCTTTATGTTAAGTGAAGGCAGGGGTCTGGGTGGCAGAAGATGGAACTCACTGCCCTGAAATGTCATCAGCTGCATAAAAATCTATGGTCTGGAGATTAAGGAACTGGTTTTGCTCCCCAGCAACATAAGTGGCTTCAACTGCAAACAGTCCAAGTTTCTGAAAGTATTAAAATATGGGAAGATGCAAGGCATAAAGATTAGACAGCATCTGAAGACAGCTACATCATGAGGTATTTCAGGATAGCCTATATGTCATTCCCTCATCTTATTTTTTGATGATGCCTCTAGCACCACACTTCTATTAATATGCTCTTTAAAACTTGACTTTGAGTACAAATTTACAGTCAATAACTGGAAAAAGCAGCAAGCAGTTTCAATAGACTAGCCTGGGTCTGATCCTTATGAATGCATGCATATGCTTCTTGTTACAGAGGGGAGAAACAGACCTCCCTTTAACAGCCAGATTTCGGTCCTCGCTACAGAATTGTCCTTTAGCACCAACCCCTGCCTGCTAACAGTCCACCTTCAGATTAACAAGAGTCTCTATTAAAAAAAAAAAAAAGGAAAATGACTCTAATCAAATTGCGCCTCCCCAACCCCCAAGTTAGACCCCAATACGTTCTTACCTCTCAAAAGGATAAAAGTAGGATTTAAAACACAGGCCAAGCCATTTTCTAGACCAAGAGATTTCTGCAAGACTCAAATTCTTATTTTTAGTGATACCCTGCCATCTGTACCAGTTTCCTGTTATATTGAGATGAAGCTTTACTGGCAGTTACTGGCTCATGGAAGACCATGGAGAATCACTTGATTGAGATATTTGAGGTCTACAACCCACCATCAGCCCCCACCAAAACATCAGAGTACACACACCGCACTCAATTTTTGAAATTCATGATTACTATGGATGGATACCTTCAGTGATCAGAAGTGGGATACGAAATCTCTCAGACAAGTCAGTAGATCAAATCCAATCCAGGTACGCTGGTCCATTCTGTGACAGCTGTTCAGCGGCCTATGTGAAATGAGTTGATGTCACTCCAATTCTTGTTGGCTAGATGTCCATATCACTCACAGCCCTCTCATTGGCAGTCTCTGCAGAGTTCAGGGACTGTACTTAGCACACAGCATTAATAACCCTCTTCTCTACAGGTCGTGGCTGAGGCATGTTGGTGAGGAAACCTAGAATTGTTGCCATGTCTCCAGGGCTGTCACTGGCACCTTTTATTAACACCAAAACACACAACAAGGACCTTTCATGTTTGCAGCAGGCATCTGTTAAACTTTCTCTAGCCTTCTCTTCTTTTCTACCATTTCCCTCAAATCAACAGATTATGCAAGAAGGTAAGAAGCAGTCACAAGACATTTTATTTTATTCACTCACTATCTCAAAGCTATGCGTATCCCAGTCTAAGAGCTACTAGTCTAAATTATATGGGGAAATTTTCACAGCAGTCTGAATAATTTGCTGACCACTTTGAAAAAAAAAAGCTAGATTTTTCAGAACTATCCATGCACATTTGCATTTGCTACTGCATGTATAAGCATGTCAGTGAGATTCATACCTGGCCATTTGCACACATGTAGTTCAAAATAATCTGGATCAAGATGTATTCTCAGCCTGCAAGGTAGGTTCATAATAGGGCTCGTACTGGAACTACAGCAATCTACTTTCATAGAATTAGCAAGGTAAAATTTGCACCATCCAAAATTAAAATCCTGTCTGACTCAAAAGAAAACAGGCTTGGAAATTTAGTGTATTTTGCTTCGTATCAGCCTTCAACAACAAGAATAGGGAATCACTTTAAAAGATCTCACTCATCTGCTTTTTATCCAATGAGAAAAAAAGTAAAAGCCAAAGTTTTATTTTGTCCCTCAAAGTTTCCCATACAGTTTCCTGTATCAAATAACTTGGAAAAAAATGCCTTAGAAACATTTTTAAAAGAGTACACATGGTCTTGTTAACTGAAGTTAACAGGAAATGGTTTCCAGTTGGGTTGGTTGGTTTTTTTGGGCTCCACTAGATTATGCTTTCAGTACCAATGCAACAAAACCCCTGGTGTAGAGAGACACTGGTAGTCTCCTAAGGAAATGTCTTGGACTAGTTAGACTGCCACATCATAAAGTGCTTCTTGTATTCAGAACCATAAAGCTATAAAGTGTCCTTTCTGCAACAAGGAGTAAGAGAATTCCCAATATGGTACTTCAGTTTAGTTCCTTCCAGTTATGTCTGGGTATTGGCACAGCCATTTATTAGCCTCCGAGGCGCTGACCTTCACCCCATGCAAATCCTCCCGGTCGCTCTTCGGGCAGCGGATTGTAATTGGGATCATCTTCTGGTGTATCAAACATTGCTTTCCTAAAAAGCAGAAGTTATATGTAAATACACAGTTCACACTTGAGGCAAGCAGTCAATGTAACATTCTCACTACAAGATACAGTATGCAACAGTGTCAGTCATCTAAATCCAAGTCACATTTGTACTCCAGTTGAAATCCAATCAGCTCATATGGGGCAGATCCTATGGTGCAAGCCCTTCAAAATTAAAAGTTTAAATAAGATGATCATAAAAGACTCAAGTTCAAATATGCCTTACTTCTAACAACAGAGTTAGTGAAGTTGAATCGATGGCCTTGTCTACAGCAGCTACAGAAGCCACGTTAGCACATCTCCAGCAAAATATATCTAAACGTACTTAAAAGAACAGCATTAACAGTTTTCTTAGCCGGCAGAGACATGACCCAACTTAAACCAATTTACAGGAACATGCTACAGACTAGGTGGGACCAAGATATTGGGTGAAGTATTTTAAAGACTACCAATGAGGCTGGAATAATTAGCCAAGTCCTTGATTTACCTCAAAAAACCTTCAGTATCCTTTCACTAACAGCCTCTATAAATATAGTTTGGTAACCTAGCTAACAGCACAGTTCAGCCACAGCAATTCTAGTCACTGAGCCATATTATCATCTTTTGGCAAGAATCCTATAAAGAAAAAATGTAAAATTTTCTGACTAATGAGTCTAAGGCTTGGTCTACATTACAGAGTAAGGTCAACGCAAGGCAGCTTACATCAACCTAATTATGTCAGTGTACACGCTACAGCCTTGCTCCCACCTATGTAAGTACCCTATTACACTGACATAACTCCACCTCCATGAGAGGTGAAGGGCCTGTGTCGGTGTAGTTAGGGCAATGCAGTATCCCTGTAGACACTGCATTACTATGATTGGCTGTTAGCTGGCATTCTTGTCAATTTCTCAGCCCCCCACTGGCTGCCCTGAGGCTCCTGGCTCCCTTGCCGGGAGCCGCTTGGACTCTGGACGCAGAGCCTTGGGGGGCAGCCAGGCTCCCGACGGCGGGGAGCCAAGAGCCCAAGGGGTGAGGAGGGGGTGCCAGGCGGGGAGCTGTGTGTGGAGCGGAGAGCCCGGGACCACAGCCCTCCACACTGACCCTCTGATGTCAGTGGAAGTGCTCCTCATGAGGACGTGCATCACCAACAGAAGGAAGGTAGCGTGGACATGAACTGCAGTGGTTGTAAGTCGACCTAACATAGGTCAATTTAAGTTTATAGTGTAGACATGCCCTAGGATTCAGGTCACCAGGCAGAAAGATTTTAAAGCAATCCCAACATGCCTTCTTTTTGATTGGTGCTTGGAATCAACTTGAAGCTCTAAGGCTGCTTGCTGGTTTCCATGCTGGATAGGAAGGAGAGTAAGTATTAATCTAGGCAAACAAAAGACTAAGAAGGTTTGAGTACAATTAAATTATTTAACTTGCTAGTCAGCATGGGTGCTATGCTGTCAAATGAAAAGATGGACGATGAATAATTGTGAGGAAGGGAGCAGTAAGCATGTTGATTGGAGGAAAGAGCTTGACTTTCAGGTCTGATTTCCAGACATGATTCACTATTACAAAATGTTATTGCCCTAACAACTGGAAGACAGGAACTCCTAGTTCACTCTGTGCCAGGTGTTAAATCAGTTGCCGAGGGAACAGGTTTATGTGTAGTAGCTCTTTATACTCCTGAGATAAAAGCATCTCAGTCTTCCACACATTTTAGTTTGGTCAACTAACAATTTTACAGTTATCATTTACATTACTACCAAAATGGAGTGGTTACTTACCTTTAGTAACTATGGTTCTGAGTTACTGTTGTTGCCCATATGGATTCCACAACCCACCCTGCAACCCTGTTTTTTTGCCGTTCTCTTTATCTGGGATTCTGAGTTAGCAATGGAACTGAAGGATGGTTGTGGCTTCTTTGGGTGTGGACAAAAGGGCATGCATGGTATAAACACAAACCAATGGACACTGCTATTCAGAATATTCTAATTTCACACACACATGCACTTAGAGTGGGACCTACATGAACACCATATTCTAAGAACCACCGTTGTTTCCTGGTTCTGAGGGGGCTACCAGAAAAAAAGCCACATTTATGTCAACCTCTGGTGTTCCTATGTGAAATACAGCAGAGAGTCTCTTGAAGTAACAGCTAATTATGAATTTCTTGTCATTTAAAAACTGTCTTCCTTGCCACCTAGTTTCATGCTGACCAAGTCAGCCAAAGCCACAGTTAATTCTCACTACTGAAAATTATATAAACAGCACAACCGGATTGAAGGAATTTGAAGTAAAGATATATGCATGAATCTGAAACTGTCATGCTCAGTGGTTGAAGCAACAAGACTCAAGACAGGTAAGGAGAAACGTTGTATTTTTCATATGAGCTAACCTTAAAAACAGTTTCAAATTTCAGAGGCACCCTACTCTAAGCCAAGAACAGGCAGCTCAGGGAACAAGGGCAAAAATAGGCTCCAAATTCATCTAAGCTACAGCTAAGCACAAAGGGGCATACTGTACTTGTTGGTCTGAGGGGGAACTAGTGAACAGGAAGTGGCAGCCAAAGAAAAGGAGTCTTCACATCAGTCAGCTGCATGGAAACAGATGAGTGAACAGTACTGAGCAATGAAACAAGAGGACATGGAGGAAAAGAAGAAAAACATGAAGAGAATTCAAACTAGCCATAGGAAAACCAGGGCAAAACTCCCCCGTTAGCCAAAACATATGTTGGGCAGAGTATTATTACTAAGTGTTGGGAAGTTATGTGAACTGTATATTATACTCTCCTCACAATTCTGTTCAACCGTGTCAAGTATCCCATAACACCTTGCATTAGCTGAAGTAAACTTTGGCTTAAGTAAATAGGAAAAATGTCAGTATCAGGACATGAGTGTGTTACCACAGAAACAGGTAGGGAGTTATTCTCCACAAGCCATTACTGGAATGTCCCAAAGGAAAAGGATAAGATATATGATTGTTCAAGCCTGATACCAACCTAGGTGCCTTCACGCCCCTTGGTACGTGAAATGCACATGTTCAGAACAATGACAAGGGACACACCATGGTACCAGAAAAATAAAATACAAAGATGATTGGTTAAATCTAGTTTCAGATTATGTACTCAATACCTATTACTTATAAACAGGTGGGTATAAAAATATAGCTTTAGGAGTGTAACTTTGGAAGCGCATCTTGTGTAAGCTGAATGTAACAATGCTGCATGAGATGGCTTCCCAGAGATTGGTATTGTGTTGAACCTTTTCCCTTTACTATATTATTATGGGATTACGGCAATAAATCTGACTGATATAGCTTATTTGGTCTCTTGAATATATTTCATAACAAACCAAAGTGTGGTCAAACAATTAACTATACAATTTATCAACATCCTACGGTTAGAGGAAGTCCTTTGGGAGAAGTATACAAACATAGAAAATCAGACAAAAATATATAGAGAATGAAGGGATTTCAATTTCATGGGTGCAACTGAAACATGAATAAATGATAAGCAATAGGCCACATGAATTTGTCAAGACCAAATTATGCCAGAATAACCTAATTTCCTTTTTTGAATACAAAACAGGAAACAACAGACTAGGCAGCAGGTACTGCTAAAAAAGATCTGGGGGTTATAGTGGATCACAAATTGAACTAAGCCAAAGTGATGCAGTTGCAAAAAAACTAATATAATTCTGGGGCACATTAACAGGAGTATCATACGTAAGACAAGGGAAGTAATTGTTCCACTCTACTCAGCACTGGTGAGGCCTCAGCTGGAGTACTGTGTCCAGTTCTGGGTGCCACATTTTAAGAAAGATGTGGACAAACTGGAGAAAGTAAAGAGAAGAACAACAAAAACGATAAAAAGTTAAGAAAACCTGACATATGAGGAAAGGTTAAAAAACTGGGCATGTTTAGTCTTCAGAAAAGATAATGATGAGTGGCCTGATAACAATCTTCAAATATGTTAAGGTCTGTTATAAAGAGGATGATTAATTGTCCTCCATAGTCACTGAAGGTACGACAAGAAGTAATGGGCTCAATCTGCAGGAAGGGAGATTTAGGGTAGATATCAAGAAAAACTTTCTAACTAGAAAAACAGCTAAACACTGGAATAGATTACCAAGGGAAGTTGTAGAATCCCCATCACTGGAGGTTTTTAAGAACAGGTTACACAAACACCTGTCAGAGATGGCCTAGGTATACCTGGTCCTGAGTCAGCGCAGAGGGATGGACTAGAGGACCTCTTGAGATCCCTTCCAGCCATACATGTCTCTTATTATTTAGAATTAAATTACTGTAGGGTGGCACTATAGACTACTTGGAAGCAGGGAAATTGTAGTGCATGTAAATGAAGAATGATGGGATAGAATAATTATAGCTTCCAATTAGCTTTATTAAAAGATGTACGGATGAATTTCTTACAGCTAACATTTAAAAAACAGTATTTGGAGAAGAAATAATAGGTCACTGTAGTAGTAAATATTTCTTCATATCTATGGAGAGCTGTGCAAACATTAGCTGATCTTCATAATATATCAGAGATAGACAAGTGTCTCCATTTCACAGTTGAAAGGCTAAGGTACAGAGAGGTTGACTTGTTAAAAATCAACAGAAAAGTCTGTAGCTGAGTCAGAATTACAATTCAGGATTTCCCAATTCCCGAAATCATACTTAATCCTGTAGATTATGCTGCCAATCAAACCAGTTTAAGAGATTTCACCTCTGTGCATATCTGTTTACCAAGTACCCAAAATCTACCAAGTAATTTACAAACAAAGAATTAGACTGGATATAAAAAATTATACCCAAGATCAAAACTTGAGCAAAGAAAGTGAGAGTAAATTTAGCTTTCAGTCTTTGGCAGTAGTATAAAAGTTTGTGCTGTTATGTAAGGCAAACACTGGCTGACACTAAAATAGCTAAAGGAATTATATGATTATATGTTCACAAAAGGAATGACAGGACACTCAGAAATATTTTCAAAAGGGAGCATGGAAAATACCGAGTTGAAGACAAGACTACAGCAGACACATTTAAGAAGATTGCTATGTCTGAACATTCACAAATTCAGGACATGACAGGATTCATAACCAGTCTTCTGAACAAAGCGACAACGAAAGAAACTCAAGTAGTCCCAAAATATTGGTGATCAGATACTAGACTGGACCTTAAGTGAAGCCCTGTGGATAAAATCATAGAACAAGAACTGTCCCTCACTTGGTCCACAGGCATCCACTCTACCAGGTGAGCCAAAGGGAACCTCCCAACAGCTGACAGTTTAGACCCCATCTGTATGCGGGGGAATTGACCAGCATAGCTATAACTATTGCAGAATAACTATTCCATTATAGCTATTCCAGTATGGTTTATCCTGCAATAACTCCTTTGTGAGAGCATCTATTCTGGAATAAGTGATTTTATTCCAAAATAATTACTCAGCTATCAAAGCAAAGTAATTATTCCAGAATAAAAATCGCTTTTATTCCAGAAGAGTGTCCACATGGGGGACTTATTCTCAACAGCTATGCCAGTCAATTTTCCCATGTACACAAGGCCTTACTTGTTTAAAATATCAGGCTTAGAATATCCTGACTCCCCGGAAATCAAATCTAGACAGGATCATCTCAGCACTACAACATTCTGAAGGCAAGAATGCCAGGCAGTTTGAGGTTTTAAAAGCTGAGGTCTTGTCTGCTCTACACAGAGAATTTTCAAGATGTTTAGCCCGACCTTCAGGAAAGTTCCCCATATCCATTCTAGTGTGCAGTGTTCCAGTTGGTTACTATTCTCTGCCTAAGAGGTGAAAGAATATGAATGGCACTGTGTGAACAGCACATGATCACAAAACACATGATAGACTCTTTTGGATGGTGGGGAGGGAAGGGGGTATCTACCCAAGTGTAAAATATTAGCCACGTTAAGCTTCTCACTCATTTTGTGTATTTTACACTCTGAACTCATACTGACATCCTGTCCTAAAATGGGTTTCTTTTAACAGATTCAGATATATTCGGTGCATAGTTAGCATAGGAGTTCTTGGATCTTTTCAGAAGTTAGACCAGGTCTTAAGAGTGTCTCTTGGATCCTCTCCCCCTCTGGCAACTGTAACACCCATATGACAACTACAGCAACTGATTAAATGGAACAGTATGATGAATTCAGTGCTATTTATCTCAAATTTCCAAATTCACTTGTATTTGAATTAGTTTAAAAAAAAATTGTGTACAAACACATTTGTCCATGTGCTACAAACTGGAAGGTAACACTTACAAAAGAGATGGTGTTTTCAGAAGCCGTCCACCACCAGGCTGATTAGGAAAGATATCCTCTAAGAAAAAATATATGTGTCCAACTGCGATCCCTAGAATCAATAAAAAAGAAAGCTGAAATTGAACTGGTGACTTTCAATATTGCCATTATACCACCTTTAAAATGTTTCAATAGATTTTTCATAAAATAAAAAAAAAGACAAACTGTGTGTTTGATGCCCTTTATAAATAGCATGATGTTAAAAGGAACTGAAGTAGCATGTTACTATATACTGCAGTATAAAACTCACTGCAGTATAAAACACTAGAATTAAGGGCCATACTAGAAGAGATCTATAGCATCATGAGTCATATAAATATAAGAAAAAGTCTGTCACAACCGTCTAAACAATTTCATGGTATGGTTTCATTTGCACTGACAAAAATCATAGAATCATAGAATATAAGGGTTGGAAGGGACCCCAGAAGGTCATCTAGTCCAACCCCCTGCTCGAAGCAGGACCAATTCCCAGTTAAATCATCCCAGCCAGGGCTTTGTCAAGCCTGACCTTAAAAACCTCTAAGGAAGGAGATTCTACCACCTCCCTAGGTAACGCATTCCAGTGTTTCACCACCCTCTTAGTGAAAAAGTTTTTCCTAATATCCAATCTAAACCTCCCCCACTGCAGCTTGAGACCATTATTCTTCGTTCTGTCATCTGCTACCATTGAGAACAGTCTAGAGCCATCCTCTTTGGAACCCCCTTTCAGGTAGTTGAAAGCAGCTATCAAATCCCCCCTCATTCTTCTCTTCTGCAGGCTAAACAATCCCAGCTCCCTCAGCCTCTCCTCATAACTCATGTGTTCCAGACCCCTAATCATTTTTGTTGCCCTTCGCTGGACTCTCTCCAATTTATCCACATCCTTCTTGAAGTGTGGGGCCCAAAACTGGACACAGTACTCCAGATGAGGCCTCACCAATGTCGAATAGAGGGGAACGATCACGTCCCTCGATCTGCTCGCTATGCCCCTACTTATACATCCCAAAATGCCATTGGCCTTCTTGGCAACAAGGGCACACTGCTGACTCATATCCAGCTTCTCGTCCACTGTCACCCCTAGGTCCTTTTCCGCAGAACTGCTGCCTAGCCATTCGGTCCCTAGTCTGTAGCTGTGCATTGGGTTCTTCCGTCCTAAGTGCAGGACCCTGCACTTATCCTTATTGAACCTCATCAGATTTCTTTTGGCCCAATCCTCCAATTTGTCTAGGTCCTTCTGTATCCTATCCCTCCCCTCCAGCGTATCTACCACTCCTCCCAGTTTAGTATCATCCGCAAAATGTCAGAATACAAGCTGCCTTACACAATTAAGTCTCACGCCCACAGTCAGCCATGTATATCTGGCTCTCTCCAAGTAATGCAGAAGCAAAACACTGCACTACTTGGAGACATTACAACACAAGAGTAAGCCACCATGTACAAGAACAATGAAAACTGGTAGAACACAGTACCCTGTACATCAGACCATGTAAACAATTAGGTCACAACAAAAAATAATCAAGTGGCCTCCTTGCTGCTTTTACATTTTTTTTCCCCTATATGAAAGAGGTTAATAGAAACACTACCAGTGGAATAAGATGACTCCTTTAGTTAAAGGTTTGTCGCCTTAATCCCTCAGAGTATAAAACTCACTATTTAGCTAAGGTCCCATTTCAGAACAAAAAACTTTTTCAGAAGTCTTTAATGTAGAACACTGTTTCCTCTTCCAAAAGAAATAAAGAATGTATCAGATAATAAGTTGTTCAAAGCACTTTGGAAAACAAGTCTTTTAAAAAAAAGCTGAAATATCAGAAATACCAAAGTTACAAATACTTGTCAGATGTGTACCAAGATAAACTGAGCAAGACAGGTAGAGGTGGCCTTTGGAACAGGGTTATGCAGTAAGACCTCTCAGATCCCACAAAGAGTATTGGATCTGTTACAATCACTCATGAAATAAGCCAATCCCAGACCACTGCTCCAGCTCTGAAGACTTCCCCAACCCAGTTTCTTCTCTAAAAGGGTGGCCTGCTTTCTGCTCAGCTGTGTTCAGTAAGCACTTCTGGATCTGAGGTAATTCCAAAAATCCTTGTCCTGGCAATCACAGCACTTTCTTTTGAAATACCAGTGGGGCCAGTACAAAGAATTATTGATGTGTGTGGAAACTAAAGATTCCCAATGCACACATCTGATTAGAAGAAGTGACTCTCAGAGGAGCAGCATAGAGAGGGAACTGCTCATGAGACAGAAAAGTTTGAGAGATCCATCACCTACACCATCCAGGCTAATCCTGAAACCATAACCAACCCTGTCACTGGAAGCTTATGGATATCTACTTACCTCTCTAGTAGTGCATTAAAGCACTAATATGGCCATAAAGAGCCAACATGGCCTGATAATCCCTTTCTCTTTGCAGGAAGAGGTACTAAGCAGGTGGAGAAGAGACTTTACCTACCAGTAGTTTATGACGGAGTGCCCAAAAAGTCTAAGGATTTAATTTTTAATAGCTTCTTACCCAAAAGATCCACAATGATGGAGTTCCCCAATAGCAATGAAAAGCCCATGAGCACCCAGGGTAGAAATGGGGCCTGGAAGATGAGAAGACCAAAAAAGTTCATACGGACGTAGGGATTCCTGCGGCTCCACACATACACGAGCATTATTGTAAAGGCCTGACCCAAGAAAACCAAGTTCACAAACAAGCCAAAAAGCTGACACAAATAGTTAAAGAAAATATCAGTGCACGTATAAAATATCAACTTGTAGAAAATTAAAATATGAATACTGGGGCGAGAGGAACCTATGGGCTGCAGAAAAAAATCATTTTGGAGGCCACTCATGGCATCAACAAAAACAGACATACCTGACCTTTGATTCTATGGTTTTCCAAACAAACTTAAATATTTCCTCAGTCAAACCAGACACCTATAGTTTAATCCCCCTTAAATACTCCATGCTGCAAATACACTATGAGGGGTTTATTATTACAGAAGCTATTTTACACACAGCATCTATATTGTGTGGGGAGGGACTGGAGGGATAAATTCACCAGGAGAACAACATTTCCTTCAATCCTCACGATAATACTTGTACAGTTAAATAGCATCTTTCAATCCAGGATCTCATCTTTATAGCCTTAACTCAAATATTAAAGTGCAAAAGATCAATTCCACATTTAATAGTGTGGAAGTATAACATTGTATAAGTATAAGGTTGTATAAGGGGACATGCTGGATACATTGTATACGAGAGGGCATGCCAAAACATGTTACAAAGTATCTGAGGGAGCACACGTAGGGACAGTTAGCTTTTGAATGGAGAAGCAATTAAGATAGAGCCAGCACGTCTAAGAAGCAGGCATCAGAATGGAAGGTGTGAAAGGCAATTAGTTAAGTTAACTGGAAGCTGTTAAAGGAGATTGTTAAGGGTGGCAGGTAATTGAAGATACGTGACTGGTCTCAGGGATCTCTAAGGGTGGTGACTAAAATCTTTTTCTTCTTTTGTCTGTAACTTCTCTGTAATTTGTTCTCCAAAAAACTGTATAAATTAAAAGACACAAGCCCCACTCGGGGGGCTCACTTCTAAATGTATTAGCAGAGCAGCTTTGCTAATAAAACAGAGTGGTCTGATAAATTGTGAGTCTGAGTCAAACTTTGACAATAGTAACCACAAGATCTGGAAAGTTTTGAAGCCCACTTAAAATAGAGTCATTCTGACCTCACTATACTTTCAAAGCACAGGGTTTGTGTTCTCCGTGTTAATGGTAGCTGTATTAAAACAGTAAAAAAGGATACAGTCATTAACAGTCCACCAAAAAGGAACATAAATACGAAGTCTGCTGTCCGACCTCGGAAAGACCCCTCCTCAAGCATTCGGCAGTAACGATATCTGAAGGTGTAGGTCAGGAAAGTCTGATACTAAGCACATTCAGCAGAAAGATGAAAAAAATCAAACAGCTTTTTACATACCTTCATATAGGTTTTATATGTAGAATTCCCCAACATCCTTCACAATCGAAGGATTTTTATAGTAGATTATCAAGCAAGTATTGAAATTGAATGAAGTGAATTTGATGGTCTCAGTCCAGTTCTGAGTTAATGGACAAATATTCACACCACAGAAAAAATACCTGCCCGATTAGCAGTCTTATTGGCTATTTTAGTAGAAAAGTCCGGTACTACAGAATGAATTCTCACTCCTAGTACTGTTCATTCCAAATCAAGATTGAAACAATGAAAGCTCACTGAAAAAGAATTACTGAATTAGATATTTAGGGTGAAATCCTGGCTCTACTGAAGTCAGTGGCGCAGAACTCCCACTGAGTTCAGAATGTGGTGCAAAACTGGACCCTCATTCAGTGTGGACACTGACACACAGCAAAGTTTTGCATTCCAAAGAGGTGAGATACACTTTTTATAAAGGATACAAAAAAATCATATTAAATAAAAAATTAAATCCAACTGGCCCAAAGAATAAGTAATTTGTAATCAACCTCCATACCTGTCAGAATAAGACGAAAACAGATAAGACAACTTAAATATAAATGGTAGCCATCTCAAGTATTTCTCTACACAGAGAATACAGAAATAAGTTTCTGTTTAATCCACACAAGCTAAAAGAACGTTATGAACATGGTTTTTGAACACTGTAATAGCGAATATAATGATCTTTTTCAATAGTCTAAGACTCTAAAATTCAGTAAACCTTATTACTTTGCATTAAAGACTTGGGAATACATTGCTATACCCAAATTTTCCAAGTAAACAACGGCATATTTAAAAGCAAAGTATACTATAACAAATATATTTTGTTCATCCTGGCAGCAGTTTAGTTTTAATTATATGCAATACTTAATAGTATATTAGTAAATATACGGTAACATATTTTATAAAAATAGGAAAGTCTTGGTCTTATAAAACTTCATGACAGCGCTTCCTTTTGCAAACAATTCTTTGCAGAGAAGAAAACTGAAACACTAAATTTTGTATAATTACTGGGTTTGCAGAATAGGTCAGTGATGCATCTTCAGTTCTACCATATCAAAATTCCTCTCCACAATGAAATACAGACTTGGATTGAAGCAAGATTAGTTCATCTTTAGGAAAGCTAAAGCAATGTTTCGTTACCCGAAGTAAAATGTGTGCTCAGATAGAATTCAAAAAAATTAATCTGTCAGAGGTCAGTATGATCACTTAGAAACATAATTCTGCATGAAGTAGGAGTAAGGACAGCTTGTCAGTTTGACAATTCAGCTGTATTTCAGAACCAACAAGCTTTCATTGTAAGCAATTTTTTAGCTTCGTTATTGTGTTAACAGCTGAGCTGAATCAGTCAGACACATCCTGGCACCCTGAAACAATCTTTCAGAAGAATCCTTAGTGTGATACGAGGTGTTGCTCCTTCGGATGCCTGCTCACTTGAGAAGAGCTGGCAGGCAGAAAGAGTGACTAAGCACTTGGCAATCTAATTTTTAATCCATGTGAAGACTGCCCAAAATTTTATCAAGTTTATTTGACTTTTAACACTGCTTTAGTGTGAGCACTCTGTGTAATATGACAATACTACCTAGAGTACTGCATCTGAAATTATGTCCCCAAAACAAGACAGCAGAGCACCATCACCCAAAACATACACACTGCAAAACCGAAGGAAATTACTCTGCAAATTAGACTGAAAATATGTAAAAAGAAAGATTACTCCTGGGGAAATTCTGCACCACTGCACATGCGCAGAATTGATGTTCCCTGCAGATTTCTTTGCTTCCCTGCAGTAAAATGACTTTCTGACAGGGAAGCAAAGGGAAGCCACAAGAGCGGTCATGCGACCCTCCCCAACAGTACGTTTCAGGTGCCCAGGGTAGCCAGCAGAGAAGTAAATCACTGTGGGGCAGGAGGCAGGACTGGGGAAAACCTGGTTGGTGGCTCCTATCCTGCGCCAGGCTCAGCTGCTAGTCCCGGCTGGGTTGGGTAGGACAGGACTTCCTCTCCCCCAGCACGGCATCCAGGGCTGGGTCAGACCAACCCCCAGATTTCTCCCCTGGCTGTAGGAAGCTCTGCAAACTCCCGACACAGACACTTCCTGCACCCATTGCTCCTCAGCTGCAGGGGGAGGGATTCCTGTACAGGAAGCTGCTCCCCCCTCCACCCAACCCCAGTGCATCCAGACCCCCTCATACCCAGACCCTCCCGCCAAGTCTCACTCGCCCCCCTGCACTCTGAACCCCTCCCCTCAATGAGCCCCACTCCCACTGCACTTGGACCACCAAGATGACCCACATGCAACCAGGATCCCCACCCACCAAGCCCCAACCACCTACACCTGAATCCCCATCCCACTGAGCCCCACTCCCCCACCATCTGAGCTCCCCACTTACCCCCCACATCTAGACCCCCGACGACCTCTATCCCCCCACACCCAGACCCCCCACTGTTGATCCCCAACCACCTTCACCTGGACCCCCCCTGCAGAGTCCCATTACTATTGTACCCAGAGCCCCCCAACAAGCCCCTGTGCATCCAGATCCCCTCCACGCCCGGATCTCCCACTGAGCTGCCCGCACCCAGATTGCCCCACACAGAACCTTCTCAACCCACACCTGGATCCCCCCACACTTGGATCCTGCCTTGCTGAGCCTGCCTGCCCACAACGAGGGGCAAGGCCCTAAGGTATTTCTGGGGGCTGGCTGGGTCCTTGTGCTGTGTCATTGCTGGGTGCAGCCTCACCAATGAGTCCGTGTCCCAGCGGGGAGCTGCACAGTGATCTCCCACCTCTGCGCAACCCAGTGGCCTGTGCTCCCCAATGCCATGCAGGAGCCTTCATATTTATTTCACAAATAAAATTTGCAGAATTTTAAAATATTGAGTGCAGAATTTTAATTTTTTTGGAGGAGAATGACCTCAGGTGTAAAAGATAGCTCCACAAATGTGTGTGTAAGCAAATACAGTTTCTTAGCTACTGTTCGAACAATGTGAACTATCAAAGCAATGAGTTTTTACCACTACTTACCTTCACCTGAATGTTATTAGAAACCTTGCAGAGGAAAAAAAGATATTCCAATATACTCAATGTGCAGTTGTGAAAAACAAATGTGTTGCAAGCTTAATAATTTTCTTACAAGGATGACACATTTAACATTCAGAAAAAATACTTACTTGAAAGTGTTTAAATATTAATTCAGGGTTAAAATACAGTTGAAATGGTGTGATTAGTTCTAATTGCTGAAATACAAGAGAAAATATGTGACAGGATCAATCCATTAAAGTCCACTTCATTTACTGTAGAGACACAAATAACCTGTCATTGGTACATTAATATCTCATGTTCTCTTATTTTAAAAATTATGTGCAAAGCCTAAATTCAGCCAACATATACAACCCTATGTTCCTTTTACAGTCATGCCTGCCCTCTTCCTCTGCCTCCCCCATTTTGTCCTGTGCCTACCTATCACACCTTAGTCCTGTTTAGATTTCAAGCTCTTTGGTTTAGTGGCTATCTTCCATTTTATGTTTGTAAAGTACAAAAGACAGCGAGGCTTTGGTCCAGAGATCTGGATTTGGCTCATTTCACATCTGAAAAAGTTTCATTTCGTATGCAGGGCTCTGCAGAGTCATGAAACAGAATAGTCTGGATGGGGCCTCTGAGCACTACTATGACTATATCATTACTCATTATATAAGGCAAAAATTAATAATCTTTCTGCTTTAAGGAATGTCAACATTTTATATTTTTTCCACCGTATAAAAGCATATTCCCCCCTTTACTCTGAGAAAAAGCTACTGGACGCTCACCCTAGTTTCACCGAAAACCACTGAGTTTTCAGAAGAATTTCTTGGCAAAGTTTTTCCTTCTCAACACTCCTTTCAAAATAATAGCTGTTTCACAGCCTTCCCAGGACACAAAAACTTCTTCAAAGACTACATCCAACATATATGTACGGTGCCACTAATGATATGTTTATGTTGCACATTATGCATATGTGTCTAGAACATAAGAACGGCCACACTGGGTCTAACCAAGGGTCCATCTAGCCCAGTCTCCTGTCTTCAGTGGCCAACGGCAGGTGCCTCAGAAGGAATGAACAGAACAGGTAATCATCAAGTGATCCCACCCCTGTCGCCCATTCCCAGCTTCTGGCAAACAGAGGCTAGGGACACCATCCCTGCCATCTTGGCTAATAGCCATCGATGGCCCTATCCTCCATGAATTTATCTACTTTTATGTACCCCAAGAGCTCAGGTGGCTTCAAAAAGTGATATTACATTATATTTTTTTAACTGACATGTTAATCTTAAATGAGCATGTTTTTAAGATTATTTGTGTCCAGTCACTTGAATGTTGAATTTGATTTAGTTGGGGACCGGTCCTGCTTTGAGCAGACGGTTGGACTAGATGACCTCCTGAGGTCCCTTCCAACCCTGATATTTTAGGATTCTATGAATGTGGGAAACATTAGCAACCAGCAACCAATTTTTCATGTATTTGCTTGGGCATCACTTTAGCAGCTGCCATTACTATAATAACCATTTTATGAAAGGGCTCTGTCATATTTTCCACACTTCTCCAGCAGCTTCATTAATAAGAAATTTTATAACTCTAGCAAAATGCCAGGAATGGATGGGACACCATTGTGCTGGGTGCTTAACGATTCTGCAGAGGCACAGAACAATAGTGAAACACTCTACACCTCACAGTACAGCGGCTCTGTATTATAGCTACCAGAGAATGAGTCTCGGAGAACGGTCTAATCCACCACCCCCCCTCAAAAAAACCACATACACAGTATCTCATGTGGGTACCTGATTCCTTTTCAGTCCCTGTCCTTATCTGTGGTGTAACTGTTAAATGTCTTGCTACCCTCACCCATTTCAGTGCTGGTGGGTTTGATTTTGTTTGTGCATTCAGCACAGGCTCCATGTACACCTCCGGAGACTCCTACAAAAGTGGTTCTCAATTAGGGGCATATGTACCCCTGGGGGGTATGCAGAGATCTTCCAGGGGGTACATCAATTCATCTAGGTATTTGCCTAGTTTTACACCAGGCTACATAAAAAGTACAATAGAAGTAGTACAAAGTAAATGTCATAAAGACAACATGAGAAAGTCAGCCTTTTTTCTGTGGTAGCGTGCAGTGGCATTTTTATGTCTGATTTTGTAAGCAAGTAGTTTAAGTGAAGAGAAACTTGGAGGTATGCAAGACAAATCAGAGTACGGAAAGGAGTACAACAGTCTGGAAAGGTGGAGCACCACGGTCCTCTGGGATAAGGGAGTGACAGAACCACCCGGTCCCAATCCAGTAGGCAACGTAACGCCCAGTCTGCAGGGTCGTTTCAACCAGGATCGCTGTTCGGCGTCTCCGCAATGGACCGACCCAGCCGCCCGGATTCAGAACCGGCAGAAACGCGATAGGGCGGGAGGGGCAGGGGAGAGCGAGGCCAGACTCGGAGACCAAACCGGAACCGAGCCTGCCCCTTGCTCCGCTCGGCCACGCCTCACAAGCGCGGGCGAACCAGGACGTAGCCCTCATCCCTCCCCCCAGGGGCGGGCGCTCCAGCTCATAGACAGCGAAGGGGGAAGAATGAGGCTGCCGGCCCTGCCCTCGGGCCCACCCCGCCGTCCCGCACCCTCCTGGCTCACCACGGCGGCGGTGGTGAGGACGCAGGCGGTGGTGTAGGCCCGGGTAACGGGCGGCACCTGCAGGTACTCCTGCCGGAAGGTCTGGTACGCCATCTTACGGCTCCACTTCCGCTTCCGCCTGCGCGACGGCTCACCTCATTTCCCGCCCCGCCCCGCACGCTACACAACCAATCGGCGCTGCCGCCCGGCATCCAAAGCCAGCCAATCCTTCGCTTTCTTTTATCTCAGCGATTTGAAGGGGAAAAAGCGCTTCTTCACGGACGCTCCCGCGTCCCTTGTCAGACGTGCTTTGTGATTGGGCGGGGTATTTTCTCCCCACCCCCAGCGCTCCGATTGGTTTGGGAGGTGGGAGTCGCGGGCGCGGCTGGAGGCGCTGAGTGGTGGCGCTCCTCCCGGGGGCGGGGCTTCGAATGAGGCGGGAAGCGGCGGCTGGGATCGCGGGGTCCGCGCGGGTCCTGGGGTAGCTCGAGAGCCGCCGTCCGCCCGGTGAGAGGCCAAGGGGCGCGGACGGGGAGGCTTCCCCACGCCTGCGGCCCCCTCTCGCTTGGGAGCCGAGCCAAAGGGCTCGGGAGCCGGGGATCAGGCGACGGTTCCTGCCGCGGCCTGAGGGCCCAAGCAGCCCCCATCCCTTGGGCCTGGGGAGTGGTCGGGCCGTGGGGATAGAGCACCAGAGGGGGCTTGGTGCTGTTTCGACTGGGATCTAGGGCACGTCATTCCCCTTCCCCGTGCCTCAGTTTCCCCATGTGTACAAGGGGGCTAGAGATCCTGACCCGCTTTGTAAAGCGCTTTGAGATCTGCTGAGGAAAAGCTCTCTATGAGAGCTGCCTGCTGCTGTCTTCTCTTGCCCTGTGTTGAATTTTCTGAGAGCCTAATGCTGTGGCTAATTATCTAGGGGGGAATCTCCCCTCCCCCTTAAGTATGACCGATGTCAGGCACTTAAAAACCTTCCCAAGGTGTCGGTCTGGTCCTTGGTCTGATTTGAAAAGGCTTGTGGACAGTAGGGGTCTGTGACTGTTAGTGGGATAGAGGCTGGTACACTGCTTAAAGGCGGAGCTCATCCTATTATAATGGACTAACTGGGGTCTTGGTCCTACCCTGTCAACACAAATGCCTGAGAAGACTTCTGTTGGAACACTTACAGCACAAAGCCTTCACCTCCAGTGTGACAGGGAAACAGCTTTTATATACAGTGTGACAGTTGTATTGACAATCATGTCTGCAGGGCTTTTCCAAACAGTTCCGATACTGACATATTTATCTATAGCACAATGTAGTATGTTCAGAGAGGTCTACAGCTGTTGACACAACACATCACTTGTGCATTCAAACACTACAAAAGGAGCTTCCATTTACATTCTACAGAATCCCTCCTCACAGCCAATGATAGAATTTTGATTTTAATGTAAGGTTCTAGTCATGGTTAGCACTGGTAATAGAAAAGGATGTAGTTTCCTCTGAGCCAAAGACTGGCAAATTATGTCATGCTGGGCAGAGACAGGACTAGATTAAAAACCAAACTCTTTAAATTCCCCTAAATTTGAAACTTGAACTTTGTTCTTCATAAGTGAGGTTAATGCTGTAATATACTGCTAATACAACTCACCCTTTCCAAAATACAGATTTGTACTTATGTTCCTTTTTTCCTTTACAGATTTCCACGCTGTCTATGGTTGGTTTCTTTTAGCCAAGATGTCAGTGAATCCTATGGCATATGAAGCCCAGTTCTTTGGTTTTACCCCTCAAACATGTATGCTTAGGGTCTACATTGCATTTCAAGACTACTTGTTTGAAATGATGCTGGTTGTGGAAAGAGTCATTCTGAAGAAACTAGAAGGCTTTCCTGACTCTAAGATCAGTCCATTCCAAATCCGTAAGAGCACAGAGAAATTTCTTCTCTTCATGAAGGAGCGCTTTGATCACCTCTTCAGCAAAATGGAACAAATGCTTTTGCAATTGGTGTTAAACATCCCTAAAAATGTTTTACTTCCTGAAGACAAGGTCCACGAGCAGTACCCCTATAGTAAGGAACAATTTCAAACTCTTCAAGGTGAAATTGATCAGCTACAGAAACAATACAAGGTTGAAGTGTCTGCTGGACAGGCCCTTTTAGCAGAATTAGAAGAACAGAAAATGGTTCAGGCAGAGCTTGAGAAGACCCTCCAGTGGTTTGATGGGCTTGAGAACATATGCAGAGAGCACGGGACTAGCAATTTAAAAGAAAGCTTTGCATTCTTGACACAAACTTCTAAGAAACTGCAAGATATACTAAAGGAAGTTGAAAAGAAAAACAAAAGATTGCAAAAAAGTAATCTCCATGTAGTGTAAAGGAAGTACTGAAAGGGCAGCAGAGAAACCAATAAGACAGTACTTGTGTTACAATACATTTTTTGAGATCTCTCCAGAAGCATTTGTATATAAGGTTTTGGGGGGGTTGCCCCCTCTTCCTTGCCATACCAGTTTTTGACTGAAAGCTGGTGAGTGCAATATTCTGGCAAACCATCATTTTCCCCTCCTGAATTCTATATATACTGCTTAGACATTTCTTTAAATAGATAAACATACCCCCCAAGAGTGTCTAAATGAGTTGTCTAAATGGTAGAAGTGCAGACGCAAAATAAGTGTATTGTAATGAAGACTTCAGTTCTCTGCATAATTCATTTAAGCTACCTTAGTAGATAGGAAGCTTTTTCTTTAAGGGTAAGATGCTTCTAACATTAAACTATTTTTTTGGAAGTCAAGACTTGTCGGTATTGAAATGTTCCATTTAGAAATGTAAGAATGTGACATCATAGTAAAACTTAGGCCTTGAGGAGAAATATATTTAATAAATTTTGGAGTTGGAATTAATCTAGTCAACGGTGAGTGGTTTCTAAAACGGAGGGGTAAGTTATTACTTCCAGTATTTAAAAAAAAGAAGAAAAAGTTTGATATTCTGAAGGCGTTAACAAAGACAGGACAGAGGGCCTGGATCTTTTCTGTTTCTAGTGGGAGCATTTCACAAATATTAATCAGTAGTCATACCAATTTTGCAAATGGATAGAGTTAGTTTTGCTTTGAGCAAGAGGCACACACTGTACAGTGCTGTGTGTGATAAGGGACAGATATGAGCTACAGTGGAATAACTCAGACTCTGGACTGCTTTGAAAGTTTTCTTGCACCATAGTATATATCGTAGTGTCAGCACAGCATTATACATTGTGCAACTCTTGCTAAAAGCAAAAAACTTAATTTGCCCATGTATACAATGGGTATATTCACCAACCTTACATGGGTGTTGTGAGGACTGATTAATATTTATGAAGTCCTTTGAGGTCCTTGAATTAAGCTTACTTTATATGGACTTGTTCCACCATCCATCAAAGTAAATATGAATCTTTCCATTGACTTCAGTGGCTTTTGGATCAGCCCTTATGTCCATATTAGTATAGTAAAAAGAAGCTTAACTTTTACAGGGGCAAAACTTCCTTACTTTTTAAAAGATACTTGCTTGAAAGATGTTAAACTTCTGTATAACTTGAGAGCCACTTAAATAAAAATGATACATAAAGTGACAAAATTATTTTTTCAATGCATTCTGAAACTATACGTTCTATGAAATTTGTCAAATACCTGAAGATTCTGGATCAGCTCAATATGCTCAAAGAACAGGTCAACAAATTTCAAGTGTCCACTGATTTTGGGTGCCTAGTGTGACATTTTGTGACTCACCTTGGGCACCCGAAGTCAGTGTCCACATCTGAAAGTTTGGCCAAAGACGTTAATTTTTAATGTTTAACACTAGTCTTTGCGTGAACTAACATGCATTTAATAACGCCTAAAGATTTTCTAATGGAAATCATTCTGAAGTATTATTTAGAGACTCATTTTGTATGTATCACTTAAAACAGTGTTTATTTTTCTACATTTTTTGATCAGTAAAATCTAAGTGTTTATTTCCCCACCACTCATTCTTATATTTAGTAAGCTTCTGTGCTACTGTATGGCTCCAGCTAAAACTATAGTTAGAGGATTAGGAACAGATGCTGAATAAGAAGATTAATTTTTAAGATGCAGCTTAGCCTGTCTTTTATAAATAAATAGTTGTGTTTAACTTTTTCATCCCCCAAATCGCAAAGGCTGTTGCCCATACTTTGAACTAAACACTTTTATGAAAAGTCATTTGTCTGTCACTTTGTAGAACTTGCATCCTTTTACCATATTCTTCTATTAAGAGTGTGATTTAAGTGAAAAGTAAATAAACATTCCAGTAACGTGTAAGATAGTGTGATGCATTTTTCGGTTACTGCGCTAGAAAAATCTCATTCAAAAATCTTCATTGCTAATGCGATTTTTTTCTGCAATATGACAACAACAAGTCTGTGGATATTGTTTTGTCAGACAGCCACAAGGGAGTTTAGTTTTCATTCTGAACAACAGGGAATATTAATTGGAAATCTACCTCAGGACAAAAAAATTAAATTGGTAATTTAAATGTAAAATGAAGTAAACATTTGGATGTCAATAGTAAGAGTACAGTAATACAGACATTTGGCAAGGCAGGAGATGAAGAATACAGATGCCATCTTTTCTTCAGAGTACAATTAAGAGCTCCTGTCTGAGCCTGACAAATCTACTGTGTTCTTATTTAAATAGGTCAATAAAAAAAGAGCTATAACACAGGAATTATGTTGGTTTTTTTATAGTAAGCAATAAAAAGAAACTCCATGTGGGGACAGGGAGTGGTAGGTGAAGACACACCCCCTCCCCCGATGATACTGATAGTGTTTATCATTCATTGCTAGTGATGTCAGCATTTCCCCAAGGAGTGGATCCTTCCTTAAATATCCCATGGACTAAGGAGGGATTACTTTTAAAACAACAAAAAAGGATGATGTTTTGAATAATATTATAATGATGATGAATAGTGCTGAGGATAGGGACTGGCTTGGGATAAAATGGGTACCTGTGTAGACTCTATAATGGTGGATTTTAAATCTATTCACCACATACATATTCTCCAAGCTGGATAACAAAAGCAAAACACTCTCATTTTAACTGCACTTTACTATGATTTTAAGATCACGAACAACGGGTACTTTGAATTTTGGGCACAAACACAGATTCAAATAGATTTTTTTTTTTAAAAAATCATTGGGTTTAACCCTGCTAAAGGTGGTTGGTTTACTGGGTCATCCAAACTCCTTACTAATATATGGTTGTGTCCTCAGATAGACCCGAGAAGTTTGTTGTCCATCTATTTTATAAGGATATAGAATATTCTCTTATTTTAAGTGAAACAATGTTAAAAAACCCAGCCAGAATGTTCCAGCTTTTGGGAAGTTTGCAGGAGACACATTTCTACATGCACCCTTATGCAGACTGTATATATTTTACCTTTCTCAGCAATAAAGATACATTTGAAACACTTCACTACTTAGTATCAGTTGTAATAGGCAATGTGGATTCTCAGACTACAATAGGCACAGTATGCAGAAGGAGTGTTGTACATGTAGGCATCAATATGCAAAGTTCCGAGGACCATCATATGCTCACCAAATGCATCAAAGCCTACAGCTTTATTGCCATTATTAATAAAATTGGGTTGATATAGGTTCCTTGTATAGAGGTAAGTCTTGTATGATATTACACGATAGACAAATTGTTTTTCTTTTTTGCATTAATAATTCACTAGCTTGGACAAGGATAAACAGCCATTTTGAACTGGTAGGGTTCTCACAACCACCAAGAGGTTCAATACACTGAGAAATTTTTCCTTTGTTTAGGCTTCTCACTGTCTAATTGTGATTAGATGACTGCTGGCTGCTGACACAAATTGTTAGCACAACTGAATGGCATATGGAGGTGGTCTTACCTACGAAACAAAAAGTAACCTCTGCCATAAGCCCCCTGGAGCTGTCAGCTCCTTAGATTCAACTGCTATTAAATTATATAACCTGATTTTTTGTCTACATTTTTCTTTATTAAATCAATTTTAAGGATAGAAGCATTTATCTGTGAGGGGTTGAATATTTTCTGGCAGCACTTGCCAAGGCTAATCCCTTTCGAAGAAGTGATTAATCCCTTTGAGGGGGTGCCTTCATATTTTAGTAATATTCTCAGTGGAAAAATAATACAGGAACAATTAATGTTTTTGTGTGCATCAGTAAATTATTAAAACACACTTTTAAAAAAGCTATTTTTATAAGACTATTCTTGGGAGCCAAATGTGTGTTCAGGAGAAGTTTTGATATAGGATAAGTAATGTCCATTTGTGGTCAAGCTGTCTTATGCAACTGTTATGTCCTCGGGTGAGTTAACAGAGGTAACTAATGGGGATCAGGGCATGCTAATTACCTTGGTTTTGCACTGTTCTGCACTAAGATAGGGTGCTAGGATTTTTGGCTGTCATTTCAAGCAGAGTACTATACATTCTTTCAAAACCATCATGTCCTTTTTTGGAATTTTCCCTGCTAAATTGCCATGTTCTAAACTACAGTTTATCTAATATGTGGTGTGAATCAATGGAATGTGGGTTTAATATGCTGCTATTGTCACATTAGACCAGTAATGTGCAGTTATAATTGTGTCTAGTCATTGAAGAGGGGGACAAACTGGGATGGTTCCCTTTTGCCTGGCCTGCAGAACAAGAAGCACAACAAACCACTACACCTGTTCTTTCATTTATACAGCATTTTGGCCAGTAGAGGGCATCAAGGGACTTTGATGGTATTTTGACATCCACAGGCTGAGTATTTAATTTGTTTTCATATACACCAAGAATTGTTGAATATCTCCCAAGACAAATCAGTTCTTTTGTAATCAGTAGATGAATATTTTCCTTTGGCTGTATGGGCTTTTTAAGCAGAAATCTACAGTAGAACCTCAGAGTTACAAACACCAGAGTTACGAACTGACCAGTCAACAACACACCTCGTTTGGAACTAAAAGAAAAGGAGTACTTGTAGCACCTTAGAGACTAACCAATTTATTGGTTAGTCTCTAAGGTGCTACAAGTACTCCTTTTCTTTTTGCGAATATAGACTAACACGGCTGTTACTCTGAAACCTGTCGTTTGGAACTGAAAGTACGCAACCAGGCAGCAGCAGAGACATGCACAAAAAAGGCAGTACAGTACAGTACTGTGTTAAACACAAACTATTAAAGAAAAGGGAATTTAAAAAAAAAGATTTGACAAGGAAACTTTTTCTGTGCTTGTTTCATTTAAATTAAGATGGTTAAAAGCATTTCTCTTCTGCATAGAAAGTTTCAAAGGTGTATTAAGTGAATTTCCAGTTGTAAACTTTTGAAAGAACCATAGCATTTTGTTCAGAGTTATGAACAACTTCCATTCCTGAGGTGTTCATATCTCTGAGGTTTTACTGTATGTAATGAGAAAATGTCCAGGAATGCAGTAGACTGATCAACAAGTGCACTGTGTATAAGCCTTATAGTGCATTTTCTTTCTTTATGAAAAATGGTTCCACTTTTGACTCATTTCTGCCCAAACCATGATGTAGCTTTTCATTATCTTTTGAAGTGCTAAGTGATTCTCCATCACTTGTGTGGAGTAAGTTTCTTGCAAAACCTATTTTGGGCCAAGTTTTCTAAGTAGCATCACCACAGCTAAAATGTGCATGTACCAAAACCTCACACTTGCATGTAATTACACATTAACTACTTTTTGGCATGACCTACCATGTACCACTTCTGAAAAACACCCTTTCTTCATTATATCTACAAACCTTAGTCTTCCCATTTCATATAGACACAGTATTTCTGTGTAATAAAAACAAATATAACACCTACAACATGTGCTCTGAGGATGTGTACATGGTTTCTGTGCAGCAGGGACCCAGGCAGGAGGAACAGCTGAGGAAAAGTACCACACGGAAACTCTGCAGTAAAGTACACAATGAGATAGTAGCTGTAGGGGGTAAATGTTGCCCATACCTTAATAAAGTTCTTTGTTCAACATTAGAAGAAAATTATTCTTTACCATTGTCACATGGCAAATGCACCACCAAATAAAACTCCTGCATGATCTTATTGCTGCTACTCTTGCCCTTCATTCTCCATCCACCAACAACATATATTAACCACTTATCCTACAAAGTGTAAGCTAAGTCCAAATCTGGTAAAGGGATATACATGGGCAGACTCTTATGCCTGCATAGAGTTCTCTTGTAATCAAGGGGGAAATCTGTGTTGGGCATAAGGCTCCATCCCTGTGGATCCCTTTGAAGGATCAGCTTTTAAATTCTTTGGGTCTTTAATGTGTCTATAAAATACCATACACATTTCTGATTCTATATACAATATAAATAATAGATGGGCTTTTAGACTGTAAGCCCTTAGGGGTAGTGATCTGGTATTTGTACAGTCTACATCATTATGTACATGAACAATAAGCATGAAGCCTCATTTATTTGACCTTCTACAAACACATGGTGAGGCTAAAAGAATAACTTGTGCTAAAAAGATGGAATTTTAGCTTTTCACAGTTTTGTATTTCTGTCAATTTAAATCCTTAACAATATAGTTTTTCTTCCTTTATTTAATTTCAGCAATCTATGAAAGAGAGAGCGAGAGAGAATAATGTAACTGGAGCCATCAGAGCTCTTCCTCTGGAGCTATTATGAGACAATATGGTGTAGCATTCTTCTCAGGCATGGGCATGCTGCAGCGTTCCATTTGCTGGCCTCTCTGGCTGAGTGGTCTCACTACATAAAATGCTAGGAAAAGGTTGACAACATTAACTTAATCATTCAAAGTGCTATTTTTGAACCCCAGGACTTGTGCTCAGAATACACATTAGTCTAACTGAACAACTCAGGTGCACACTAGAGTGTGTGGTGTAGTTCTTGCAGCATGGGTCTAGGAGCACAGACACCTGGGTTCTAGTTCCAGTTCTGGCACTGACTGATTCATGGTAGCACTTTGGGAATGTTACTTAACCCTCTGCTCCCTCAGTTTCCCTATTTGTAAAACAAGGACAATAAACACCCAATTCATAGGTGGTGGGAGGCTTCTCGCAGGAGCTCTTAAACTTTTTCACAGCATGGACATCACACAGAGTTCATCTCATGGGCACCTATTGTCCCATCCGCAATCATATAACATGTTGGTGGCAGCTACAGTAATTGCTTACATGGAAAATTAGCATTAAGAACATAGTTGATGTGTTAGTTGCTTTTAATACTATTAAGCAGTTGGAAATGAGTCACAGGTATTGACATGGCCACCCAACTCTCCACTCCCCAACAGAAATGCTGTGTGGA